GTACCCGTTTTACAACTGTGTACGTGTCCATGGAATCACCTGGTGGAAGTTCTGCAACTGGAACAGTCAGCATGACGCAAACACATCTCGAAGATAGCAACAGCCAGATATAGTTCAGATGGAGTCAGAAAGGGTCTAACGTGTCGTGTGATCACGCATGGCCAAGTGTCGCCAGACGGAAACTGCCGACAATTACAACTAACAAGCCGTCTCCCGCTGTCTCCTGGCTGCTGTTGGCTCAATGCAGTCTGGTCTGATAGTGTCATTCCTTACACTCTGTCCATCAATGGGTTTGAGATGTGTGTCAATCTCTGTAGTGTCGCCATAGTAACACCCCCCCTTCTATTCGTAGTTATCCTCACTCCCTGCGTCTTGTTATCGCCTTCTGTATGTATTATTATCGCCTGTATGTATTATTATCGCCTTCTGTATGTATTATCAATCACCTGTGTTATCGCCTTCTGTATGTACCTTCGCCTCCCTTCTGTATGTATTATATCGCCTTCTGTATGTATCATTATCGCCTTCTGTATTATTATCGCCTTCTGTATGTATTATTATCGCCTTCTATATGTATTGGTATCAACTTATATATGTAGAATTATCACCTTCTTGTGTAAAGTGACCCGTGAAGATCCGGGGTAGAATAGGCCTTCAGCAACGCATTCTTGTCATAAAAGGCGACTAACGGGATCGGGTGGTCAGGCTCGCTGACTTGGTTGACACGTGTCATCGGTTCCCAATTGCGCAGATCGATACTCATGCTGTTGATCACTGGATTGTGTGGTCCAGACTCGACTATTTACAGACCGCCGCCATATAGCTGGAATATTGCTGAGTGCGGCGTAAAACTAAACTCACTCACTCACTCACTCTTGTGTAAAGTTATCATCTATATGTATTATCAATTTCTCTAAGTACTGTTATCACATTCTGTATGTATTATCACCTTCTGTGTGTTTTGTTATCGCCTGTATATACTGTTATCGCCTTCTGTATGTATTATCACCACCTTCTGTGTTATGTTATCGCCTTCTGTATATACTGTTATCGCCTTCTGTATGTATTATCACCTTCTGTGTGTTTTGTTATCGCCTTCTGTATATACTTTTATCGCCTTCTGTATGTATTATCACCTTCTGTGTGTTTTGTTATCGCCTGTATATACTGTTATCGCCTTCTGTATGTATTATCACCTTCTGTGTGTTTTGTTATCGCCTTCTGTATATACTGTTATCGCCTTCTGTATATACTGTTATCGCCTTCTGTATGTATATCACCTTCTGTGTGTTTTGTTATCGCCTTCTGTATATACTGTTATCGCCTTCTGTACGTATTATCACCTTCTGTGTGTTTTGTTATCGCCTTCTGTATATACTGTTATCGCCTTCTGTATGTATTATCACCTTCTGTGTGTTTTGTTATCGCCTGTATATACTGTTATCGCCTTCTGTACGTATTATCACCTTTGGTGTGTTTTGTTATCACCTTCTGTACATACTGTTATCGCCTTCTGTACGCTTTATCACCCACCTGTTTGTTATCGCCTTCTGTATATACTGTTATCGCCTTCTGTATGTATTATCACCTTCTGTGTGTATTATTATCACCTTCTGTATATACTGTTATCGCCTTCTGTATGTATTATCACCTTCTGTGTGTATTATTATCACCTTCTGTATATACTGTTATCACCTTCTGTATATACTGTTATCATCTTCTGTATGTATTATCACCTTCTGTGTGTTTTGTTATATCCTTCTGTATATACTGTTATCGCCTTCTGTATGTATTATCACCTTCTGTGTTTGTTATCGCCTTCTGTATATACTGTTATCGCCTTCTGTACGCTTTATCACCAGTGTGTTTTGTTATATCCTTCTGTATGTAGTGTTATTACCTTCTGTATGTATTATCACCTCTGTGTGTTTTGTTATCGCCTTCTGTATATACTGTTATCGCCTTCTGTATGTATTATCACCTGTGTTTTGTTATCGCCTTCTGTATATACTGTTATTGCCTTCTGTATGCTTTATCACCAGTGTGTTTTGTTATCACCTTCTGTATATACTGTTATTACCTTCTGTATGTATTATCACCTTCTGTGTGTTTTATTATCGCCTTCTGTATATACTGTTATCGCCTTCTGTATGTATTATCACCTTCTGTGTTTTGTTATCGCCTTCTGTATATACTGTTATCGCCTTCTTCTGTATGCTTTATCACCTCTGTGTGTATTGTTATCGCCTTCTGTATATACTGTTATCGCCTTCTGTATGTATTATCACCTTCTGTGTGTTTTATTATCACCTTCTGTATATACTGTTATCACCTTCTGTATGTATTATCACCTTCTGTGTGTTTTGTTATCGCCTTCTGTATATACTGTTATCGCCTTCTGTATGCTTTATCACCAGTGTGTTTTGTTATATCCTTCTGTATGTAGTGTTATTACCTTCTGTATGTATTATCACCATCTGTGTGTTTTGTTATCGCCTTCTGTATATACTGTTATCGCCTTCTGTACGTATTATCACCTGTGTGTTTTGTTATCACCTTCTGTATATACTGTTATCGCCTTCTGTACGCTTTATCACCTGTGTGTTTTGTTATATCCTTCTGTATATAGAGTTATTACCTTCTGTATGTATTATCACCTTCTGTGTGTTTTGTTATCGCCTTCTGTATATACTGTTATCGCCTTCTGTATGCATTATCACCTTCTGTGTATTTTGTTATCGCCTGTATATACTGTTATCGCCTTCTGTATTTATTATCACCTTCTGTGTGTAATGTTATCGCCTTCTGTATATACTGTTATCGCCTTCTGTACGCTTTATCACCTGTGTGTTTTGTTATATCCTTCTGTATATAGAGTTATTACCTTCTGTATGTATTATCACCTTCTGTGTTTTGTTATATCCTTCTGTATGTAGTGTTATTACCTTCTGTACTTTAAACTATCACCTCCTGTATTTATGATCACCTTTTATGTGCATCGTTGTATATTGTCTTGTTCTCACATTTTATAGTGTATAATTATCACCTTATAATCTACTTATCACCTACAAATCATTACCGTCACATTCTATGTGTATAACGTTCTCATGTCAATAGTCCACTCCACTTTTAGATCTACTGCCAACAAACGCTACTACTGAGACATTCGTTAATGCACTAGCAATGTACCTTGAAACTGTACCCGTGAAGGTCCGGGTTAGAATGATCCTTCAGTAACCCATGCTTGTCGTAAGAGGCGACTAACGGGATCAGGTGGTCAGCCTCGCTGACTTGGTTGACACATGTCATCGGTTCCCAATTGCGCAGATCGATGCTCATGCTGTTGATCACTGGATTGTGTGGTCCAGACTCGATTATTTACATACCGCCGCCATATAGCTGGAATATTGCTCAGTGCGGCGTAAAACTAAACTCACTCACTCACCCGTGTTGTTAATGAGAGTAACCCCCCTTGGAACAAATAGACAGTCGTCAAACATGTTGGTCTAGTGGAAAAGCCACTGATTCTTGTGCCGTAACGCTTTCGTTCTCAGAATCTGAACAAGTGGAAGATAACGGTAATATCAATTTCGTAACATATTAGTCATCTGCTGCCTTGTATTAAGTTCCACAACCAACACAACACGTCCATCCTCCCCACGGGTCACCCGTGAAGATCCGGGTTAGAACTGGTCCTCAGCAACCCATGCTCGTCGTAAGAGGCGACTCACGGGATCGGCTGGTCAGGCTTGCTGACACATGTCCTCGCATGTTGCGTGGATCGATGTTCATGGATTGTCTGGTCCATATCAGTATTTTATGAATATCAGTTATCTATTATATCAAATTATATGTGGATTATGGTGATTTGTTTTCATGTATAAAAAACAGGGACAAAGAAAAGTATGCCTCAGCTGATTTTAACATTTGTGGATTTTAGTTGAAAAGATCTCAGATTACCGATGTACTCAACATGTACTGGCCCTTAGCTCTAAATTATATATATATAGTTTTCAAAATATAGCATGATCTATTACTTTTGGAATTTATCTAAAGGAGAGAAAAACCAGAAACGCATTATACACAACTCCTCACGGGCACATCAGACATGTGTACTTTGAGAAATCAATCAATTTGCTGTTTTCGGGGAAATAATACACAACTAGGTCGGGCCTGTGGTTGCAGTTTTATTTTTACCAAGTCACTCTGAACCAAATATTTCCACAAATAACCCAGCAACGAGGAAAACGAAACGTTTCAGGAAGTGAGTGATATTCAAATTGACACAATTAATTTAACAACTGTTCTTTTGAATTTCGGTTACATACAACCATAAACTCCATGTAAAGTCTTTGAACTGCATTTTAGACGTCATACACGTAGCGGCGAGAATGTACTGATGTCAACGTTTTTATTTTGAGGAACACATTTCGGAGTATATTCTGACTCCTTCGTCAGGCGAAAGGTGTAGTTTCTTTACTAAGTGCACGGAGTTTTTAGTTGTGTTGGGTGCTCTTCTGTCAAACGTTCTCGGAAAATATGGTTCCCTACTTATAACAATAGTTCCCTACTTGGATACAATGTGTGAAGCCCATTTCTGGTGTTCCCCGCCGTGATTTTGTTGGAATATTGCTAAAAGCGGCGTAAAACCATACTATGTCACTCACTCTCAAAGCAATGGTCGTGATTATGTTCGCGTTGTATGTTTAGGCAGAACTGCGCCTCAGCCATTGATCTACTGAACCAACCCGCGTAATGAATACAGGGGCATTATCTCACGCCTGTGACGTGAATATAGAATATACCAAATTACTGTTTGTGTTTGCAGGCACACATACCACTCGTCAGTGAGAACGTCCCCTCCATCTGATGACCGGACATCGGACATGCGACATTATCACGAGGATATCTACTCAAACATCCGTTAATTTGTTTTAATAGCGTGTAATTGTGGCGCACAAGCCACGAAGCGGGAGGCTGGTGGCCAATTTAGGCCAGATCCATCACTTGGCGACAATTAGCCGACTGATGGTACCCCTCAGTATCTCGTGGCACTACTTGTTTGTATCACTACTCTGTGAATGAAAGTGTCCCGTCACTCATTCTGCAGTGTGCCTCCGCCCCCGCATTTGCCGCCCTGCGCGTGCTCACTCATTCATTGGCTGGAGGAAGCACACGAGCTCCGGTTTTTGTCATATTAATTGTTAAAGGCGAAATAAAGATGTTGAAATGACATAAAAATAAACAGAGGCTTGAGTCAGAGCCAAGCGTTAACAGCTGACCGTTTGTATAAAAGACGGGCGACTATAGGCAACTGCAGACATCACGACAAACATACAGACGCGCAGACATGGATTTGATTCAAGTGATTTGCGTATTTCTACTCAGCCTGATCTGCACGTGCAGGGGAAGGGCGTGGCCGTATGCTGACCGGATCAACTTCGTAGGGCCGGACCCAGCCGAGGTGAGACTTGACATTCTTAAACCCAAATTATTGAACCAAAACTTTGATCATATATAAAAGCTTCATATATTTAATTTTAATATACAAAGCCATAGATGTGGTCATTCAGTCGATGTTTGTGTGATACACCTTAGTATAGAGAGAAATATTTGGAAAATGCGCTCCCCTTCATTCAAATTGATGTAATATTTCATATCTTTGTACATCTTGTCGTAAGGGACTTATTTTAAAATACATCAGCTCAAACATTTTTGTCACCCACGAGTGTGACGGATATACTTAGTTGTCAAGGTGTCACGTGGTGAAAGAGACTCCATCACCAGTCACTGGATAACCTTACTGGGCCACACAATATGGGTACTATTTATGTATCTGTACGAGTGAGCTCGAATTGCGTCGTGTGACATAATCTTGCTTTGTGAAACTGTATATTGTCTGTAGCGAAACGAGCGAAACTTGGCGGAGAGCTATTCAAGAGTTGTTTTACCGTACCCTGGCGAAACCATCCAATGTATCGTAGTGGACATCCATACATATTAGTCAAAGTTTTGTTATGAATATAAAGCTTACATGGGTATGTTTGATAGTTAGTAGTTCATGGTTTATGTAAACCAACATGCGGAGTCGATGTTAGAAATTCATGATATGTATGTTTCAGTCGAGATTTCGCAATTTATGTTCAGCTCACATACTAACCATTCAACAATGTCAAATTTGATGGACAGCTTCTTTTATTTCGTGAGTGCATTAAACGAAATAAAAGAAGTTGTTTATCCATAAAGTGTATCCTAAAATGTTATCCTAAAATGCCACTCAAAGAAGTTACCTACCATTTAGTCGAGTTTTCTAGTTTATGTAAAGGTTAGGTATGCATGATAACTCGACACTTGGTAGTTAATATTAAGACCTGATTGGTCTAAGACAGTCGGTTTTGTAGTTTAACGCTGCACATATACCTATAAGCTTTAGAAACAAATAGTCGATTTCGTTTGTAGTTTATGTAAAGCCCCCATACGCAGTCGAGATTTGGGAGACAAATGATTTATAGTTATTAATTTTAACACCCATATCAAGCGCGAGCAAGCCATTTTTTTTAGTGTAAAGGTGTAAAGTTTAACCCTGTAGTTCTTTGGTGTTTTTGCAAATTGCACAAAAGGCATTGGCAAATTCCACATCTTTCAAGGATGACTAGTAGGTTAGGAACATCAATTTCTTGGAGTCTTGAAGATAAATTGAACCATGACTTGGAACGAGCTTGTAGTGGTCATGAAATGTAAAACCAACCTTGTGAAAAATATTGTTAATGCAAACAAGTGTTCCAGAATTGTTTGTGTTCGATTATGAGAAAACATGATCGCTTGCTTGGTCGTTTAGTCATTGCGACCAATCTTCGATTATTTCAATTAATCGGACCACCACTACTGTATTGGTAATGCTTTGTTATAAAAAATATTGTAGTCAATATAATTCATAAAGGGATACCCTTTTTTGTTCTAATAACGTGTTTGTTGGTATTTTGGCAAGAATTGGAAGAAAAATTATTTTTTTTCAAAAATCATGTGTAAGCCCGGGCTTTTTATAATGGTAGCTACGCCCCTGTAAGTGTATTTTAGTTTATGTAAAGCTTACATATGTAAATCTTAGTTCATTTCCTCATGTTTATGTCAAACCCACATGATGTTTTAGTGTAGGTGGTTAACCGTTGTAGCTTGTACATAGTAAATTCAGAAAAACAGCTCACTAAACCTACCGTTAAAGACTTGCTATTTCATAGATACAGTTACACATGTTTTATCGTCTAACGGGTTCTATCTATAAGCGATATCTTGGTCACAGAAAACACCTGTTAGATATATATACTATTCACACTTTGCTAAGGATCAAATCATTGATTCAACAGAAAACTATGATGTGGGGTCTAATTTGGTTTAAATGTCTTAGCTAATTGTAAGTATGGATCCTAGGTTTCAGTATGTCATTTAAACTTGTGGATCCCATACCTGCTATTGACAGGTGTTGTGTACTTGTAAATGACTCGTTCCGTGATATGCAGAATGGTTGATTGGTGCCATGAAAACCATTTTTATGGTTACTCATGTATCAAGTGCATAAGGTTAGATTAAAGAGACTGTTTGCCTAAAGAAGGGTTACTATAGTATTATTTATCCAGTTTTAGATGGATACAATTTCACATTATATGTTTTAAGTAAGTTGTGAATTTTGGTGATCCTTAGCAAAGTGTGAGTGGTATATGTAATGGCTTGTAATTTATGTTTGACAACGCGGTATGGAATACTGAATGTAAAACCCTAATGCTATCCCAAATAGTCACTTCAAAAGGCAGTATGTCATCGTACATCACCAGCTGTTAGTGGAGCGTCTGTCGTCACTGCAGCCGACCCTGTCCATGTGTCATCTTGGGGTGTACCTGCATGCAGGGTCAGTCGGTGTCGTGCCCGAAACCACCCCTTGCATACAAAGTCGATCTCTGTCGCGCCCGAAACCACCCCTTGCATACAAAGTCGATCTCTGTCGCCCGCACCCTGGTGCAGGAATAACCAGGGTTATTTACAAGGGACCGATAAGACAAAATATGACGCGGGGGAAAACCAACATTAAATCAGGGCATTGAGATATATCACACCCTGATTGTGTGACGAAATCATGTACTATATTCCACCCTTTGTGAAGTGTCTGCCACAAGGGTGTCCTCCCACTTCACCTAATTTTTACCCATTAGGTGAGGTGAGGTGAGGTGAGGTGAGGTGAAATTGGGTTTAACGTCGTGCTTGAGAATATTTCGCTCATATGACGACATGCATGCGTGTGTATGTGTATGTGCGGCTGCTTGTACTAGCCCAGACTTAAGTTGGTTTTATAGTGCTAGCCCACTGAGATACCGTGCCGCAGTGAAGCATGAATATCCCACTCAGACACATTATACTGACTCCGAGCCCACCAGTCCTTGTTGTACCCATTAATGCCGAGCGCCAGGCAGGGACCAACAAGTACCATATTTTAACGTCTTTTGGTATGACGCGGTCGGGGATCGAACCCGCGACCTTCCACTCTCTGGGCGGACGCTCTAACCACTACACCACGGAGGCGGTCTTACCCATTAGGTACGAAAAATTAATTACTAGTATGTGATGTGGGTATGGGATAGTCCATGTATTGTGATCAGAGGGGGGTTTAGCAACCATGTGGAGTACAAGAATGACAAAACTCAGTGATAGAGTTAATGAATATATTTTACATTTTATATAACTCTGATAACGGGACGGGGTTAAGGGACTGGTACTGGGCTTGGGACGCTTGCTGGGCTCGATAGTAACTACTGCTTCCGCTCGCCCCGGAAGTGTCCCATTCGCCATATTGTGACCACCCTCTCCTCCCACAAGCCTTTGCTACTCGACACACCACTTGACACAGCGTAACGCCGAGTGTGTACATTTAGCAACATATCGGACGGAAAATATTTTATTTCGTTTCCGTATACTTGTTGATTCTTACACACCGCCTTGTCCGCCCATAGTGCGAAAAATACAACTGTCACCCGTGTCAGAGAGTGCGCTTTGCGTCGTCCCCATGGCGGGCTCCTTACAGCTTACCTGTTTATGTTTACTGCAGCTGCTACAGTAAGGAGAACGCGTTTACTACAGCTGCTGAAGGTGCGAGGCCTTGTTTACTGCAGCTGTAGGTGCTTTACTGCACTTTCTACAGACGTGTTTACTGCAGGTAAAACTAACAGGACGTGTTTACTGCAACCGATAAAGGCAGGACGACGTAAACTGACGTCGAAAAGAAAGTACACACCCGGTGCTTTTGGATTACTTTCCAAAAAGCGACGTAAATGTTTTGAAAAGAGTTTTTACAGTGATATCTAGGTCACAGACCTAGTGTGTTGCTAAAACACTACAGATATCGTGCCCAATTGCGAATTTGCCAGTCAAAATCACAGCACTTTCCAAATAATCCCAAAACACCATGTGTGTACTTTCTTTTGTACGTCAGTTTATTTACTGCAGCTGATACGGACAGGGCGGCGTATTCTTGCACCTGATACGGACAGGGCGGCGTATTGTTGCACCTGATATGGGAAGGACGGCGTATTGTAGAACCTGATACGGGAAGAACAGAGTATTGTTTACTCCTGATACGGGAAGGACGGCGTTTTTACTGCAGCTGATACGTGAAGGACGGTGTATTTACTGCAGCTGGTACGGGAAGGACGGTGTATTTACTGCAGCTGGTACGGGGAAGGCAGCGGTGTATTTACTGCAGCTGGTACGGAAAGGACGGTGTATTGACTGCAGCTGATACTGGGAAGGACGGTGTATTGACTGCAGCTGTATTATTTACTGCAGCTGATACGTGAAGGACGGTGTATTGACTGCAGCTGGTATGGCAGAAGGAAGGACGGTGTATTGACTGCAGCTGGTACGGGAAGGACGGTGTATTGACTGCAGCTGATACGGGAAGGACGGTGTATTTACTGCAGCTGATACGGGAAGGACGGTGTATTGACTGCAGCTGGTACGGGAAGGACGGCGTATTTACTGCAGCTGATACGGGAAGGACGGTGTATTATTGACTGCAGCTGGTACTATTTACTGCAGCTGATACGGGAAGGACGGTGTATTGACTGCAGCTGATACGGGAAGGACGGTGTATTTACTGCAGCTGATACGGGAAGGACGGTGTATTGACTGCAGCTGGTACGGGAAGGACGGTGTATTTACTGCAGCTGATACGGGAAGGACGGTGTATTTACTGCAGCTGATACGGGAAGGACGGTGTATTTACTGCAGCTGGTACGGGAAGGACGGTGTATTTACTGCAGCTGATACGGGAAGGACGGTGTATTGACTGCAGCTGATACGGGAAGGACGGCGTATTTACTGCAGCTGATACGGGAAGGACGGCGTATTGACTGCAGCTGGTACAGGCAGACGAAGTGTTTGCGGCATCTGCTACAGATATGACGTCGTATGTTCTGCAACTGACACATCTGATGTGTGTTTGCCACATCTGCTTAACGCAGAACCCCGTGACAACAAAGGGAACAGACTGTTTAATGCCAATGCTCAAGACGCAGAACGCAAAACTAAACCTGACACGTCAGATCTATTTCACACATCACCATGTCGTACTCCTATACAACAAATGTGGATTATTTAGTCACTTCAAAGACACCTAACACAGATTCAAGTCTCTTTCTTCGTGGCACCTCAAACGACCGTCGCTTGGATCAGACTTCCAAAGTGTTACAGTTTAACACACAAAAGCAATTATAGACGTCATTGCGACTTGTTAATTGTAAAATAGCATAATTAACGTGACCAGAGCAGATTTAATCACACTCATCATTCCAATAATGTAACGTTACGCCGGCAGATTTGGCGTCGTTAGCTCACCGACTACAAGACGAGACGGGTTGTTACAGGGTTTGGGATATCGAGTTCACATGATTGGAGACGGGATTCTTGTCACAGTCGCATTAATTTATCAAATCTGTAGCTGGGGACAGATTGCTATTGTTTCAATTTCCGCGAAGTGATGACGTCAAATTACGTCAATTCGCTGTTAGGAACGTCTTTTTTGTGACATAGTTTGCCACAGTAGAATCTATGGTCTCACTTGAGTAGAATCTATGGTCTAACTGAAGTAGAATTTCTGGTCTAACTGGAATAGAATCTCACGTCTAACGGATGTGGAATCTCTGGTCGACGGATGTAGAATCTCTGGAATAACTGAAGTAAATTCTCTGGTCTAACTGAAGTAGAATCTATGGTCTCACTTGAGTAGAATCTCTGGAATAACTGAAGTAAAATCTCTGGTCTAACTCTGGAATAACTGAAGTAAAATCTCTGGTCTAACTGGAATAGAATCTATGGTCTCACTTGAGTAGAATCTCTGGAATAACTGAAGTAAATTCTCTGGTCTAACTGGAATAGAATCTATGGTCTCACTTGAGTAGAATCTATGGTTTAACTGAAGTAAAATCTCTGGTCTAACTGAGTAGAATCTATGGTCTAACTGAAGTAAAATCTCTGGTCTAACTGGAGTAGAATCTATGGTCTCACTTGAGTAGAATCTCTGGAATAACTGAAGTAAAATCTCTGGTCTAACTGGAGTAGAATCTATGGTCTCACTTGAGTAGAATCTCTGGAATAACTGAAGTAAAATCTCTGGTCTAACTGAATCTTTGGAAGAGAACTCTATGGTCTCACTTGAGTAGAATCTCTGGAATAACTGGTAAAATCTTAACTGGAATAGAATCTATGTCTCACGTATGTAGAATCTCTGCAAATCTATGGTTTAACTGTAAAAACTCTCTGATCTCACTTGAGCAGAATCTTTGGTTTAACTGGAGTAGAATCTATGGTCTAACTGAAGCAGAATCTATGGTCTAACTGAAGCAGAATCTTTGGTTTAACTGGAAGTAGAATCTCACGTCTAACGCATGTTGAATCTGCAATAATGAAGTAAAATCTCTGGTATAACTGAAATAGAATCTATGGTCTAACTGAAGCAGAATCAATGGTCTAACTGGAGTAGAATCTCACGTGTATCGTATGTAGAATCTCTGCAATAATGAAGTAAAATCTCTGGTCTAACTGAAATATAATCTATGGTCTAACTGAAGTAGAATCTATGGTTTAACTGGAGTAGAATCTCACGTGTATCGTATTGGAATCTTAGGAATTACTGAAGTAAAAGCTCTTGGCCTAACTTAAGTAGAATCTATGGTCTAACTGGAGTAAATTCTATGGAATAACTGAATTAAAATATCTGGTCTAACTGGAATAGAATCTCACGTCTAACGCATGTAGAATCTCTGGAATAACTGGAGTAAAATCACTGGCCTAACTGAATTAAAATCTCTGGTCTAACTGAAGTAGAATCTCTGGTCTAACTGAAGTAGAATTTCATTTATAAATTGAAGTGGGATGTCTTGTCCAAATGAATTGAAATATCTGGTTTAATTGAATTAGGATCTCCTGTCTAACTGAAGACGAATTTCTGGTCTAACCGAATTCGGATTTCTGGTTTAACTGAATTATAGGGTAATATTGTCTAACCGAAATAAGATATCTGGTATAATCGGAAGTAAGATTTCTTGTCTGACTGAATTTGCTTTTCTGATCTAACAGAAAGAGAGCACCTGGTTTAACAGAAGCAATATCTGTTGTCTAACAGTCGAGAGCATGTTCTCATTTGTAAACAGACACAACCTAAATGGACGTGTGTGATGAACCAGTGCTTTTCATTACGTGTATTGAGCTGCTGGTCCAGCGGAGAGGGTAATACGTGCAGCTGAGATCCTTAACAAGCGAGTATTGAGAAACTGTTTAACTCGCGATTGACGAGGAGGCTGCTAAGGCTGCTGAGAGTCCATCAATAGACTCGTTTGCTTGAGTACTTGGATTTAGTGAATGAAAGGACATATTGATGATATCCGAGGCTATCTGATCGATCGACAGACCCCTGTTCTCTCTGTGGTGTTCTGTTTTCACGTGGGTGCATCGTTGCAGCCATCTGCATCTACACGCAAGACACCCTGCTGTCACTATACTACATGTCTTGGTGGGGTAGGGGTAGCCTAGTGGGTAAAGCGTTTGCTCGTCACTCCGAAGGCCCGGGTTGGATTCTCTACTTGGGTAAAATGTGTGAAGCCCATTTCTGGTGTCCCCCGCCGTGATATTGCTGGAATATTGCTAAAGGCGGCGTAAAATCAAACTCACTCACTACATGTCTTGGCTTCTATCTGCCAGTGTACCCAGAATCCCTCTGGTTGTGCCGCTCTCTCTGTAGCCCCAATTCCCTCCTGTTGACGACATACATTGTTGGTATCATTTCCTAGCCAGGCCATAGTAAGATCTATCAATGAGACGTACGGATCTACCACTCGTTACAGTCTCTTCATTCATTTCATCGTCAATGGATGGTCTGAATAATAAAATTCAATATCTGTCAATGAATAGTCTGGATATGGAAATTCAGATTCTGGTTCTCGCTGTGAAGTTTAATGGTCGGGAAGATTAATTCCAAAATTACAATTTCCTCCCGTTTGATGCGTGTCAGCGAGGACTATATGTGTGCCAAATGACTTTGGCGCTATAATCATGGTGACCCTCCCCCGTCCTTTAACTGTAACACAGATTCTACCTACTTCCCTGTGATCTAGCCACTGGGTCGGATGTCTCTGGAGAAATCACGTCTAAATGCTCCCCTCTAGCCATTCAGTTCACAAATAATTAATCGTTAATTACACGACGATCGTTTTGGGTCGGGTAATTAACCTTTTCGTCCTGGTCTTCCTGTCGCTAGGGGGCACTGGATACAAGAACCCAGACACAAGGATAACTGGTTGCCATTGTTCTCCAGCAACCACTTGATTATAAGATGTTTTGCCTTGAATTTACGCAATGGCTGAGATGTATATTCTCAATGTTTATCCGTTTGAGTACGCATGTTTAAATATATACGGCAAATGCACACGTCCAACCGGTACACCTTTGCTAAGCTCAATATACCGATCGTGCACTCGCTAATCCTGCCACTGATTCGCCACACCCTGACATCCACCCGCTAAACCATGCCTTCCTACCCCCACAACCTGCTCTCCACACGTCGCGTCCTGCCACCCACCCTCTACGTCCACCTCCATTACGCTACAACCTTCTCTCAGCTCGTCACATTCTGCTTTCCACCCGCTACAACCACCTTCTTTACACCTTACCTTCTGTCCGATACGAACTACTGCCAACTCACATTCCGCTTCAAATTAACCCGTTACACCCTGCATTCCTTCCGCTACAACCTAGTTTTTCTTACGCTACAACCTGCTTTTTATTCCGCTACAACCTGCCTTTCCTTCCGCTACACCCTGCATTCCTTCCGCTACAACCTGCTTTTTCTTCTGCTACAACCTGCATTCCTTCCGCTACAACCTGCTTTTTCTTCTGCTACAACCTGCATTCCTTCCGCTACAACCTGCTTTTTCTTCCGCTACAACCTGCTTTTTCTTCCGCTACAACCTGCATTCCTTCGCCTTCCGTCCGATAATTACTACTGCCAACTCGTCACATTCCACTATCAACCCGTTACACCCTGCACTCCTCCCGCTACACCCTGCATTCCTTCCGCTACAACCTGCTCACAGCTCGTCAGATCCTGCTTTCCATCCGTTACAACATAATATCCACCCTTTACAACCTCCCTTTCATCCACCATGCACAGCTTGCTCTTCACCTGTCATAGCTTGCTATATATCCCCGTACAGCTGTCTATCCCCCCGCGGCACTGCCTGCTGCGTTTCCCTTGGTTCCACCGTGACATCTACCCTCCACACAATGCTACATATCCCCTACACCCTGCTATCCACCCGTTGTTGGTGCGTGTGTTCCTCTGCTAATCTCTTGTAACTCTTCCAGCAACTGCCAAGGTGCCCCCGTGAGAACAAGCCCTGTAAGGTGTTGGTGCGGGAATACTATGGCAACGGGACATTGAAGCAGGAGACACGTAGCGGCAGCATGTGTATGTGTGAAGGCGGCATGTGCCCGACAGAGTGGGACCAAAACCCGGAACGATCCGTCACTAGATTCCTCCACACACCTCGTGGTAAGTCAGACCCTTCACCTTAGTCCGATAAAGCACGTGTTAGGTTAAGACCATCACCATCGTTCAAAACACATGTTAAGTAAAACATCACCTTATTTCACCACACGTTAAGTAAAACATCACCTTATTTCGCCGCACGTTAAGTAAAACATCACCTTATTTCGCCGCACGTTAAGTAAAACATCACCTTATTTCGCCGCACGTTAAGTAAAACATCACCTTATTTCGCCGCACGTTAAGTAAAACATCACCTTATTTCGCCGCACGTTAAGTAAAACATCACCTTATTTCGCCGCACGTTAAGTAAAACATCACCTTATTTCACTGCACGTTAAGTAAAACATCACCTTATTTCACCACACGTTAAATAAATCATCACCTTATTTCACTGCACGTTAAGTAAAACATCACCTTATTTCGCCGCACGTTTGGTAAAACATCACCATATATCGCCTTACGTTAGTAAAACATCACCTCATTTCATAACATGTTAAGTAAAACATATCCTGATTTCTCCACACGTTAAGTAAAACATCACCTTATTTCATCGCACGTTAAATAAAACATCACCTTATTTAACCGCACGTTAAGTAAAACATCACCATATTTCGCTACGCGTTAAGTAAAACATCACCATATATCGCCACGCGTTAAGTAAAACATCACCATATTTCACCACACGTTATGTAAAACATCACCTTATTTCGCCGAACGTTAAGTAAAACATCACCTTATTTCGCCACACGTTAAGTAATGTAAAACATCATTTCTGCCCGCATTATTAAAACATCACCTTATTTCACCGCACGTTATGTAAAACATCACCTTATTTCACCGCACGTTAAGTAAAACATCACCTTATTTCACCACACGTTAAGTAAAACATCACCTTATTTCACCACACGTTAAGTAAAACATCACCTTATTTCGCCACACGTTAAGTAAAACATCACCATATATCGCCTTAAGTTAGTGAAACATCACCTCATTTCACCACACGTTAAGTAAAACATCACCTTATTTCACCACACGTTAAGTAAAACATCACCTTATTTCACCACACGTTAAGTAAAACATCACCTTATTTCACCGCACGTTAAGTAAAACATCACCTTATTTCACCACACGTTAAGTAAAACATCACCTTATTTCACCGCACGTTAAGTAAAACATCACCTTATTTCGCCACACGTTAAGTAAAACATCACCTTATTTCACCGCACGTTAAATAAAACATCACCTTATTTCACCGCACGTTAAGTAAAACATCACCTTATTTCGCCACACGTTTGGTAAAACATCACCATATATCACCTTACATTAGTAAAACATCACCTCATTTCACCACACGTTAAGTAAAACATAGCCTGATTTCACCACACGTTAAGTAAAACATCACCTTATTTCTCCGCACGTTAAGTAAAACATCACCTTATTTCACCGCACGTTAAGTATCACCTTATTTCACCACACGTTATGTTACCGCATGTAGCATAAGTAAAACATCACCATATATAGCCACGCGTTAAGTAAAACATCACCTTATTTCGCCACAGGTAAAGTAAAACACATCTTCATATTCCAAAGTACAGGTGTAAAGTTAGCTCGTCACCATATCGATCACCAAATTCAACCACATCCGTTTCAAGTAAAAGTCGACTCTGCATTACACGGCTCCTCATCTACTACACACGTGTTGAGTAAAACCTTGTTCCTACTCTACTACACACGTGTTAAGTAAAACCTTGGTTCCTACTCTACTACACACGTGTTGAGTAAAACCTTGTTCCTACTCTACTACACACGTGTTAAGTAAAACCTTGTTCCTAATCTACTACACACGTGTTGAGTAAAACCTTGTTCCTTCTCTACTTGTTCTACTACACACGTGTTAATGTAAAACCTTGGTCCTAATCTACTCTACTACACACGTGTTGAGTAAAACCTTGTTCCTACTCTACTACACACGTGTTATGTAAAACCTTGGTCCTAATCTACTACACACGTGTTGAGTAAAACTTTGTTCCTACTCTACTACACACGTGTTATGTAAACCTTGGTCCTATAGTTTACTCCACACGTGTTAAGTAAACCTGGCTCCTAATCTACTACACACGTGTCATGTAAAAGTAAGTTTCAGTTTGAACTATAATAACTGTCGACTGACTAATCCCGGCAGGATCTCGTGACATGATAGATTAATGGGCGCATTCCAGTAAACATTGAAATGTCTACGTATTTTTTGTGAAAGATGAGAATACTGTTTTCAACAATGTAAATTAGAATGGTATTATTATGATAAATAAACTGTCAAGCCTGATTGTCCTGGAATGGTAAATATCCTGCATTAAGAATAAAAGCTAAATACAATGGTATTAATACAAGACATTTATCAATGTTACAATGTACACTCACATTGTTGTATGACACGGTGTAATGTTTGGTGCCTGAAGGACATCAGCTGTTTAACGCCGCAAAATTCCAGCTACGTGACGGCAGTCTGTAGTGATTGTTTGTTTGTTGTTTAACGCTGCACTTATTACAACTATATGGCGGCGGGCTGTAAATAATCGAGTATGGACCAGACAATCCAGTGATCAACATCATGAGCATCATCTACGCAATTGGGATACGATAACATGTGTCAACCAAGTCAGCGAGCCTGACCACCCGATCCCGTTAGTCTCCTCTTACGACAGGCATGAAGATCATTATTAACCCGGATCTTCACGGATCGACGGCAGTTTGTAAATAAACTATAAATAATCGTTGCTAAGTTACCAAATGGTGGTGCACTGGACTGAGCTATGTTGCCAAAGGTGGGACAGTTCCCACTGGCAAACCTGAAACAAATGTTGAATATCATAAGTCTTGTATCATTCTTTGAACACAGAGGTGGCCTGTGTCATACAATGAGCCCACAGTTTTGTTTATATACTGTTCACACTTTGCTAAGGATCAAATCACGGATTCAACAGAAAACTATGATGTGGGGTTACGTTTGGGTTAAATGTCGAAGCTTATTGTAAGCATGGATCCTAGGTTCATCTTGTGGGCCCCATACCTGCTATTGACAGTTGTTGTGTACTTGTGAATGACTGTTCCATGATTTGCAAAATGGTTGATTGGTGCCATGAAAACCATTTTTATGGTTACTCATGTATCAAGTGCATAAGGTTAAATTAAAGTGACTGTTTGCCTAAAGAGGGGTTACCATGTTATTATTTATCCAGTTTTAAATGGATTCAATTTCAAATTATGAATCTACGTTTAAGTAAAGTTGTGAATTTTTGTGATCCTTAGCAAAGTGTGAGTAGTATAGCTGAACTCCACACATTATTTCAGCTGTATGAGTGAGTGAGTGAGTTTAGTTTTACGCCGCACTCAGCAATATTTCAGCCATATGCGGCGGTCTGTAAGTAATCGAGTCTGGACCAGACAATCCAGTGATCAACAGCATGAGCATCGATTTGCGCAATTGGGAACCGATGATATGTGTCAATCAAGTCAGCGAGCCTGACCACCCGATCCCGTTAGTCGCCTCTTACGACAAGCACAGTCGTCGTTTGTGGCAAGCATGGGTTGCTGAAGACCTATTCTACCCCGGATCTTCACGGGTCTTCAGCTGTATGATGAAGGTCTGTAAATAATCGAGTGTGGAGACAAACCAGTGATTGACAGCATGAGCATCGATCTTGCAATTGGGATACGATGACATGTGTGAACCAAGTCAGCGAGCCTGACCACCCGATCCCGTTACCCGCGTATTAAAAGAAGCATGGATTGCGGAAGATCAACTCTAACCCTGATCCTCTCAGGCCGTTTGTGATGGAGACTCCTATATGATACAGCGACGGGTGTCTGAAAGACGTCAGCTGTTTAATGCAGTGAATGAGTGAGTGTGTCCATCGTTAGGTGTCTGTGTGACGTCCAGTCAGTAGATATGATATAATAATAAGGCCGCTTATATAGCACTGACCTTCACGCCGCACAGGCATGCTCTAAGCGCATAAAACATAATGGACATATAATTGGGGTAGCCTAGTGGGTAAAGCGTTCGCTCGTCACGCCGAAGACCTGGGTTCGATTCCCCGCACGGGTATGATGTGTGAAGCCCATTTCTGGTATTCCCGCCGTGATATTGCTGGAATATTGCCAAAAGCGGCCTGAAACTAAAACTCACTCACACACTCCGGATAACCCAAGCTGCCTGTGAGGTGCGAGAAAGGTAACAGTCATATGACTCATCCCAGCGGGTACCCATTTTCTGCTGGGTGAACATAGGCTATTTTGAACAAACTCACTTGCCTAAAGTGAGACCACGTGTGTTTCTTAGTGGGGCAGGACAAAGCTCCTAGAAACCTCCGGGAGCTGCCAAACACAGTCACCCATCCAAAGACTCTCCCTGAGCAACCAATGCTTTGCGTCAACTGGGGCGGTAGTGTAGCCTAGTGGTTAAAACTTTCGCTCGTCACGCTGAAGGCCCGGGTTCTATTCCCCACATGGGCACAGGCCCTCGTGTCTTTGCGAGGATTAAAGATTTAAAAAATATATATAAAATTTGACTCGAAATGCTTCACAGTCCAATACGTCATGGTGCATTGTATTGTAAAGCCTTTCGAGTCGGGGGTCATCTCAATATTTTATATATTTTAAAAAAAATCTTTAATCCTCGCAAAGACACGAGGGCCCGTGCACATGGGTGCCATGTGTGAAGCCCATGTCTGGTGTCCCCCTCCGTGATACTGCTGAAATATGCCAAAAGCGGAGTAAAACTTAAACTCACTCACTACTGATTTGTGACAAAGCGATCTTAGCACTAAGGTGACCATAACCCCCATACCTGAACACAGACTTAAGGTAGTCTTAGCGCTAAGGTGACCGTAACTCCCATACCTGAACACAGACTTAAGGTAGTCTTAGCGCTAAGGTGACCGTAACTCCCATACCTGAACACAGACTTAAGGTAGTCTTAGCGCTAAGGTGACCGTAACTCCCATACCTGAACACAGACTTAAGGTAGTCTTAGCGCTAAGGTGACCGTAACTCCCATACCTGAACACAGACTTAAGGTAGTCTTAGCGCTAAGGTGACCGTAACTCCCATACCTGAACACAGACTTAAGGTAGTCTTAGCGCTAAGGTTGTTTTGTAAACAGCACCCTTGGCTTTATGCACAAGACCAAAAATGTTGGGCGTCTGTTTGACCAGAGACCATATAATAGATTATATGGTCTCTGGTTTGACATCATCTGTGTTTGATACAGATACGGAAGGTGTGTACAATTCTGGTTGTTGTCAACAGCTGTATCTGAGACAGACATACATTGAACGACCATGTTGGATCGTAGTATGCGACGCCATATATATTTGTTTGAGGGACCTGCATTCCCCTTCCCAGTGCTAGAGTACTTAACTGCTGACAGTAAGAGGTCAAGGGCCATCATCCGGGTCTGTAGGAGATTGATGTGGGTAATGCTATTGACAAAGGTATTAGTGTCCCATCGATGTGCGGGCAATTGAGGGCCCTAGATAAACGGTCTCCCGGCCTCAATCGGCGCCAAGAAGAGCTGACCGCCATTATCTGCAATATTCGCCATCCCCCGACAATTCACGTTGACCTTGAGCTTGTCAGTAGCTGGGGCACATTCGTTTTTCGTGTTCTACCGGGACAAGCCGAATCGCGACTCGTGGTCCTATAGATGGATTTCATATTAACGTGTGAGTGAGTGAGTTTGTTCAGTTTTACGTCGGTTTTATCAATATTCCAGCAACATCACGGCGGGGGACACCAGAAATGGGCTTCACATATTGTACCCATATTGTAAATCGAACCTGGGTCTTCGGGATGACGAGCGTACGCTTTAACCACTAGGTAACTACGCCACCCTACCCAACCCTAGCGCCCCTCCTTTTGGCGTGTGAACTTCAGAACTACTTAAAATAGTACTAATACTAAGAGTAATTTGTTCAAATCTAATTCTACATATGGTTTAAAGAGCCAAATTAAATTGAACAACTACAATTCAACACTTGAGACGCATTTACAAGTTGGAGCAGTAAGGAAGGATGTCAATATATGAACAACTTCTAATTCACAATGGGTGTTGTTTAAAGACAGATAACCCACTATCGACATGTTGTTTAAACCAAAATAACACACAATCCTGCTTCAGTTGAGACCCAGATAACTCACCGTGTTGTTTAAAGACAGAAAAACCCACAATCGACATGTTGTTTAAAGACATATATAAATTTTAACACCACACTATCGGCATATTGTTAAACCCCAGATAACACACTCGTCTTCTGTTTAACACTGTCCGACTTCAGTTGAAAAACAGATACCACACATCGTGTTGTACGTTTGAGTTGTTGTTATGTTGTATTGTCTGAGGCAGTTTTTCAGGTTTTTTGAAAGCGTACATTTATAAATTTATAAAGTGTATCGTGATGAGAATGTCGTCTTTCGTGACATTACTGGAACGCGTTAAGTTCCAGGAGAGAAATTTTCTTTGGGCAGACTGTAGTGACGTGGTTTATGTTCCAGGCTCGGAAACCACCTTGCAGCTCAAGTTCTGTCAGACTGTCCACGCCGAGCGAATTTGTCACCCCCACGAAGTGGCACTGTCGCTGAAGGGTAGATCCATTCTGCCACAGGAAGTGACGTCAATCAACTGCAGGTGTTCCGACAACCGGCCTCTGCATCTTCAGAGTGTGTTGCTCTATGAGCACACTTACGAAAGGCATCAGAACTTTGTATGTTCTATGGTAAGTGTAATTTGTCTCTTTCTTAAATGAAGTTGATAAGCATATCGATTTAAAAATATAGCTCAACAGGATACAATAGGAGAAAATGTTGCAACCGGAATGAGTTGTGAGTTCAAAGCAGTTTTGAACAGTTTTTACCACGTACATTACGACGTGTTCGATTAATGTGCGTGCGTGATAGGCCGAGGAGATGAGGTGAGGTGAAACTGGGTTTAACGTCGTGCTTGAGAATATTTCGCTCATATGACGACGTGCATGCGTGTGTATGTGCGGCTGCTTGTGCTAGCCCAGACTTCAGCTGGTTTTATAGTGCTAGCTCACTGAGACACCATGCCGCAGTAAAGCATGAATACCCCACTCAGACACAGTATACTGACTCCGAGCCGACCTTGTTGTACCCATTAATGCCGAGCGCTAAGCAGGTACCAACAAGTACCATATTTTAACGTGTTTGGTATGACGCGGTCGGGGATCGAACCCGCGACCTTCCGCTCTCCGGGCGGACGCTCTAACCACTACACCACGGAGGCGGGGGGAGCTTGGGCAGCCCAAAGTGATGAATATCAAAGACATATTTCCAGCTGTGCTGCGGGGATACCAAAGCAGGGGTATGGTTCTGACAAACTTAGAAACATAAACAGGGCAAATCGGAATCCGAGCGCACGATCGCGGGTTTCTGTCACGCCCAAGGGAGGCAACTCTGAAAAGCGAATTGCGGCGCCTTGAACGACTGGGTCATCCGTGAACCCTTGTAACCAGTGGTGTATGTTGTAAGAACCCAAAGGTGTGCTCAAGTTGTAATAAGTCAAATGGGCTTACGGGGAATGTAATTAGAAACAATGTATTCGAAGTGCAATTCTGCTTTTGGTGTAACGTGAAATTATGTTATTGCCTACATGGGATCGACTTTTAAAAGAAATCAAGTACTTTGAAGATGCATTGAATCACTTCGCACTAATGACAGTTAAAAAGCGAGTCAGGTTGTGTTCGGGCGACTGTTGATGCCGAAAGGTTTTCTTGATTGACTTTGATTTCTCCACAGCCGGACTGTGCCCATCCCCCGCGAGGCAGCGCCACCTGTCAGCTAAATTTCCAGAACTCCACACGACGTGAGAACCGGCTGTTGTGTAAGTGCCCGGGCAACAAGCAATGCCGGAGTTCCTCACAGAGCAGCCACGGAGCAGAGTACACGTTTGGGTACTGCACGGACTTGAGGGCGGTGTGAGAGTCACGGCAGAGATGACCACGTTGCCATGATGTGTCCAGGCAAATATACTCGGGTACTTATGCTGGTGTATACATAGCTTTTCGCCCTGACGGATGAACTGTTTTAGTATTCGTTGTATAATATTTATTATCATTATTATGTCATTGTACGTCACCGCCTGAGGTTTGTCAGTGGAAACCTACAGCACCTGATATACACCCTATCTGACCTTCCTATTGGTTGTGAGTTGATGACATCACAACAGGTCAGTACTCCTGATCGGATATCAGCCACGCCCACACGTCAGTTACGTCCGGATGCCAGGCTTCGGTTTTGTTATAAGGAAATTGTGTTATGTCCATAATTGATCTACTCCTCTATGATGGGTTAATCACACACGCAGTTGCTTCCCGTTGTTCTGGTGTCACGTGACATGTTACGCCACTGCCGCCATGTTGTCCTCGTTCTACCGGGAGATCGGGGCAGTAGACGGTCGACCAATCGGTACTGACTTTACCAACCAGCGTTATTTACTTTAGCTGTGTATAAAATATTTCATTGTTTGGACATTGTAGTTGTATGAACCTATATCTAAACTTTGACATCATATGGTGTCCTTCGCGTCGACGCACATCTACTTTTGACGTAGTTTTGTCCTCATTAAAGACGTTCATTCCAGTTAATTTGTTACGTGATGTTTATTAGCCCCATGGATGACAGTCGCGTTGTTTGGCTTGTTCAAAAACACACGTGGGACTGCGTATCGGATTGGTTGAAATTGGCGTATCTCGAATCTCGAGCTGTTTACATATGACAAACTGAAAGATATCCTTGCACATATGGACGCCATTTAGATAGTGTATGAAATAAGGCCCGCCAGACCACCCGAGACGGTCTAGATTTCTGAAGGACGGTCTAAATTTACAGCTAGCCAGCCCGATGGTCTGGTAAATATTTTAGATGTTCCATACATCCGAGTAAAGTCACCATATTTGGTCTGGTTAAATCCATTTTGGGCTGGTAACGTTTTGAAGTTACCAGCCCTGGTGTCTGGCTGGATTTTTGGCTTATTTCATACACCGCATTAGAACTCGGTGATTCGCCCGAGGAAATCTAGAATAGCTTCATTTAGGGATATTTCATCGCGGGCTCATTCTCTTCCCACAGAGGTTACTCCTGTCATATCTTCCTACGTAACCTCGTTCAAGACTCGTGATTGGAGGCAATCAGATTTAGTTGTGCAATCAGCGACGTTGTTTCAAAAGTGATCATTCGCAAGGCCTCGGTAATTTCCGTATGCTTCGAGAAAACTAAACTTCTTCCCCTGCGCGATGGGCAAACGTTTCTTCTAGACAGAACTCAGTCATGTTATGGCGGATCAGTGGCGTCTCCATCGCCCTCGTTGACAACGGAGAGCTAGCCATTAAACGTCTTGAGTGTAACATCAACACAAGTCCCCGGCAGATGGGGGGATATTTTTGACCCCACATTTGCTTGTGTTAGTCAAGTTGAATCTAAGTCGATGTGACACCTGTTCTGATTGGAAAGAAAGAAGGGAGATAATTCGTTTTGCTATCTTTTTCCGCTAGGGGATTTTACGACAACCGGGAAATATGGCCGTATTAGAACAGAGGTTCGTAGGAAGATATGACAAGTAACCTCTGTGGGAAGAGAATGTTGCGGGCTATGATGGGTTAGGACAGGGAAAGTAATGTAGTTTAGGGATTGTGGGACGCACAATACCATCGACAACCCAGTGATTGCTAGCACTAAGAGTGGCCAATGGGGAATTGCCAGCACTAAGATTTGCCAATGGGGAGCATGATGACAGACGATCGGCCAAGTCACAAAGCCCGAATCATAGCCAACCCTCATTTTAGAATTTTGTTTGTTTGTTCTTAACGCCGCACTTCGCAATAATCCAGCTAAATGGTGGCGGTCTGTAAATAATCGAGTCCTGACCAGACAATCCAGTGATCAACAGCATGAGCATCCGTCTACACAAATGGGATATGATGACGTGTCAACCAAATCAGTCAGCGAGCCTGACCACCCGATCCCGTTAGTCGCCCCTTACAACAAGCATTGGTTGATGAAGACCAAAAATAACCCGAATCTTCGCGGGTCCAGTTAAGGACTTTTGGACAAAGGGAATATCATTGAAAAGACGATGTATGGCCCTGGCATCAGGGTACTATGAGTATCATCGTCTGAGACCATGACCCACGCCAGTCTTAACTGACAACTTACCTTGCCTCATGAGGTGCTCTGATGGCCGCATAAATCCTTGGGTAAGAGACTTAGGTGAGGTGAGGTGAAATTGGGTTTAACGTCGTGCTTGAGAATATTTCGCTCATATGACGACGTGCATGCGTGTGTATGTGTATGTGCGGCTGCTTGTACTAGCCCAGACTGAAGCTGGCTTTATAGTGCTATAGTGTTGTACCCAATAATGCCGAGCGCCAGGCAGGGACCAACAAGTACCATATTTTAACGTCTTTTGGTATGACGCGGTCGGGGATCGAACCCGCGACCTTCCGCTCTCCGGGCGGACGCTCTAACCACTACACCACGGAGGCGGTCGGCAAGAGACTAAGAACTGACGCAATGGATGGATCTCTTCGCAAACACACACACAAACACAAGAGTTTCCTGTATCATAATATTTATTCATAGATACACCCACAGCAACCACCTCTCCATCCTGATGAAGACTCCGTAAGGAAGGTACTTATACTGCGGAGACGGACACTGCAGATATAACTTTGTCTTTCCACGTAACTTACGATTTTAACTTAGATCTTCAACTCGTATCTACACATCAACATTAGATCGGAATGGACATAAGTGCACGCAAGATACAAGCAACTCATGACATTTTATCGTGGTTATCTAATTGTCTATTATTCGCTAAATGCTCCTTCATAATATACTAGCCGTGCATATACCTGGGGCGGATGGAGAGGCTTCATGGCTTGTGGTACATGTAACTAACACTGGAATGTTTGTGGAAATATTTCCCTGGATGAGCAATACACTCTGTGGTATTTCTACATGACGTTATCACATGGTGGCGCCGTCACCCGACTACAGCTTAGGAGTCACCTGCAGCCTGGATGCCGTTGTACAAAGCGATCTTAGCTAAGGTGGTCGTAACTCCCATATCTTAACCGACTTACGTCAGTCGTAGCGTTTATGTTGTTTTGTACGGCGGCACTCTGGTCGTGTACATAGGCTATGTGTCACGAAACGATCTCAGTGCCAAGCTCCCATCTTGGCACGGGCACGGACTTACGACAGTCGTAGCAGCGTTTGTTACAAGGCTAGTAGAGCAGTTACGACGACCTTACGACAGTCACTTTCAGAACACTTTGTGAAACGGTCCTCGTCAGTATCATCAAGTGAATTTGGATAAAGCTAATCTGAACAATAATAGTTGAGGAATATCTTACGGGAAGAATTTACAGCAGGCACCTGCTGCTCTCAAAGCTGTGGTGGTTACCTTTCACGTTAAAATTTATTCTAAACTTGACCTAGAGAAAGGAGGTTATGGGATCAACAGGCTGAACGTGGTTCCCTTCTGAATCAGACGGTGATAAGAAAAACGTAGTGCAACCAGACACCGGGTGTCAGGGCTAGGAAATACAATGACACCAGGACAATGCGCTGATTGGTGGGGAAACACCAGGTGTCTTAACGACACTTTGTTATCAGTTGGTGTGACCAGACAATAACATGGGGTGTGGTTGACACCTTGGAATAAATTGGATATCTGACAGAACATGGATCCTTATTCTCGAAACGTTCGTAGCCTTAAGAATTCGTAACTTTGATCGTAGCCAATGGGTTAAGAATGGGCTTAAGAAGTTCGTAGGGCTACGAACGTTTCAAGAATAGCTAGCATGGTGTCTAGGGACACCTGGGTACGGTGGTGGGAAAGGGGTGACAATAGAATACTTTCTATGTACAATATATCTGTTAGACACCTGATAACAACAAGTGCTCATTTCATCTGTGACTGGATAACACAACAACTGTATTCACAACAAACACAGGGCAACATTCAATGTCTTCAAGACCAAGTTAACAACAGCAAACTAACATGCTTGAACTAAAGCTAAATTCCAATAACACAGTGGACTCTCCTCACCTTGGCCCAGGAGCAACAATCTGGGGTCAGCAGAAGTTAGGGGAAACAAGAACATCTGTTTCCTCAAGAACACGTTTCTCCAAGAACACCTGTTTTCCCCAAGAACACCTGTTTCTCCAAGAATACACCTGTTTCTCCAAGAACAGCTGTTACCAAGGCATACTAAATATTGGTTTTATATCTCATGTCTTAAGTCATATACCCTGGACCCATTCCCTATCATCATTTCCGTCTAAGTCTGATTGAAATGAAACAACTTTAAATACAGCCCACTGATCAAATGACAGTCATGTGTGAGGTACATTCTGAGTGCACTAAGGTAGAGGTGATGAATTCACTTCCCAAACAAAAATATCAATGTAACCACTGGCAGGGTTTCTCATCAACATTAAAAAACATGGTATATGAAAAGCTTGAAACAAATACTTCGGATCCAAGTGTAGGGACAAAAAAGGTATTTCCCATCACAGAAATCACATTGTTTTGAAAAAATAAAACAGCTCAAGTCTGGATTGAAACAATATCTAGTTCTGCAGTCATAGCTGTAAAATATTTTGTTTCCAGACAAAATCTACCCCAGTTCCCTCACACCCAATGTCAAATGGTCAGTCCAATAATAGGTCCAGGACAATTGTCAAAGGATGGAAAAACTGAATATTGTGGAATAAAAGATTAAAGAGCGAGCGAGTTTGGTTTTACGCTGCTTTTAGCAATATTCCAGCAACATCACGGCTGGGGGACACCAGAAATGGGCTTCACACATTGTACCCATGTGGGGAATCGAACCCGGGTCTTCGGCGTGACTCGCGGACGCTTTACCCACTTGGCTACCCCACCGCCCCAAAAGATTATAGATCATGTTAAGGATAAAGTAAGGAAAGTCCACTGTAACGGAAATATCACATACTCGATCTGTCATCTGTGTATAGACAGTAGGACAAGAGGTCTTTACCATCGGACCAGATTTTCCTTCAATGGCCACTTGTTGGTTCAACAACTGGCTATATTAGTGCTATTGAAGTTTTAACACTGTGGCTAAAAACTATTGTGAGATGAATAAATAGTCTTCTTGGCGACAGAAGAGACAGGTTATATAAGCCTATAAGAGGTGTCGCCATTGTGACCAGAATGTAGCTGTGAATGGTGACTGATCACGCCCACAGAGAGGCAGGGGAGGCAACTCCACCTGGACATAATACTTTTGCCAAATAGCATAAAAATAACACAAAAAGACATAACAATGGACGGATTTCTAGAAAAACAACAATATCTAAATATAAGACAACATGTCAAACATCTAAAGAATGATATGTAAAATATATTATAAATGCCTCTGATCAATCACAATGGACGGTTTCGCAAAGAATGCTCCGCTATAGGTGAGCACAAGTGTTCTAGTCATATGGCGTCTCCTACTGAATAACTATTATGAAATCATGATTATGATGATGATGATGATCAGAAGCTCTTCAACCTGATAAAATCATTTTTTGGCGAAAATAAACAAACTAAATAAATAAGCTGCAGAAAAAGTCAAACCTCACCAAGTTGGTCGCTCTGCCAGTTCAGCAGAGGATGAAAATACAAATGAGAAAATACTCATAAAACAAGAATAACCGGCCACACAACAAGATATCACTGTGCACACATGTAAAGCAAACCCTACACTCAAGTCACCAGGTGCAAGGGGGCTAACTGTTTCACCTGCGTGTAAATAACAATGAACCAGTACAATATAACACATCGGACCAGCCATTTTGTAACAATGTGGTTCCTGTAAAAAGATATTTTGCAATCATGGAGAGCTTCAGATTACTTCTGACTGATTACAGGTTGCCCATCCTGACAATGAATCTGAAGTTCTGTGCCTGTGGAACTATGTAAAAGGGACCGTTCATAATTTATGGCTAGAGGGGGTGATTATGATTTTAAGGAGGGGGAGGAGAGAGAGAGAGAGAGGAAGCAGGGCAGCAATTTTGTACCCAAAAATATTTAAATAATATACTTCAAAAATTATGGGAAGGGGAGGGTGGGGGTCATTGATTTTGTAAATGAATTTGGGGGTGGGGGGTCACTTACTTTATATGTAAATTTTAGGGGGTCATTCACATTGTACATGCTTCTGCATAAAAATCATTATCACCCCCTTGCCATAAATTATGAATGGTCCTTTAACACAATGGTGTGTTACAGCAAGAGAACAGGAACATCTACATCGGAACCTTGCAGATGATAATACTGGGATAATACTGTGTGCTGTGTGTGGAGGCCTACTGTGGATGGGTCTACTGTAACACGGGCATCTCACACGCTCATCATGGAGTGTCAGTCGTCAGCTGTGTCAACACCTCATCAGATACAGATGATTTAGTAAAACAGGCCATCGATATCTGTAACAGACTCTGACGACCTACATTCACAATGCTCGCACCCAAAGAGCTGTTCAGTTGTACATCAGTACAACACATGCATCCAACTACAGCAAATACAGTCAAATCCTGATGAGTCGAATTGCTGGGGACCAAGTAATAAATTCAACTTATCGATGTATTCGAGACATAGGTATGTCTATGAGGGTAGAAAAAAAGATGATCCAGTCCTAATTCCTCCGCCTAAGCATTTGTTTATCTAATGATTTCCATATCACTAATAGGGGCACCTTATCAGTTCCAGTCTGATTAGCACAGACAGTGATTTCCGTAAAATCACTAATCTGCCTTTTGAACTCACCCGTCAATGGCGGAAAGGTGAGAGCCGCGCTGGTTTGTTAATTGGATCAGTTTGCTACACCAATCAACTTCTCATTGACTGACTTCGGCTTATGTATACAAGTTTGCTGTTGTTTGAATCTCATGGGACCAAATTTCCTTCTCGAGTCATCGTGTGTATTTATGAGACGAATTCGTGTAACCGAAATAAAAAAATGGTCGGGACCGACAGATACTTCGAGTTATGCATAATATTCGAGACACCGGCATTCGACTCATCGGGATTTGACTGTATATTGAATGTACCGACACAACACTTGCATTCAACCACAACTGTTCTGTTGTACACTTACACAACACTTGCATCCAAGCTGAGCTGTTCTGTTGAACATCCACACAACGCTTGCATCCAAGCACAGCATATCTGTTGAATATACCCACACAACACTTGCATCCAAGCACAGCATATCTGTTGAATGTACCCACACAACACTTGCATCCAAGCACAGCAATTCTGTTGAACGTACTCACACAACACTTGTATCCAAGCACAGCAATTCTGTTGAATGTACCCACACAACACTTGTATCCAAGCACAGCATATCTGTTGAATGTACCCACACAACACTTGCATCCAAGCACAGCAATTCTGTTGAACGTACTCACACAACACTTGTATCCAAGCACAGCAATTCTGTTGAATGTACCCACACAACACTTGTATCCAAGCACAGCATATCTGTTGAATGTACCCACACAACACTTGCATCCAAGCACAGCAATTCTGTTGAACGTACTCACACAACACTTGTATCCAAGCACAGCAATTCTGTTGAATGTACCCACACAACACTTGCATCCAACCACAGCTACTTTGTTAATGTACCCGCACAACGCTTGCATCCAACCACAGCTACTCACACAGAACAATCTATGAACCATGATTTTTCTGACTTTCAGCAAACTCCATTGCCATGGTTATAAGAACTGCTTCAGTCCCAGAGATGCAACCTTCTATTTGTGGGGGTTACATCGGAACTGATCTGTAGGAATTCATGAGGCCTATCATGCAAGCCTGTCATTTCAGCAGTAAATAGATACGACAACCACTCTACACCGTGTGATCATCAAGAGCTACACAACTGGTTCCAATAGCAGCGAGGAACACTGTGTACATGGTGTACATGTCAAGCTTTCAAGCAAGTGTCGTTTTCTCAATGGCAAATCATGCAAACGCTATCCTTTGATCTGTCGCTTTGGTGCAGGGAAGTAAAGAGTGCTGGTGTATACAACACAGATAACTGGGCAAGACGTAACCGAGTGTTACCGTTCTAGGTCACGTGACTCATACATACAGTCATCATCACAGGTCAGCTCACGCCGTGGCAACAAAGATAGACCATTACAACCTAACAACGTCAGTCTTAATAAAATCTCTGCACTTAACACAACTGCAGTGGATTAAATAACATGATCTGCATAACGACAGTGACCCCTACAGTGAAGGACAAGGTCACATGGACAAGTGAAAGACAGCTCTATGTAACCTGATGATAATGACCGCTAAAGTGAAGGTCAAGGTCAAATGGACTCATGGTGGTCAAGGTCAAATGGACACATGAAGGTCAAGGTCACAGTTGAGTCAGGACTGCTGTGGTGTGGATGTCGCCATGGCCTGGAACTGCTGCGGTACAGCTGGCTTCTGTACCTGCGTGGTTGCACTGGTCCCCTGCTGCTTCTGCTGCTGCTGCTGCTGGAAATGTAAGTTCATCTTCTGTGCTACCGAGTAGGCATAGTCGATACTGGGCCGTTGTTCAGGGTCCGGGTTGATACACATGGCTACCAGCTCTCTCAGCTGTAAACAAGCAATGTTGAAGTTGTGTTATGGATGCACACATTAACAAGAAATGGCGAGGAATGCTCAAGTGACAGTATAAAAGCAGCTTAATATAAATGAAAACCTGTCGGACACAAAAAGGGAGTGATTCAAGTCAGTGCTGAGCAAAGTAATTCAAGTATTGTGGTACAGAGTAAAATTCCAAGGGACTCGCCAAAATTGTTTACTTATCAGGTATTTTACTTATCCAAACCTATAAAAATCTGCAAATGACAACCATATGCATGTATATGTATGCATATGTAACAATGAACCACTTATCAGGGCTGGCCTCCAGTTGTCAGTGTATTGTCAACTGCATGACGCCAGCGAGCTGTAAGTAGGATGTTTGTTTAACTGGAGACTGACACTTACCCCTCATGTCGGATTATGTGGTGATCGCTAATTTAGTTATCCAGTCTCTTTTGTTAAGTAATTTACTTCCAGGGACTGTGAGAAGACGTTTAGTTAAGCGGTATTGTTTACTTATCCAAGTTTAGTTAACCGGACTCTAATAGTGATAATTAATGAAGAAATTTGCTGGGACCAAAGAAAAGTGTTTACTTATCAGGTCTGTTTAGTTAAGCGGTCTTTACTTAGGCGGTTTCCACTGTAATTCAAGTCAGTGTTACAGACACAAGTTTAGAGTAATTCAACAATTTTGTGTTGTATAGAATAATTAAAATGAGTGTTGTATAGTTATTTAGGTCAGTTTTGTGTGTAGTAATTCATTTTGTGTTGTACAGAATATTTCAAATGAGAGTTGTATAGTTATTTAGGTCATTTTGTATGGACCAATTCTTTTACACTGAAAGCTATTTGCCACACCAGTCATCATTGAATGCAGCAATTTGCTACTTTTATGATCATCATGTCTAGCTGTTGGACAGTGAGTGCTCCTGGCTAGGGTGCATCTGTGAACATATCTCACCTCGCGGGAGTAGTGGTCAGATGGCAGTGGTGGGTAGTCACACGATTCGATCTTCTTACACAGAGAGTACAGGTTCATCTTATCTCCATAGAAGGGAGACTGCAATGCTGCCATCTGGAAGCAAGGGAGACAACTTCATTAATGAACTGAAAGACAGGCAATGTCAGCACTAAGACACTCGGACGGTCACTTTGATGGTCAGTGTTGGTGTGGTCGTTTTATCAGTTCATGTCCTCACCTCATACAGGAGACAGCCTAGAGACCAGATGTCAGACTTGAAGTTGTAGCCATTTTCATGAATTCTCTCTGGAGACATGTAGTATGGTGTCCCCACTGCAACACAAACACAACCATTGCACCATCAAAAACACAGTGTCACCTGGCTTCATGCATAACTGCTCTATTCCAGTCACTGTGAAGACAGCATACTCAGATGCCAGCCCTATTTAAAGTTTGTGATTAAAAAACAAGAAAAGTGTAACTGCTTTTGAAGAGACTGATGTTAACCTTTTGGATGTTAACCTTTGAGAATTTCTGATGTGGCTTTTCGCTTCGAGATAATATTTAGGTAAAGATGCAAGTGGAACACATTTTCAAAACTCATTTCATGAAATTATGTGACGGTAATTAACTGTATTTTGGAGATAAATTTTGGTGCATTGACAGGCCAAGATTCTTAAACATAAAAGACTTGCACCCAGTGTATGTTAATATTTGCTATATACCTACACAGGGAATGTACTGGAGCTGTGTACAGTGCACCTACATGGACAGGGTACCTACCTAGGGAATGTGCTGCAGTTGTCTTGGAGCTGAAAAACCGACCAAGGCCAAGGTCACCAAGTTTCACAACACCCTGAGCAGTAATGAAAACATTGGCTGGTTTGATATCTGAAACATAACACATATATTTTATATCAAAGCATGTCACCTTGATGTGGGAGGAAAACCTAAAGGGTTGAAAGTCTGAGGTGTTATAACTTTGGCGAAAACAACAAGCAGGGTATGGGGCGAACCTTGAAATGATCACAGGTTTAAAACAGATCTAAGGGACAGCACTCCGCTCTGCAACTTGATCAACAGTGCCTCAAATGTATTATTTGAAAAATGTGGGGAAATTAATGATACCATCACAAGACCAAGTTGTATATCAAATAAATTCTTGTACAAATAATGACATATTTATGATCTGACCAAATAACATGTCATCATGTAATCATGACATCAGATGAGCATGATCCAGAGCAATTAGCTGTTGTGTGCATTCATCTCTACGCAAGATCCCTGGTTACATCTGGAGTATACACCCACCTGTGTGCATGATTTTAAGATATGCCTGTACAGACCTACCTCTATGCATGATCCTCCGGGAATGCATGTGGTCAAGGGCACTACAGATCTGCACAAAGTATTTCCAAATTGTTTTCTCTGGGATGAGGCGGTTCTGTTTCTTAAAGTGCTGAGCAAGAAATGGGAACAAAATTAGGAGTTTATAACATTCTCTCTCGATGACTAGATGATCTGGTAAAAAACAAATGCCGTAAACTTGGTAAAAGTGGCATTAAATTAGAGCTGGCTAAAAAGATCAATAATTGGAAATATCGCCCATGGGAAGAATTATACATGAATCTCGCAGAGATTTACCTTGAGTCCTGTATTTGAGGGTCCCTGGGACTCATACTCTTAATTTTCAGGGGTCCTGGACAACAAACTAGGGCTCCCAGACACTTAAATATTATTACTAATACTGTTATTGTATTGTGTATCATGATCATCACATTAATTGTTACAGTAATGAACTTGCAAATGATACCATAACTCAGCTAGTAGCAAACTCAGTGATAACTTATTGTTACTTGATTGGAATTTGTACAAAAGTATTGGGACTATTTCAGTGTCCCTGTGGATGCTCTAATAAATTTCGTTGCATCCATTGTCAATTTTATGTATATGGGACACAGGAATTCGCGTCCTGTAAATCCCTGTTATTGATATGAAAATTGTGTCATCCATAGTATCACAGATAAACATTTGTGATGAAGAATAGTGTTAATTTACTTACATAATACACAAAGCTATGTTTCAATTTATGGGATGTTTCTAAATAATGTTCAGGATGCTGTTTCGTTCCTGATCCATGCATAAATGTCACCACTCACCAGTGATGTGAAATATGATGACTTTTTTCAGACTTCTTGTCAATTTTTCTTAAAGTTACTTCTCTGATATCTTATCGATAATCGATTAGGAACAGCCTATTATTTGTGGATAAGGCCACCTGTTGGATTCAATCCACTGTACCTTGATCATCCTAGACAGGTCCCCAGCGTCGGCCAGCTCCAACACAATGTTCAGCTCATTGTTACCGATAAAGTTGGCTAGGTATTTGATGACATTCGGGTGATTCAGTTGCTGCAAGGAACAACCACATGTATGACTTACATACCGTTCAAAACAAGTAAGGGATATTGGATTTACAAGATTGATAAAATGCAAATGATGAAGCCAAGAAGGAAACAGATGATGAAGAGAAATTAATGGAAAATATGACAATTTATTCCATTCCTTTGGAAATGTCTCATCTGTATGGATATATATTACTTCTCATATTGGCATTGGCTAGTGGTATGCTCGAAAAATGGAATATCCCCTACTTCTTTTTAATGGTATATGTCGTATTATGGTTCTTACAAATGTTAAGCCACCACATTTAAGTCCTTTTCAAGGCAGTCATCACACCTTCAAAGGTTGAAAACTAACACCCATCGGCTTTCAAACTGATCTCTTAGGCCATTGTCTGTATCATTCACATTTCTTTATCAGAATACAACTGTGTCACATTTTTATCGTATTCAACACAAGAGTGTTTCACACTTTCACAGCACTATATCATCACTAGGTCGGATATCGATCTCTACTGTTGTGATTGATTATTTGGCCAGACCAATTTTATTTCTTGTTTACGGATTTTTGTCCTCAGAAATCCGAAAGGCAGGAGGGAATAAAAATAAAAATAAAATGACCAGTCAAAGTAATTATTCCTTCTAAATACTATTACATTTTTGGCCAATAAAAACATTAGGATTTTATTTTTTGAGCGGTGAAAATTAATTTTTATTTTTTTTCTTATTCTTGAAAAAATAAGACCGGTGGATCCGTAAAACAAGAAATAAACTTGGTCAGGCCTTATTGACAGTTAAACCTGTCTACCTCTTTGACGTTCTGAGTCATGTTTTCCAAATGTGTTTCCAGGTTGGGTAACCTCTGCACAGGTTGTACCCTTCTTTATTAAATAAGCTAGTTAGTCCTGTTGTTACATTATCATTGACTTTGCAAGACATTAACAGGTTAATGGCCATATCACATTTTCTTGATATTTTCATAATTTTCACTACTTCACGACAGGACATTCTTCTATCATGTATACGGTATTATACACCATGACCGGATTTAAAAAATATCTTTAGAGCATTTTGGATGACAATGAGGAATTGTCCTAGCAAATAAACTGATCTGAAAGTGGCCTACCGGGTGAAAATGGTGTTAGTGTAATTTTGACATTATCATGATTATATTGGCAATCTATTTCATTTTTGTTATTCAAGATTTCATTCAAACAATTCACATTAATTTCTGCAAAATAATCTGCAAACTGGTCAGTAGACCACCACAGCCTGACATTGTTTACACTAGGGCTGTAACGATGCACCGAACTATCCATGGATTGCAATTGTTGAGTCTCCAATAGCAATTAATCGACGGGTAGAAACAAAAAACAATCGATGCATCGATAGTATGTATGACTATCGATAGTTTTAGTAACAGACTTCCGCTGATAAATGCACAGCGCAAAATACAGGAAGTACCAGATTGGTTCACTTTGATTAAGAGCTATCCACCCCTGTTACCGGCAAACACGGCATGCGACTTGGAGTTTGAATTTGTGAATAACACTATGTTTATGTTTTAACTGTCAGTCTTGTCAGTTATTAAAAGAGACTGAAACTACTTCAACTCGTTTTTATTTCATTTAAACTAGACTTCAAATGAGACAATTCAAGGAGAGAAACTATTGCAGTAGTATTGCAATAGTAGGTCGCAATAGACTATCTCTATCTCAATATTTTACTCTTGTTAATTGAATATAAATCTCAAAATTGTTCAATTAGACTATCATAGCCAAATCGCAATAGTTGTTTCCCCCTTGGAATAGTCAAATGCCTAGTTTACACCAACCACCACAGCATGGCCAAGTACTGGTACCATGAAATAAACCTCAGTGGTCAGGAAATGGCTACAAAAGTCATATATGACAAACTTTAGCTTTTAATAAGTCACACAAACTGATATGACAAACTTACCCTCAATAAATCAATCTCCTTGATGCAGTCCTGTCTTGCCTTGGCGTCCATCATCTCAAATATCTACAACAATGCCATCATATTAGGGAGAGAAATATTTCAGTTTATAAATGAACCACAGGACACTGATAAACAAAATAAATATGTCCTAGCATGCCCTCTGCGACTGAAAGTGTGCATACTAGAAAATACTTCCTGCAATTTGACCAAGGCTAGAAAATATGCAACTGTAATTTTGAAATCCTATCCCTTACTTTTCAATATGATTTATCATAACTTTCTTGATTTGGAAATACAGAAATCAGTATTAATTTATCATACAGTACATGCACAGGACTCCAGATAATTTTTCAACATGACGAGTATGTACTCCTTATTTTTTAAATATAGGAGTACTGGAAAAACTATAAGTACATTTGGAGTACTGAATGGAATTTAATGGAGTATGTGATCTTGTGTTTCGTTTCATATATGCACCACAGCATTGCTACTCTTTTGTAAACAGGTAAAAACAATAAAACAATACTTTTCTCAGATAAATACGTCTGTAAATGATTCTAAGATCGTACACCATTGCTGTGCTGCGTATCTGCTACTGTTTCTAAATTATATACTACCGTATGTTTATCACAGATATTTGCAGGTTCATATAATTTCAAGATACAAGTTAAAATATTGTGTTTTCTAAGTGACCTACAGAGATCTAAACACAGTTATAGTTCTTAAACATCATGAGGTGTTTGCTCATTAACTCAGGTCAAAGATTCACCAGTTTTTCTGTTTAGAGAAATCCAGAAGTATGGGCAAAGTGAGACACACCAACATGATCAAAGATTATACTCAGGTTGAATCTAGACTTGGAACTGGCAATCAATGATCACTGGCACAGAAAGGTCATCGAGGGTATTGTAGTACCTTAGATCACAGACCGCCTCCGTGGTGTAGTGGTTAGAGCGTCCGCCTGGAGAGCGGAAGGTCGCGGATTCGATCCCTGACCGCACCAGACCATAAAATATTGTACTTGTTGGTCCCTGCCTGGCGCTCGGCATTAATGGGTACAACAAGGACTGGTCGGCTCGGAGTCAGTATAATGTGTCTGAGTGGGGTATTCATGCTTCACTGCGGCATGGTATCTCAGTGGGCTAGCACTATAAAACCAGCTTCAGTATGGGCTAGTACAAGCAGCCACGCATACACATACATACGCATGCATGATGCACGTCGTCATATGAGCGAAATATTCTCAAGCACAACGTTAAACCCAATTTCACCTCACCTTAGATCACAAGACTGGAGTGCCTCAAAATATCGCAACAGATTGATGTTGTGTACCCAGTGACACTAGAAAATCAGCCCACAATCAGAATGAGCATGATGAGTGTATAGGTATACTTTTCTCACAAAACTGACGCAACTGTTGCTCCCTATCGCACCTCAGGGGTGGAAATAACCCATTGCCTGACGTCCGAGTCCAGTGTTTTTTTCTGTCAGGCAAGCAAATTTGTATATCACACTGTATCGGTGTCCAGTTGACTTTCCAATATTAATTATGTTGTTTATTTTAAAAAATCAACAAGAAAACGGCCGGTATAGTGGAAATATTATCAGGGCAAGTGATTTTACATGTGCCACTGTACCGGAGTACACTAGCAATTATAAAGTTATTTCAACCCCTGCTGTACCTTGACTTTATAAAGAGTATCAGTGATTTTGACAATACTCCTTAGGCTACAGACGACAACATACTTGGACTTTCTTGAGAGCAACAATGCTGTTGTCGATGAGGTTGAGTGCCCTCCACACTTCAGAAAACTGCCCCTTGCCGATCTTCTTCTCTACCTTGAAGTTTGTGAGGCCGCTGTAGATGTTGTCCGAATCTTGTGTGACACACACCTCAGACTCCACATGGCTGGGGTCACACTCCATCGGGTCCATCATGGACGGCTGTAAAACACACATGTGTTGTAGGTATCTTCCTATCTCCCTCCTCATATTAACTATAGGTTTATTAATTCAACCATTTTGTAACCATGCATATATATATAATAACAAAGATACAAAGTAAAGTGCTTGAGAACATTCTTAACGTCTCTAACAAACTTAGTTCTCTACTACTCAGTATTCACGAGTAAACTTGGAGAGATAGGAGTGTGTTGTTACTATACTCTGTAGTGACTTTGGGTCAGCTCATTAATTAAATAGGGGTGGACAGCATGGCTCAGCTAATTAGTGTACTCATTGACTCAATGATTGAGTCTGTCTTATGGGCGGTCTGTCTTTTGGGAGTGAACCATGTTGTAAGCATTCGTTGGTTTCACATTACTTTTCAACTCACTGTGCACATGAGCAGAGTGTCTGAAAACTATCCACTGGCATGCTTCCGGTTTGGTCGTACTTTTATCGATACCGACACTCCAAAGAAAACAAAAATCAAAACAAATATATAGTTTTATGTCGAATACAACTGATCCCAGTTGATTTATGAAACAGAGGCCGGGATTAGTTAAATAAATAGCTTAAGTTATGTTAACAAGCTCTTGTATAAAGACATCTCACCACCACCGTCCTTCACGCAGATCCCCTTCTCACAACTAAACAAACACATCTCTGATGGAGTTGCAACCAAAATAGGACATCAATTATTGAAGAGCAGAGGCAAATGGAAGTATGTACTCAGCTATGAACAGTTGTCACAACGTAAATAATTTTCATAACAACTTTTATTTAGCGTGCATTTACACTATCGATAAACATACGACCAAACCGGAAGCATGCCAGTGGATATTTTTTACACGCTCTGCGCATGCGCTCAGTGAGTTGAAAAGTAATGTGAAACCAACGAATGGTAAGGTGTGTGTGGGGTGTGTGTGTTTCTGGTTGCAAGTGTTGTTCCTACAATTTGGTATGTTGTTTAACAATGCAGCATGCAATTTTGATGCTACATAATGGCAGTGAGTGAGTGAGTTTAGTTTTACGCATAACTCAGCAATATTCCAGTTATATGGCTCGGTCTGTAAATAATCAAGTCTGGACCAGACAATCCAGTGATCAACAGCATGAGCATCGATCTACACAACTGGGATATGATGACTTGTCAACCAAGTCAGCGAGCCTGATCACCCGATCCCGTTAGTCAACTCTTACATAATGGATGATTCCTGGGCAAGATATAAACTACTTCAAGCAGCAGATACAATGAACAACATAACATACCATCAGCAGGCCTACCAAAGAAAACGTTACCATTGTGCAGAAAAACGCAGAAAAGCCCACATTAATCGTGGAAATAGCAACATAAACATAATACCTCGCTACCGAAACAGTAAAAACGGCAACTTTAAGTCACTAACACTGCATCATAAAACGAGGAGCCCTTTGATTTTGCGCATGCGCACATGGAAGAGGAAGTCTCGACCGCATGTTGACATTTTCCAGCTTGGACAAAAGTTACATTCCTTTTTAAGTATTTCTGTTGTGTTATTTGGCATTTATCATCATGATACTTGTGTGCACACTTGTTTAGTTTACTTTCTATTGGTATGAAATGATTGACAGCAATTATTTCGACATATATTAGTACTTTTTCTACGCGAGGCGATTCACGGTTGCTCGGAAATTGGAAAGAAGCCCGGATCGTAATGCGCATGCGCAGTAGAGGTCAAAGTTCGCTGATATAAAAATGTTGCAGTTTCATAGTTTTTCGTTGCCGTTTTTACTGTTTCAGTAGCAAGGTAATATTGTTTATGTTGCTATTTCCACGATTAATGTGGGCTTTTCTGCGTTTTTCTGCACAGTGGGAACGTTTTCTTTGGTAGGCCTGATCAGGGCATGATATGCTACCATTAACCAAGACTGTGATCTGAACACCGGCTGTAGTTTAACATGAATAATCAAATCATATATCATATGACATAACAAACTGTTGTTTTGGGGACGTATTCTACAACCGATGGATGTTACTTCCATTTTACATTCATAAGAACTTTCCATTTCTGGTGTCCCCCGCCGTGATGTTGCTGGAATATTGCTAAAAGCGGCGTAAAACTAAACTCAATCAGTCAGTCATAAGAACTTTAACTCGTTAACATCAAAGTATAATTCACAGAAGATTTTTGCCTTAAAATGAATGCCAATTTTTATCCACCACTACACTGTTGGCAGTGGCTATTTTCATTTTGTTTACGACTCTTTCGTTGGTGATCGAAATTCCCAAAGCGTGAGGACTACAGGTACCATAATTGAATAGAAAGCAAATCGTTCTAATAGCATTAATCTGTTGTTAAACAACATTGTCTCAGTGTGATCGATTTCCCAATAAAGACAATATGTTGGTGACTGTCACTAGCCGAAAATCGGCCGGTCGTCGGCCATGTTTGTTGACATAGTCAAGGGACTTGTCACACAGTTACTGCAGGAGATCGTCTGTTTAATCTCCTCACCACAATCGTTCTAATTAACCAGACTTAAATTAATACTAGTCGTCAGCATGATAATATATCTCACACGTACCTATAATATGGACGGATGAATACAGGAGTGATAATTCCAAACAAGATCTGTCAGTCTCTTACTCCTTGTCCAGCTGAATTTACAGGAAGTTGCACCTGCGCATGCGCAAATTGAGATGTCAACAAATGACGTAAAGTTACTGTTGTGTATGTTTCGTTGTGCATGGATCTACCTTATTTATTCATTTGTTAATATGGCCGACTAATCAATCAAATCTCTCAATAATTGATCTGCATGATAACTTATTCATGAAATATCCCACTCTTGGTATCAGTAATGTTAAATCAGGCTTCATTTTATTGATTTCTTTCGATAAGTTACGAATATTATATTACGTTAATTGGATGCTAAATATAATATCGTATTAGTGTCCATGTTTTGACATATAACCCGCAGTTGTATATATATATGTATAACCATGCGATGTCCATAATAATATACAATACGATAACAACACTTTATTTCATGAGGGTATTTGAAAAATAGTTTCTCTCCCCCAAAGACTTGAGTATGATCGAAAACCATACAATATACAGGTCTCCCATCCCTAATGTATTTTTACAACAGATAATATAATGGACCATTGAATATTTAATCATAAGTTATAGTTCATATTGCCATTGATAGTTAATGTTGCTATTTTATACTCAAACTGCTTCAAGTGAATTACATAAAGGGGATTTATTTTGCATATTGTACGCGAACTTTCATTTGATCAGGATCTCCCTATCTTATTTCTGGAACAAAGTAAATATTTTACATGTAATTGGTATAAACATTTGTGGAAATCAAACTTATTATCACGTTAGGTCTGTTTATGTGAGAAATATTATTTACGTGTTAGAAAATTATATTATTGTCACTTGTTGAAATAATTAAAGTAAACAAACTTAGTTCGTGTCGTCTTGTGGGCAGTGGTGTAGCTAACCCAGGCTGAAACTGTCGCCAAATGTTCTTTTCCTCTGATGTGTGGGTAAACTATTTGAAGCTCATTTCTTTGGGCAGTGGGATAGCCTTGTAGTTAAAGCGTTCGCTCGTCCCGCTGAAGACTCGGGTTCGATTCCCCACATGGGCACAGTGTACGTGTGAAGCTCATTTCTGGTTTTCCCCGCACTGATGTTGCTGGAATATTGCCAAAAGAGGCGTAATATTCCACACTCACTCACTATTGTTTGAATATTGATGACAGCTAAAACTTCGACGTCAACCTCGCTTATTTGCGGCAATCTGGGAGTGTAGGAGTACAGGGCGTAAACACACAAACACACGCACGCACGCACGCACGCACACACACACATCTCCCCTATTCCCCGGAAAAACATTTCACTAAGGAACATGCATTTAACCCTAACCTTTGGACATCATGATTTATGTGCACCCCTTCTCCAAAATCCTGGATCCGGCCCTGGACTAAGTGAATATTGTTTAAGTCCTGGCCGGACGTGAACGCGTGAGGAAGTGGCAGTCGTTTTTTGCCATGTCAGCACTTTCGCAGACAACAGTAATGAAAATTTGAACTGTTTTGACCTTTTCTTTCTTCAAGGCATCCATTTTATCATGAAAAACTTAATTTTCCCTTAACATGGAAGTTCCATAGACATCCAAGATATGTCAATAAATATAATAACATGCATATGTGTTATTTGTTCAAATTCGAACACTGGGAAGCTGAAGGATTTACATGACTACATACACGATCTACGTTCGTTACGAAACGACTATACATTCGGAAAACGTCGGTAAGGTTCCAAGTCCTAACTTTTCCGAATGCAAGCCGCAACTGTTAATTACGGGGGCGCCAAATCTCGAACACCAACTAATATTTTACCCTGATCCTCGTTGCTCACCCCAGAATCTACAACACAAATCTCAAAAGCTTTGAGAAAAAGTTTGAAAAATTTGAAGTTAAAATAATGAGAAAATAGTGAGTAAACAATTTAAAAGGATATCAATAGTACATGCACCATTATATGAAATAGTATTAGGTATAGATTCAACAATCATAACTGTTGAATCTGTACCTAATACTATATTTTATTTGTGTCAAGCGTACAACTCTTGTGATTCCCAACTACAGACTGAATAAAGCCACGAACCACGTGCACCAAACGGGAAGCTGGCAGTCTGGTTATTTTTAATACTTACTAGAAATTAATTCGATTGTTTGTTTTAAATAAATAAATAAATAGATCTAATAATAAAGTAATGAAAATGATACCTAATCCATCGATAATTATATCACAATTTACAAGTAGGAACTAAATATAACATATGGGTTAAATAAATACAACGTGATAACACCAGAGACCATATAATAAACATTTATTATGGTCTCTGATAACCCGAACAGGGATCCGCAACTCGCAGAGGCGCGAAGTAGGGGAGATAACTATGATATTCTTTCCCCCGCAATACAGGGGAGGTAGCGTTTAATGGAAATACAACTTTACACTATGCGTTTATGAGTGACTTTGTGTTATTCAAACCATATAACGATGTTAATGATATAAATACATTATTAAAAGATGAACTGTAATCAAACACACAATATAATTCTTTGTGTTATGTTTAGAAATATTAATATTTAGAATGTGATAACAATATCTCCCTAGGGAAATTCCCTGTTTGGCGCAGTAACCATACGAAGTCCATGTATTTTATTTAAGACGATGTCTCAGAATGATGATGGCCCACCCGAAAGGGAAGTGAAGGTAACATTACACGTTGGTGTTACTGCAGTAATTGAATAGCAAGTTGGGAACCGAACAATTGAATCTGTTTCTCTGCATACCCGTTTGAAATTGACTGGTTTGCCAAAACACGACCCAAGTGTGTCCAATAACGTTCATTCGATCACAGAAACCACGCGATTGAATAAATAGATGTAATGAGTAGCTTATGGTTTCATAAGTGACCGAGTTACTGTCATACCACGAAATATAAGACATTCACATTTCCTAACCTCTAGTCTTATAATTGACCCTATGGTAACTTTCGGTTTTGCAGCATGTCGAACTTTCAGTTTTGAAACCAACATGTCTATCACATTAACGCTACTAAACACATAGATAGATGACCATGATGACTATCCACGTGCTTAAGATAGCCAAAATAACATGTGAACCGGTGTCTTGCCTCCTGGTAAAACAAGATTTGTTCAAGTTGTCCTGAAAAACCCTCTGGGAGGTTTGACGAATGCAATTTACTGGCCACAGCTTACTATCTCTCTTCATATATCTTGTGTCCATCCTCAATCTTTATTGTTTTATTGTTAGTTATGTTAGAGAAGGCTACACCCAACTCCCCTCTTTCTGATCAAGCACGCCTTTACAATCCTTAGTGTTAGGTACCCCTTGCTGATCAAATACCTCTTCATGATCCTTAGAGTTAGTTAGTCAGTGAGGTAGAATATCAAGGTGTGTGAACTGAACAGGTAATATCAGTGTTTTATCACATCTATATTTGATATTTCACAATTGTACAACAGTCAAGGTTGAGGAATTCCATCACTGATCATGAAACCTGAACAAACGGAGCGAAGGTTGAACTGGTGCTTACAGCATACAAATTTTAACTGGGACAATGTGATTTTCTCAGATGAAAGTTCTGTGTGGCTGTTTCCTAATACACTGAAATTCTGGACCAAACAAACTGAAAAACCTTTGTATCAGCACCCAAAGTACAGTCTGAAATTTAACGTGTGGGGTGGCATATCTGTGTTAGGGGCATCGCCCCTCTGTGTATTTGAAGGGAATATGAACAGTGAGCGGTACACATATATTTCCGAGGGACATTTACTTCCATCTGCTCACATGTTCTATGGAAACTTTTGGATTTTCCAGCAGGACAACGACCCAAAACATGGTTCAAAGCATTCACAGGCCTGGTTTCGGACCCAAAATATGACATTATTAGATTGGCCAAGCAATAGCCCTGACCTAAATCCAATAGAAAATGTTTGGGGACTTATGAAGGAAAGTGTCAATAAGAAAAATCTGACAAATATTGCTGAAATGAAAGAAGAGGTGGTCCGATATTGGGACAGCATGGACCACTACTTTCTAACTTCTTTGATCAGTAGTATCCCCCGCCGCATTGAAGCCTGCATTTCTGCCCATGGTGACTTGAAATAAATACTAACTGTTCACCTGTCTTTGAATCTGGAGTTATGTTCTGCTAATATTCACATTTAATACGTGAGTATTGAGTGAAAAATAAAAATAAAATTACAATCTTAAATCCTCAGTAATTTCTGGTTGTACTATATGTGTATGTGCGGCTGCTTGTACTAGCCCAGACTTAAGCTGGTCTTATAGTGCTAGCCCACTGAGATACCACACTGCAGTAAAGCATGAATACCCCACTCAGACACATTATACTGACTCCGAGCCGACCAGTCCTTGTTGTACCCATTAATGCCGAGCGCCAGGCAGGGACCAACAAGTACCATATTTTAACGTCTTTTGGTATGATGCGGTCGGGGATCGAACTTCGCGACCTTCCGCTCTCGGGCGGACGCTCTAACCACTACACCACGGGGGCGGTCTTATCAGTCAGTCATCTTCTAAGGAGAAAAGAACTGATTTGAATTTTTGTTATAGCAGAACCATTTACAAGCTGCAGCTCAATAATTCCATGTGAAATACTTCTTCTGTTGTCAGGACTTCAGGTTCCAGCAATTATGCAAAGTACGTGTGTCACCACCACTCGACGAGGTCCGCACAGATCGGTCACAATGGCTGGCCACAAGCAACAAGTTTGGTCTCATCTTTATTGGCTTCAAGGATGGTAGGCATCATGTACATGTTGTTGTGTGTATCCTGTACATTCTCTTATCTCTCCCCTGTATCCGTGAAGATCCGGGTTAGAACTGACTGTCTTCAGCAACCCATGCTTGTCGATGCTCATGCTGTTGATTTCTGATTGTCTAACTAGATTTGATTGGTCAGACTATACGCTGGACTATGGTTGCACATAACCCATGTCATAGTGCCCCAGTCCAGTGTTTTTTTCTGTCGGGCAAGTCAATCCTCATGCTGTTGATTACTGGATTGTCTGGTCTAGATTTGATTATTTACAGACTGCCACTATACAACTGGAATATTGCTGAGTGTGGCGTTAAACAACAAACAAACAGACCTTCATGGCTTTTTATCTGTCTAGACTGTCTTTTATCCGTCCGTTATTCATGTCAAGAGATGTATCTGCATACATCCTTCCCCAATTCATGTCGGATCTTGTAACTTCTCAGTGCTGTTTTTCAGGCTTTAAAGTAGTGAAGACAGCTGACATTTGTCACATCGATGACGTCAACGCCCGGGATCGAAGTACTGCCGTTATCAGTGATTTCCCGTTCTGGTCGTCAGTGACGTTGACCAACCCCATCAGCCACCTGAGCCTCAGCTGTGACGAGCTGACACTGGTAGTGGTCATGAAGGAATGTGGGAACCTGATGCTGTGTATGTACGATGTACGGCAGTTCGCCGTCAAGGTATGTGTAAGCAGTGTTTGCAATACTTTAATTTGCCAGTTGGCCATCAGGCTTTAAAATCTATAGGCCCAGAATGAAATCTGCAGGCCCATTTTGTTAAAGTCAAACCAATAAAAACAAAATAGACTACATAGGCAGATCCAGAAATTTTCAAAGGGGGGAGTTTAGGGGGTTCGAACCCCCTGAACCCCACCTTGGCTCCACCATTGCAAAACTTTAACTTCAATGCAGTCTTTAGTCATTTTCAAAAAGGGGTGGGGGCTGGGATCAGCTCTGGAGCTGCCACTGGACTACACTGTACACAGTTTCACACACAGGAATAGTGGCCTAAGTCATAGTGTGTTTGTATGTGTTGACTACATTGAACATACAGTGGTTATGATATATTCAGACTACCAGTCAGGGTGGTCGGATAGCCTAGTGGTTAAAGCTAGGGGTGAAACGGAATGCAATCCAAAAATTCGGTATTTCGGTTTTCATAACATAATTTTATTAACCTTTTTATCCGTTTTCTAAAATGCCCAGAAATCGAATCATTTTGTCAAAATCTATGCATTTCTTTGCTGTTTTCTCGGAAGTAGTTTCTCATATACCGAACCAAAACATACCAAACCAAAGGCCTTGTACCACAATACGTACCATACTGTGGTAAGAGTGTATTGTTTCACCCCTATTTAATGCTTTTGCTTGTCACGCCGCAGACCTGCGTTGGAATCCCCACATGGGTACAATGTGTCAAGCCCATTTCTGGTGTCCCCTGTCCTGATATTGGTGGAATATTGCTAAAAGTGACGTATAACCAAACTCGCTCACTCACTCAGACTATCAGTCACAGTGTGTCTGTGTGTGTTGACTTCATTGAGCATGTGGATGTTATATATTTTTCACTATCAGACGGACAGCTCTGAGGCATTTGCTCGATGTCGCCTGAACGCCTCCCCGGGGTCCAGTCTGCAGGACATCATGTGGAACCCTCTTGACCCCGCCCTCCTAGCTGTGTGTGTGTCTGACGGAAGTGTGGAGCTGGTCCGAGTCACCAACACTGTCAACACTGTCGGATCGCTGCCCGTGTCAAGCAATGCCTCTTGTTGTAAGTAGTCAACTTAAAGATGTTTGCTGCTATTTGATATTTTAGTGATATTTGCATTTTTGATTGAGTTGCTGTGCGTGGGTGGTGTTGTGAGAGGTATCATGACGGTGTAAGGTTAAAGATTTTTGCAGATGTAGAAGAATATTTTTCAACAGTGTTATTAGAATGCTGTTTCAAGAGAAATACAAGTATGATTTTTCCTTATCCTGACTCATGATCTTTGCTTATCTCCCTTTCCTTTTCGAATGGTCGTGGAACACTTGAATCCCTTGAAGTTCCCGAAGCGGACGTACAATACTCACCCACGAGTTACCTCCCTTCCTCTTTCCCCGCCAAGAAACGCATTCATGACGCGCCCAGACTTGTCACTCTCTCCCTTTTCGCCCAGCGGATGGTTGGGCGAGCACTGGAGTCCCGTATACGGCAATTTTATCGTTTCTATTTAGGCCTATTCTTCTAAATTAAGCTGTGTATGGTTTTGGCTATAATTCAAGGGATTCAAGTGTTCCACTACCATTCAAAAGGGAAAGGGAGATAAGCAAAGATCATGAGTCATGATAAGTATCAAATATCAATTTTACTTAAAAAATTACTTTTTTCAACAGGTTTACACACATAGTTATGTTACTGGAACTGTGGTTCATTTTCAACAATCTTACAAACATGTTTTCAACTGTCTTATGAACATATTCTTTCAACAGTCGGGAGTTTGGGTAACCCAGTGGTTAAAGCGTTCGCTTGTCACACCGAAACCCGGTTCGATGGCCCACATGGGTACAATGTGTGAAGCCCATTTCTGGTGTCCCCTGCCGTGATATTGCTGGAATATTGCTCAAAGCGGCGTAAAACTCAACTCAACTCACTCCCTCTTTCAACAGTCATACAAACATGGTTTCTGCAGTTTTACTAGAAGAGCATGTTTTACTTATACTCCAATACTCTCCCTTGTATATGTTGGTCTTTCTTGTCAGTGAATTGGAGTCCAAAGGGGAGACAACTCGTGATTGGAAGAAAAGATGGTACAATGACTCAGTACGACCAGGAGATGAAGGAGAAACGCAGCTGGCCAATGCCCAACATCCTGGCCACTACTCACCAAGGTAATATTGGGATTCATGCACAACTTACCCGTGAAGATCCGGGTTAGAATTGATCTTCAGTAACCCATACTTGTCGTAAGAGGCAACTAACGGGACCGGGTGGTCAGGCTTGCTGACTTGGTTGACACATGTCATCGAATCCCAATTGCGTAGATTGATGCTCATGCTGGTGATCACTGGATTTTCTGGTCCAGGCTTGATTATTTACAGACCACCACCATATGGCTGGAAAATTGCTGAGTGTAAAACTAAACTCACTCACTCATGCAAAACTTAAATCACAAATCAGGGGGATAATGTCTCCAGGAAGATGAGGTGTGGACAAAATGGATATCCGGGCATGTGTTTGCTGATCTGGGATGTATCCTCTGTGTAACAGTAGCCCTTGGCTGTATTTCATGAACAAATAAGTATACAGCTATGGGTTACTTACCTTCTTCACTGTAAGTTGTGTAAATGTTCTCCATCAACCATTATGGTGGACTTTCGTGTCCTTGTAATTGACCATTTGTGATTGACCATTTGTGATGGATGAAAGCCTAACCGTTGGTGCAGTAAGATGTTTGATTCGTGTGCGGGACATGCTGTGGATTTTGCAGAAATACAACCCCCCAAACATGTTTAATAGTGTCATTCAGAGTGTTCTATGGAACCATTGATAATTTATGGCTAGGGGGTGATGATGTAATTTATGGAGATGTGAAAATCTACCCCCCCCCCAATAACTTATGTAGAAAGTAAGTGACACCCTCCCATGTCATGTACAAAATCAATGGGACCCCCTCCCATAATTTTTAAGCATTATTTTTTTTTTTTTATGCACAAAAGTGCTGACTCCCCCTAGTCCATGTGTACAAAATTGCTGACCCCCTCTATCACCCCAGATCAAAATGGATGAGACACCCCCACCGAGCCATAAATTATGAACAGGTGCCTGAGCACAAAAGTGCTGACTCCCCCTAGTCCATGTGTACAAAATTGCTGACCCCCTCTATCACCCCAGATATAAAAAAATGGATGAGACACCCCCACCGAGCCATAAATTATGAACAGGTGCCTGAGCACAGTGATGGTGAGCCTGTATCTGTGTGTTTCAGTTGTGGACGTGACATGGTTGTCAACGTATGTGTTCCTGGCAGCCTATCTTCCCAGCACTGCGGACAGCTCAGACCAGCCACAAGTCCTGCTCACAGTCTCATCTGTATGTATCTACCTCCTCACCTGTCTTATCTGTATCAATCTTCTAGAAATATGCCCTCACAGTCCAATGTATGTATCCCCCTTAACTACCGGTACCCCCACATTCTCATGTGTTTGGGGCAGTGGGGTAGCCTAGTGGTTAAAGCGTTGGCTCATCACGCCAAAGACCCGGGTTCGAATCCCCACATGGGTACAATGTGTGAACCCATTTCTGGTGTCCCCCGCCGTGATGTTGCTGGAATATTGCTAAAAGTGGAGTAAAACCAAACTCAGTCAGTCAGGCTGATGTGTTTTGCATTCTCATCGTTTACTTGTTTACAGAAAGATGGGCCAACATCGTATGTGAACTTTGAGGACGTGTGCTACGGCTCTGGGGAAGATCGTAGACACAAGTACTTCTTCATGTTCTTGGCCAAATGGTGAGTCTGGATATCACAGCAACATTAACATTGCATAATATCGCATGTATCTGCCACAGCCCTACGCCTACAAGGGCATGTGTGTTCAGTAACTGAATGCATGAGTTTACAATGACATGGTTGTGTTCAGTAAAATGGTTGTGTTCAGTAACGGAATGCTTGTGTTTACAATGACATGGCTGTGTTCAGTAACGGAATGCTTGTGTTTTCAACGAAATGGTTGTGTTCAGTAACGGAATGCTTGTGTTTACAACTGACAATGGTTGTGTTCAGTAACGGAATGCTTGTGTTTACAATGAAATGGTTGTGTTCAGTAACGGAATGCTTGTGTTTACAATGAAATGGTTGTGTTCAGTAACGGAATGCTTGTGTTTACAACTGAAATGGTTGTGTTCAGTAACGGAATGCTTGTGTTTACAACTGAAATGGTTGTGTTCAGTAACGGAATGCTTGTGTTTACAACTGAAAATGGTTGTGTTCAGTAACGGAATGCTTGTGTTTACAACGAAATGGTTGTGTTCAGTAAGTGCATGATTTTCTACAGGGACGTTTTGTAACATGTTGTATTTGGGATTACACTTTCTCAGCGGAGTACAAATTCTAGAACTTTTGTTCAGTTGAGCCCACACCCTCAGAGTCAGGCACCTAATCGCCAGCACATAAACGTCCACCGCCTAACCCGCTCAGCCACCGCATCTGAGGGTGTGGGTCGAACCCCGCTTGGGACTCAACCCAACAAAAGTTCTAGAATCGGTACTTTACTGAGAAAGTGTAATCCCTAATATAACATTTGTTACATTTGACAACTTTCTATGGCACTGTGTATTGAGTGACATTTTGGTTAACTTTCATTAAGAGTCTACTTTGTGTTGACAGGGACATGGTTGTGTTGTCATCCAGCAATGCAACAGAAGCTGCAGTGATCGGCAAGCATTTTGATGGGGTGAGTGCACACTGTAAACATGATCACGAGTATTCATACACTTTGTGTTCAACAGGGACAACTGACACTTTACATTGTGTTAATACACACTGTTATATATCACCAGGGACAACTGATACATTGTTATATATCATCAGGGACATCTGATACATTGTTATATATCACCAGGGACAATTGATACACATTGTTATATATCACCAGGGACAACTGATATATTGTTATATATCACCAAGGACAACTGATATGCATTGTTATAAATCACCAGGGACAACTGATATATTGTTATAAATTACCAGGAACATCTGATACATTGTTATATATCACCGGGACAATTAATACACACTGTTATATATCACCAGGGACAACTGATACATTGTTATATATCACCAGGGACAACTGATACATTGTTATATATCACCAGGGACAACTGGCATGATACATTGTTATATATCACCAGGGACAACTGATACACATGATGTTATATATCACCAGGGACAATGCATTGTTATATATCTGATATACATTGTTATATATCACCAGGGACAACTGATACATTGTTATATATCACCAGGACAACTATATATCACCAGGGACAACTGATATTGTTATTGTTATATATCACCGGGACAACTGACTGTTATATATCACCAGGGACAACTGATGCATTGTTATAAATCACCAGGGACAACTGATACATTGTTATATATCACCAGGGACAACTGATACATTGTTATATATCACCAGGGACAACTGATACCATTGTTTGTTATATATCACCAGGGACAACTGATGCATTGTTATAAATCACCAGGGACAACTGATACATTGTTATATATCACCAGGGACAACTGATGCATTGATAAATCACCAGGACAACTGATGCATTGTTATATATCACCAGGGACAACTGATGCATTGTTATAAATCACCAGGGACAACTGATACATTGTTATATATCACCAGGGACAACTGATGCATTGTTATAAATCACCAGGGACAACTGATACATTGTTATATATCACCAGGGACAACTGATACATTGTTATAAATCACCAGGGACAACTGATGCATTGTTATAAATCACCAGGGACAACTGATGCATTGTTATAAATCACCAGGGACAACTGATACATTGTTATAAATCACCAGGGACAACTGATACATTGTTATATATCACCAGGGACAACTGATGCATTGTTATAAATCACCAGGGACAACTGATACATTGTTATATGTCACCAGGGACAACTGATACATTGTTATATATCACCAGGGACACATACTTGATATATCATTGTAAATCACCAGGGACAACTATATATCACCAGGGACAACTGATGCATTGTTATATATCACCAGGGACAACTGATGCATTGTTATAAATCACCAGGGACAACTGATACACATTGTTATAAATCACCAGGGACAACTGATGCATTGTTATAAATCACCAGGGACAACTGATACATTGTTATATCACCAGGGACATTGTTACACCAGGGACAACTGATTGTTATATATCACCAGCTGATGCATTGTTATAAATCACCAGGGACCACTGATACGCAATGTTATAATGTCACTATAATGTATTGTTATGCACCAATGTCAGGGACCGACCCCAATGTGGGAACACTGGACACTGGAGGACTCCGGACGAGCTGAGCTGCCTCTGACTGATAAGCACCTAGACTCCTTCCCCATGGGTGTAACCCTTACCCTGGGGTGTCAGACACAGATAAAACTGGGTGAGTGACCCTGTCCTCCTTGTCCATTTGTCTGACCCTAAGTCTTGGCTGTCAGAAACCGATAAAACTGGGTAGATGACCCTCACCCTGCATTGCTCTGGGTGTCAGACAGAGATATAACTGGTTAGACTCCCTGTATCCCTTCCCATGTGCATGCCACTCATCCTGTATTGCCCTTGACACTGGTACAACTCCATACGTTCCCCCTTCCTCGCATGTGACCCTTGCTCACGCATCATTTGTGTTGCTCTTAGGGGTGAAACGGTATTAGTGGTGCTCCGACTAATTGAAATAATCGAAGATTGGTAGCAGTGACGAAACGACCAAGCACATTTTCTCATAATCGAACACAAACAATTTTGGATTTACTGTTTTAGTCTTTGAAATACTTGTCAATGGAACATGTTTTCGAGGTTGTCAGGGCCTGAAAACATGTTTAATGCTTAGAAAACTCACTAAACTAACTCAAACGTCATGACTGAATATTTGTTGAAGACTCTGGGAAGTTTATGTTCATGATATATTAGTCATCACTTTAAGGTAGCAGGTTGCATCATGTTATGCTTATCTGCAATAACAACCTGAATAGGAAAATCTGAGAAATAACCAATTTTCTTCGATGATTTCTCGTTGGTAGCGAAACAATCATCAATTGTGAGATTTCAACCAATTCCCAACACTAAACGGTATACCGCGGTATTAGTAGAACCGCGGTATTTTGCTTTCGGTTTCGGTATGCCGTAATATGATCCCCCAAATCAGTATTTTTCGGTTTTCGTACCGTCATTTTATTAATCTTTTTAAACCTTTTCTATAATGTCTAGAAATCGAATCATTATGTCAAAATCTATCTAGGTTTGGCCCTTGTCAATTTTCTGCATGATGATCATATCTCATATACCGAATTGAAACGGACTGAATCGAAGGACTTGTATCGCTATACGTACCGAGCGTACCGTTTCAGCCCCAGTTGCTCTTCTTCCAGGGTGTTGCATCTGGATAAGACCTTTCCTGGCCTGCTTCTGTGTATATGATATGACCCTCATCCTGTATTGCAATGGTGTGTCAGTTCCTCCTTTATAATGGGTGTGACGCTCACCTGAGCTGACAGACACAAATTCAACTTATAAATCTTCTCTGCTGCTTAGTAGCTCAGTGGTTAAAACGTTTGCTCATCACACCAAAGGCACGGGTTTGATTCCCCACTTGGGTGCAATGTGTGAAGCCCTTTTCTGGTGTCCCAACTGTGATATTGCTGGAATATTGCCTAAAGCTATGTTAAACTCACTCCGCTCCACTCCACTCCACTCCTCTCCACTCCTGCCCCCTCCCATATGAACTGACCCTCACACATGGTCATGGAGTTTATTTGATTGTTGTTTTTATTCTAGGTGAGAAGACACATCCCCCTAGCCCGATACTGTTGATGTTGTCAACTGATGGCCTTTGGTGCCCTACTACCTGTTAAACTTCAACACCAGTGCCCCCAGCCTCATTGTGCCCCTGGAACAGCTCACAGCCACTGGGGCACGCACTTCTACAGGTAGGTGAACCGCAGCAGTAGTGCCCCCAGCCTCATTGTGACCTGGAGCAGCTCACAGCCACTGGGGCACCCACTTCCACGTGTAGGTTAAGCCTTGGCAGTAGTGCCTGCCAGTCCCCGGGGCATGCACACACAGGGAGACAGACACACATTACACACAAATACCAAAACATGTACATGTGCTTGTTCACAATGATGTAAATACAAATTTGTCCCTCCAATGCTGCTTTTAGCCACCTGTATCTAAAGAAAGTTCATTGAGGTCAGCTTGGCTCTAAATTGATCCACAATAGGCTGTTGGCTTGATAGCTCTTGCTTGGTTCAAATTGGTGGCTCAGCTTGGTGGCTCATGAATGGTCCAATATTCAATAGGGGATGTGCTTGTGTTCTCACCTAACCACTTGAGACAATAAATCTGAAGAAAATGTCAGTTCAAATTTCCAAATAGCAAATTAGACACGCTCCAGTCCATGTTAATCTTTTTGTGAGTATTGGTTAGATGGCTTGACCGAGGTGACTCCCATTTCACTTACAACTGGACCAATAAAGAGGAACAGGTTTGCATTTTTACCCCTTGAAATTAAGAAAATAACTTTAATAAGAAAAAATAGACCTGTTTTAACAATATTACAATCTATTCAAATTAGCCTGCTGGAAGGGAAAGACTTTAATTAAGATTATGATTATTTTTTTGATGTAAAACAACATTATATCAAAATGAAGGTGAATCAACTATGAATTAAATCAGGGCTGGTACCTAACCCTGTCCACCAATACAAGTGGCATGAATGATTGGAGATTGTCACTCTCAGTAAACAGTTTTCTTTGGTGTGGCTACTGTGATAATGTATCCACAGACCTGTATGTTATCAGTAGATGTATCCACAGACCTGTATGTTATCAGTAGATGTATCCACAGACCTGTATGTTATCAGTAGATGTATCCACAGACCTGTATGTTATCAGTAGATGTATCCACAGATCTGTATGTTATCAGTAGATGTATCCACAGACCTGTATGTTATCAGTAGATGTATCCACAGATCTGTATGTTATCAGTAGATGTATCCACAGACCTGTATGTTATCAGTAGATGTATCCACAGACCTGTATGTTATCAGTAGATGTATCCACAGACCTGTATGTTATCAGTAGATGTATCCACAGACCTGTATGTTATCAGTAGATGTATCCACAGACCTGTATGTTATCAGTAGATGTATCCACAGACCTGTATGTTATCAGTAGATGTATCCACAGACCTGTATGTTATCAGTAGATGTATCCACAGACCTGTATGTTATCAGTAGATGTATCCACAGACCTGTATGTTATCAGTAGATGTATCCACACAGACAGTAGATGTGTATGTATGTTATCAGTAGATGTATCCACAGACCTGTATGTTATCAGTAGATGTATCCACAGACCTGTATGTTATCAGTAGATGTATCCTCTGACCTGTATGTTATCAGTAGATGTATCCACAGACCTGTATGTTATCAGTAGATGTATCCACAGACCTGTATGTTATCAGTAGATGTATCCACAGATGTTATCAGTATGTTATCAGTAGATGTATCCACAGACCTGTATGTTATCAGTAGATGTATCCACAGACCTGTATGTTATCAGTAGATGTATCCACAGATGTATGTTATCAGTAGATGTATCCACAGACCTGTATGTTATCAGTAGATGTATCCACAGACCTGTATGTTATCAGTAGATGTATCCACAGACCTGTATGTTATCAGTAGATGTATCCACAGACCTGTATGTTATCAGTAGATGTATCCACAGACCTGTATGTTATCAGTAGATGTATCCACAGACCTGTATGTTATCAGTAGATGTATCCACAGACCTGTATGTTATCAGTAGATGTATCCACAGACCTGTATGTTATCAGTAGATGTATCCACAGACCTGTATGTTATCAGTAGATGTATCCACAGACCTGTATGTTATCAGTAGATGTATCCACAGACCTGTATGTTATCAGTAGATGTATCCACAGACCTGTATGTTATCAGTAGATGTATCCACAGACCTGTATGTTATCAGTAGATGTATCCACAGACCTGTATGTTATGTTATCAGTAGATGTATCCACAGACCTGTATGTTATCAGTAGATGTATCCACAGACCTGTATGTTATCAGTAGATGTATCCACAGACCTGTATGTTATCAGTAGATGTATCCACAGACCTGTATGTTATCAGTAGATGTATCCACAGACCTGTATGTTATCAGTAGATGTATCCACAGACCTGTATGTTATCAGTAGATGTATCCACAGACCTGTATGTTATCAGTAGATGTATCCACAGACCTGTATGTTATCAGTAGATGTATCCACAGACCCACAGTATGTTATCAGTAGATGTATCCACAGACCTGTATGTTATCAGTAGATGTATCCACAGACCTGTATGTTATCAGTAAGATGTATCCACAGACCTGTATGTTATCAGTAGATGTATCCACAGACCTGTATGTTATCAGTAGATGTATCCACAGACCTGTATGTTATCAGTAGATGTATCCACAGACCTGTATGTTATGACCTGTATGTTATCAGTAGATGTATCCACAGACCTGTATGTTATCAGTAGATGTATCCACAGACCTGTATGTTATCAGTAGATGTATCCATCAGTAGATGTATCACAGACCTGTATGTTATCAGTAGATGTATCCACAGACCTGTATGTTATGTAGATGTATCCACAGACCTGTATGTTATCAGTAGATGTATCCACAGACCTGTATGTTATCAGTAGAGATGTATCCACAGACTTGTATGTTATCAGTAGATGTATCCACAGACCTGTATGTTATCAGTAGATGTATCCACAGACCTGTATGTTATCAGTAGATGTATCCACAGACCTGTATGTTATCAGTAGATGTATCCACAGACCTGTATGTTATCAGAAGATGTATCCACAGACCTGTATGTTATCAGTAGATGTATCCACAGACCTGTATGTTATCAGAAGATGTATCCACAGACTTGTATGTTATCAGTAGATGTATCCACAGACCTGTATGTTATCAGTAGATGTATCCACAGACTTGTATGTTATCAGTAGATGTATCCACAGACCTGTATGTTATCAGTAGATGTATCCACAGACCTGTATGTTATCAGTAGATGTAGCCTCAGACGCCTGTATATTATCTACCGTATCTGCTCCAGACTCCGCACAGGCTTCCACACCAGGACCAGCCATGTTGGGAGCACAAAAGTTGAGCCAGCCAATGACAACCTTGGGTCAAGGGTCAACTCTTCCCAAGACAGGAAGTTCATTCCAGTTTGTACAGAAGGCCCCCACTACGGCATCAGACACTCCGGGCGCGTCGTTGTTCTCACAACTGAAGACAGCATCAGACACACCAGGAGCATCATTGTTCTCACAGCCAAAGACATCCTCTCTTCCCACCACTGGCAGCTCTTTCCAGTTTATGACAAAACCAAGTCAGCTGACATCTGACTTGCCAGGTGTGTACATGGAAATAACAGGATTGGGTGTGGGTATGGTTGTTGAATATGGGGATGGTTTGGTTTGGTTGTTGATTAATGCTGCACTCTGCAATATTCCAGCTATATGGTGGCGTTCTGTAAATAATCGAGTCTGGACCTGGCAATCCAGTGATCAAAACATGAGCATCGATCTATGCAATTTGAATACAATGACGTGTGTCAACCAAGCCAGCAAGCCTGACCACCCGATCCCGTTAGTCACCTCTTATGACAAGCATGGGTTACTGAAGATCAATTCTAACCCGGATCTTCACGGGTGGTGCAGGATGGGTACTTAGAAATAACACAGCTGGTTTTATAGTGCTAGCCCACTGAGATACCATGACGCTTCAGTGAAGCATGAATACCCCACTCAGACACATTATACTGACTCGAAATTTTTGACTTCAGTCCTTGTTGTACCCATTAATGCCGAAAGCAAGGTAGGGACCAACAAGTACCATATTGTAACGCTCTTTTGGTTTGACGCAGTCGGGATCGAACCCGACCTTCCGCTCTCCGGGTGGACGCCTCTTACCACTACACCACGGAGGCGGTCTCTTCTTGCATTGACGCTGCGTTGACCTGGAATACTATTCGAAGGGGTGTTAAACCGAGTCCATTCACTCGCTGACCCATTGACAACTAGACCAAAATATACTAGACTCGGACAAGGAATAAGTGGCTGAAGACACAGATTGTTACAATGACCTTATTAGTTATCCCTGTGACCCAGTTAGTTCCTGCTCATTCTGTGTAGGGGGTTGGGGTTTGTGCTTAAAGCATTCGCTTGTCACGCCGAGCACCCAGGTTCCATTCCCCACATGGTACAATGTAGGAAGCCCATTTCTGGTGTCCCTGGAATTGCTGGAATATTGCTAAAAGTGGCGGAAAACCATACACACTCACTCACCCATTCTGTGTTATTTGTTGACAGGTCACCAGTCCTTCACACCAGTTGCCCCTCAGGTAGCAAATGTGACACCATCTTCTATCGGTCAGAAAACAGGGCTGTCCTTCACACCATCGTCCTCAGGGGCAACAACGGCCTTCTCTCCTGCCACTACCAAAGTACAGGTAGTCTCTTCACCCTCTATTGGCACCAAGTCAGTGTTCGGTGCAACCAAGCCTGATGCAGAAAAAAGTGCACAGCCGTCATCGTTTGGGTTTAGTACTGTGCCGTCCACAACATCATCCATTCCTGCTAGTGGGTTTGGTCAGCCAGGAGGCAAGTCCCTATTTGGGACATCAACAAGCTTTACTGGGTTTGGTTTCCCCAAGACTCCATCAACAACACCACCGGTGACTTCAGCTGCAGCTGCAGCTACACCAACTGCCACCTCAACACCAGCTGCTACTCAAGGTGTAACATCAGCAATATTAGGAGCGAGCTCCTTCAGTAAACCCCCCGAACCTTCAACACAGAAACAGTCTGCAGTGGGTTTTGGTGGGTTTTCCATGGGTCAGACTGTCACACCCATTCCAGCCCCTGGGCAGTCTTCCTCTCCACAACCCCTACCCTCACACCCAGCACCCTCACGACCCCCGGCCACAAACAGAGGTGAGATCATGTTCCTGCTTTGTACTAAAGTGTATTTCAAGATCAGTTGTTTGACTTCCCTGTAAGTGTCACATAAGATGCCTAATCCTGACACAAGGTTCCCATCCCTGACAGGTCGGTGAGGTAGCCTAGTGGTTAAAGCATTTGGTTGTCACACTGAAGACCTGGGTTTGATACATGTGTACAATGTGTGAAGCCCATTTCTGGTGTCCCCTGCCATGATATTGCTGGAATATTGCTAAAAATGGTGTAGAACTCGCTTCCTCACTCACTTACTTACTCACTTTTCCCATTCTTGACACACTTGACCCATCCCTGACACAATTTACCCAGCCCTGACACAATTTACCCATCCCTGACACACTTTACCCATCCCTGACACACTTTACCCATCCCTGACACTTTACCCATCCCTGACACAATTTACCCATCCCTGACACAATTTACCCAGCCCTGACACAATTTACCCAGCCTTGACACACTTTTCCCATTCCTGACACAATTTACCCAGCCCTGACAATTTACCCATCCCTGACACACTTTTCCCATCCCAAACACAATTTTCCCCACCCTGACACAATTTACCCAGCCCTGACACAATTTCATGTCCCTACCACAAAGTTCACATTCCCAACACAAGATTCACATTCCTGACACATGGCTCCCAGTCCGGACACAAGGTTCCCACTTGTATTTTTACCATTATTTCAGTACTGATGATTGATGATCAATCTAAGCAATTTGGATATGATAAATACATCAAATGAATTGACTAACTGACCACCCAATCCTATTTGTCACTTCTTCAAAAAGCATGGGTTACTGAAGATCAGTTCAAACCCGGGTCTTCGTGTGAGTAAACCATGTTTGGTGATGTTGTCAGGTGTGACTCTGGGAGTGAAGAGAGACATCGAGGAGGAGACCAGGCATACTGAGGAGGAGGTGTCACCACCACCGCCAACATACGAGAAACCCTCTGTGAATGAAACAGTGGAGAGTACGTTTACCAGGTCAATCATGGAAGAGGTGAGATGCATCTTCTGTTGCAGTGTACAGTCTGTGATGTCTGTGTACAGTCTGTGATATAATCTACAGCTGTGTACAGTCAGTGATATAATCTACAGCTGTGTACAATCAGTGATATAATCTACATCTGTGTACAGTCAATGATATAAATAATCTACAGCCGTGTACAGTCAAGTATATAATCTACAGCTGTGTACAGTCAATGATATAATCTACAGCTGTGTACAGTCAATGATATAATCTACAGCTGTGTACAGTCAATAATATAATCTACATCTGTGTACAGTCAATGATATAATCTACAACTGTACAGTCAATGATATAATCTACAGCTGTGTACAGTCAATGATATAATCTACATCTGTGTACAGTCAATGATATAATCTACATCTGTGTACAGTCAATGATATAATCTACATCTGTGTACAGTCAATGATATAATCTACATCTGTGTACAGTCAATGATATAATCTACAGCTGTACAGTCAATGATATAATCTACAGCTGTGTACAGTCAATGATATAATCTACATCTGTGTACAGTCAATGATATAATCTACATCTGTGTACAGTCAATGATATAATCTACAGCTGTGTACAGTCAATGATATAATCTACATCTGTGTACAGTCAATGATATAATCTACATCTGTGTACAGTCAATGATATAATCTACATCTGTGTACAGTCAATGATATAATCTACAGCTGTGTACAGTCAATGATATAATCTACATCTGTGTACAGTCAATGATATAATCTACATCTGTGTACAGTCAGTGATATAATCTACATCTGTGTACAGTCAATGATATAATCTACATCTGTGTACAGTCAGTGATATAATCTACATCTGTGTACAGTCAGTGATATAATCTACATCTGTGTACAGTCAATGATATAATCTACATCTGTGTACAGTCAGTGATATAATCTACAGCTGTGTACAGTCAATGATATAATCTACATCTGTGTACAGTCAATGATATAATCTACAGCTGTGTACAATCAGTGATATAATCTACAGCTGTGTACAATCATTGATATAATCTACTGTGTACAGTCAATGTACAGTCAATGATATAATCTACAGCTGTGTACAGTCAATGATATAATCTACAGCTGTGTACAGTCAATGATATAATCTACAGCTGTGTACAGTCAATGATATAATCTACAGCTGTGTACAGTCAGTGATATAATCTACAGCTGTGTACAGTCAGTGATATAATGTACAGCTGTGTACAGTCAATGATATAACTAATCTACAGCTGTGTACAATGATATCACCTACATGTGTGTACAATCAATGATATCACCTACATGTGTGTTCAGTCAATATCACCTACATGTGTGTACAGTCTGTGATATCTGTGTAGTCTTATATCTGTGTACAGTCTGATATCATCTGTAAATGTGTACTATCTGTTATGTGTACAATGAGTGATATCTGCATCTGTGTACAATCTGCAATATCCACAGCTGTGTAGAGTCTTTGATATCGTGTACAGTTTGTGATGTTTGTGTACAGTCTATGATATCTGTGTACAGTCAGCAATTTCATCAACATATGTGTACAGTCTGCAATATCATCTAATGTTGTGTACTGCCTGTCCAGCGAGTGATGTAATCTGTAGATGGATACAATCTGTGGTGTCTGTAGGTACAGTTTGTGATATCTATAATTGTGTACAGTCTGTGATGTCTTTGTACAGCCTGATTTCTATAGATGCATACCATCTGTAATATGTACAGTGAGTGATATTACACAGTCTGTGATGCCTGTGTACAATGAGTGATATCATCTATATATATTAGTGTTGGGAATTGGTTAAAAGCTCATAATTGATGATTGATCCATTACAACCGATCAATCATCGAAAATAATGGGTTAGCGTCATTTATCAAATGATCCTGTTGTCTTTGTAAAAAATCAAGAAAAACATGTAGTAATTTGTTTTTTTTCAAATTAAACAAAATCCATTTGCAAATTTTGCATATTTAAAGGATTATTAGTATGTTAGGAACACAGATTTCCTGGATTCTTTAAGATAAATTCAATCATTACTTGGAACGAGCTTGTTGTGCTTATGAAATTTAAATTTAATGTCACAGACAAAAGCAACCTTGTGAAAAATATTGTTGATGCAAACAAGTGTTCCAAGATTGGTTACGTTCGATTATGAGAAAACATGTTCGATTGCTTGGTCGTTTATTCACTTCGACCAATCTTCGATTATTTCAATTAATCGGACCACCACTAAAATATATGTAGTGTGATATAATCTGTGATATCATATATGGTCATATGTTGTATATATCTTAATATTGTATTGCATCACAACTCTGCCTCTGAAAATCCTTGTGTCTATATTTGTCCTGTCCAGTGGTTTCACAGCTTTGGTCTGTGTTGTAGATGCAGCACTTTGAGAAGGAGCTGCGAGATCTGAAGCTGAGGTCTAGCAACAGTCTGAAGGAGGTTGGTACCCGGAGTGAGATGAAGGACCTTAGAAAAGCAACAGAGGACATGGCCAAGTTCTGCAATGACATCAAGGAGAACACCAAGGTCGGCAGGACACTTGTCATCTTTCTTCAGCAGTACTCTTTAGACTTAAGTCTGACACTATCCCTTCAGACTTGCACAGGATGGCGTAGTCTACCCTGACCTCTTTAGACTTAAGTCTGACACTATCCCTTCAGACTTGCACAGGATGGCGTAGTCTGCCCTGACCACTTTAGACTTTATGTACTTGTATGACACTAATTCCACAGGGTCCAACAGTCAACCCTGACTCCTTCTAGCTGACACTAACTCTTTGGGCTTAGGGCTGTGGAGTAGCCTAGTGGTTAAAGCGTTCGCTCATCATGCCGAAAACCCGGGTTCGGTTCCCCACATGGGTCAATTTTTGAAACCCATATCTGGTGTCCCCCACCATGATATTGCTGGAATATTGCTAAAAGCGGCGTAAAACCATACTCACTCACTCTTTGGGCTTCTAGGGAATCCCGTCATCATTGACCCTTTTAGATTCCTGGGATCCAGCTAACATTAGTAAGAAACTCTTACACTTCAGGCTTCCAGGGGATCCAGTTGCCTATCGCTGGCCTACTTTTCTTCTTAATGATCCGGGCCGGTGGGGTAGCCTAGTGGTTAAAGCGTTGGCTCGTCACGTCGAAGACCCGGATTCGAATCTCCACATGGGTACATTGTGTGAAGCCCATTTCTGGTGTCCCCTGGCGTGATGTTGCTGGAATATTGATAAAAGCGGCGTAAAACCAAACTCAGTCAGTCAGTCTTAATGATCCAGTCATCTAACCTTTACCTTTCCAAGGGACCCAGTTGCCCAAGGCTTGCTGAATTTGACCCTTACATGTTGTGGGATTCGCATGAGTTCAAATCCCATGTTATCTGTGATAATCATTCTAGATTTGTCAGTACAATCACAGAGCTTGTGAACTTCTCTGAAGTGCTAAATACCAAGCAGCATTTTTTATCAAGTATTTTGTTGATATCACTGTCTTATTACTAATGACTGCTATGTCACTAAGTTATTACACTGTGATACAGCTAATACAGATTTCTTATGTACTGCTGTTATGTAGGTGGGTTATTAAGTACTGTTACATTGCCATAAAGACATTGATGTCCACTCCATAGGAGCAGAGCCGAGAGGTCCATGACCACAAGACGCTGTGTCTGGAGCTGTTCGCTATGGCGGAAGGAGTGCCGGGTGCGTCAGGAACGCAATGATGACGCCAAGTACCACCAGCTGCTCAGGTCACGGGCCCTGGACCCAGCCAGTGCTGATAAGCTGAAGCAGCTCCAGGCCCAGTATCAGGCCCAGAGTCAGGGCCTGGTGGAGGTGGAACTGATCCTGGACCAGCAGTGGGAGGAGCATCAAGACAGGAAGAAGGCCGTCAAGGGGAGGTAAGTTGATGTGATGGGGAGGTAAGCCTGTGTGAAGAAGTGAGTGAGTTGGGTTTTATGCTGCTATTTTTTTTAGCAATATGCCAGCAATATCATGGTGGGGGACACCAGAAATGGGCTTCACACATTGTACCCTCTGTGTGAAGAAGAGCTTGGTCTGTGTGTACTGGAGGTCGGTCTGTGTGTACTGGAGGTCGGTCTGTGTGTACTGGAGGTCAGTCTGTGTACTGGAGGTCAGTCTGTGAAGGGGAAGTCAGTCTATGAATGGGAGGTCAGTCTGTGAATGAAGGTCAGTCTGTGAAAGGAGGTCAATCTGTGTGAAGAAGGGGAGGTCGTTCTGTGTGAAGAGTGTTCAGTCTGTGAAGGGGAGGTCAATCTGTGCAAACAAAGGGAGGTCATTCTGTGTAAACGGTGTTCAATCTAAAGGGGAGGTCAGTCTGCGTGAAGAATGGGAGGTCATTCTGTGTGAAAGGTGTTCAGTCAGTGAAGGGGAGATCAGTCTGTGGAAACAAGGGAAGGTCATTCTGTGAGAAAGAAAGGTGAGTCTGTAAAGGGGAGGTCATTCTGTGCAAACAAGGGGAGGTCATTCTGTTTTGAAGCATGGTCAGTCTGTGAAGGGGAAGTCAGAAGGTGTGAAGAAGGGGAGGTCATTCTATGTGAAGCATGGTCAGTCTGTGAAGGGAAGGTCATTCTGTGTGAAGAAGGGGGGGGGGTCATTCTGTGTGAAAGGTGTTCAGTCTGTGAAGGGGAGGTCATTCCGTGTGAAGCATGGTCAGTCTGTAAAGGGGAGGTCAATCTGTGTGAAGAAGGGGAGGTCATTCTGTCTGAAGTTAGGTTTCTCTGTGTATGGAGGCCCAGTAGACTAGTAGCATGCGATATTTTGTTTCAGACTGCAGGCCCCGACATCGGACATGGTCTACCGGGCGGTGAAGAGCAACCACAACCTGATCCATACACAGCAGTCGCAGCTGGACAAGCTGCAGGAGAATCTGAAGAACCTGCAGCTGTACAACCGCTCGGCAGACTGGCAGAACATGTCCATGTTCCGATCAGACACCATCAGGTAACATAGCGTTCTACTTCTGTGTTCTGTTTGTGTGTTCTGTGTACAGTCAACATGTCGAAACTCTGTCATCTTTGTCTGTTTGTACAGTTAACATGGCGAATCTCTGTCATCTTTGTCTGTTTGTACAGTTAACATGGCGAATCTCTGTCATCTTTGTCTGTTTGTACAGTTAACATGTCGAAACTCTGTCATCTTTGTCTGTTTGTACAGTTAACATGTCGAAACTCTGTCATCTTTGTCTGTTTGTACAGTTAACATGTCGAAACTCTGTCATCTTTTTCTGTTTGTACAGTCAACTTGTTGAAACTCTGTCATCTTTGTCTGTTTGTACAGTCAATATGTCAAAACTCTGTCATCTTTGTCTGTTTGTACTTGCTACCAGAACCCCGGACCTGACGTCCCTGGTCAACTCACTGGGGAGGGGGAGTGCTCAGCCTGGACTTGCCAAGGCAGCACCAGTGTCCCCAGAAAAAACGGCTCAACTTAGACAGTTCCTGGCCCAGAGAACTGTACCCCGTATTCGGTCAACCAAACCAGGTAGGTTTTACCATGTGGTCAACCAAACCAGGTGGGTGTTACCATGTACCCGTATTCGGTCAACCAAACCAGGTAGGTGTTACCATGTACCCCATGTTCGGTCAGCCGAACCAGGTATGTTTAACCATGTACCCTGTATACGGTCAACCAAACCAGGAAGTGTTACCATGTACCCTGTATCTGGTCAACCAAACCAGGTAGGTTTCACCATGTACCCTGTATCTGGTCCAACCCCATAACCAGGTATGTTTAACCATGTACCCTGTATACGGTCAACCAAACCAGGAAGGTGTTACCATGTACCCCGTATCTGGTCAACCAAACCAGGTAGGTGTTACCATGTACCCTGTATTCGGTCAACCAAACCAGGTATGTTTAACCATGTACCATGTATCTGGTCAGGCAAGCTGGATATGGTGTACTATGCACCTGCCATGTCTCTACAAAACCATCTATGTACAATGTTCTCATCAGCAGCACATTCTGTAGGAAGTAACATGACCAATGTAGCACCTCATGAAAGTTTCAGATGGTAAGAGGAATGAGACTTTATTGCTATGAACCCAATTGGGCATGCCCTTTCAACAAAGACAAAATAGTGTGATTATAGCAGAGGTCAATGTTCCTCTTTAGATTAACTAGATGCTGGGTGGAGTAGGCCCTTCGGGGGCCCTTGCTGGCAAGGTACGTCGTCTACATCTCCAGGGCTAACATTTCAATGTGCTTTAATAACCCCTGGATCTATTTCCATGGTTCTCGCAATCTCAAATTCCCTGCTTATTGTAAGAGGCGATTTATGGGATGACTAACACACGTCATCATATCCCAATTGTGTAGATCGATGCTCATGCTGTTGGTTATTGGATTGTCTGTTTCAGACTCGATTATTTACAGACTGTTGCCATATTGCTGGATTATCACTGAGTGAGATGGTAAACAACAAACAAAGAAACAAAGAAACCTACCTTACGCTCTCCCATGTGGGGGCGGTGGGGTAGCTGGGGGTTAAAGTGTTCGTTCGTCACGCCGAAGACTCGGGTTCGATTCCCCACATGGGTACAATATGTGAAGCCCATTTCTGGTGTCCCCCGCTGTGATATAGCTTGAATATTGCTAAAAGCGGCGTAAAACTAAACTCACTCACTCACTCTCCCATATGTCAACAGTTTAATTGGCCAGTAAAATGTTATTGAAAATCAGGGGCAGGTAATCTGCGATGGAAACAACCACTGTAATGATCAGGGGTGGAAATAAATAACCCATTGCCCGACGCCCCAGTCCAGTGTTTTTTTGTCAGGCTAGCCAATTTGTATGTCACGCTGTACCGGTGTCAAGTTGACTTTCCAATGTTAATTATGTTCTTTATTTAAAAAATCAACAAGAAAATCGGACGGTATAGTGGAAGAATTATCAGGGCAAGTGATTTTACATGTGCCACTGTACCAGAGTACACTAGCAATTATAAAGTTATTTCCACCCCTGTTAAAAGAGGATGCTGAAGGTAATGACATGAATACAACTGAGTGGTGGTGTGTCCTGATTTCTGAGACCTTTCAAAAGCGTTGTTGCATAGGCTGATGCTGTTTCAACAAGTACCGGTGCTGTAGCTTAAGGATTGTGAACAGACAAGGATGCAATATACACAAACCAGTCTTTGCTAGCACTGAGAGTGGCCAGTGCCAGACGAGGATGACAGACGATCGGCCAAGTCACAAAGCCCAAATTATAGCCGACCCCCCGTTTTAGGATGTTGTTTATCGTTGACGCCATATTTAGCAATATTCCAGCTACATGGTGGCGGTCTGTAAATAATCAAGTCTGAACCAGACAATCCAGTGATCAACAGCATGAGCATTGATCTATTCAATTGGGATACAGTGACATGTGTCAATCAAGTAAGTCGGTGAGCCTGACCGCTCAATCCTGTTAGTCGTCTCTTAATACAAACATTGGTTGCTGAAGAACAAATCTTACCCGAATCTTCACGGGGCTTATCTATGAGATCTGATTATCTACAGTAATATATGGTACAATTTTCTCTGCTTCCTGATGTTTCAGTGAATCTGTCAATGTCGAGAATTGTAGCAGCCAAGGGGCTCCGAGAGAAACTGGAGGATGTTCGAAGTCCCCGATCATCCCCTGGTATGTACTTGACTCACAAAGAGAGACTTTGCTGTAGTCCGGTGACTGTCTAGTGATGGCAACTTCCACCATTTATTTCTTTTACATTTTAGTAATGTTTAGCTACGTTCTTGAACTATTTCATATACTTAGCAAATGTGGTTTCCAAAGAATGTCTTACTTGTGGGTACTGCTGCTTTGCAAGATCTGTAAATTTGCTGTTATGAAGGGGCGGTGGGTAGCCTAGTACAGTCAGGCTGCGTTAGTCCGAACCCCGTTAACCCGATTCCCGCGATATCCGAACGGTAGCTTGCTGTAACCAATCTTGTTTACTAATGTAAACTCATTAACTGTTGATTCATTAATCCGGTGCTTCACTCTCCGGATCCGGATGTTAATTAGCGGTAACAGATTAGCTAGTTACACTTGGTTTTGCTTCATTAATCTGGTGGTACACCAAAAAGGTTCGCATAATCCCCTCGTGAGCACCATTGATTAGCGCTGATCTTAATCGGTAAACTTCAATGGTAATTGATAAGAGAGGTGACACTTCTGAGTTGGTTTGTGATTTTAATCAATTAAAAGGTCTCACTTGTGGAAACTCAGTTGGCACCATCAAAATTAAGCCATTTGTCATCGCCAAATCCAGACGTCCCAGATGTTTGGTAGAGACTTTAACCCAGAAATGTATGTTCGCTATCGGTTCAACAACAAAGCGTGGATGACACCAGACATGTTTTGTGATTGGCTGAGATCTTTTGACAGACAGATGAGATCCCGTGGTCGACACGTGATCTTACTTTGTGACAATGCTGCCACTCAAGTGTGCCAATGTCAAATTGACCAATGTGAAAGTTCATTTCCTGCTTCCCAAGACCACTGTCATTGGCGATTTCTTTAAACCCGAGTGAGTTTCTGAGTTTTGATTGTTATACAACCTGTAATAAAGTCATTTGATACATGTACTAGCATACGTTCTTATGTTCTTGTCTGGGTATGTCAAAGGGAAGAAACTCTACTGTAGTGTTGTACATATTGGTTCGTTTCACTAGTCCGTACGTTTCAATATCCGAACATTTTTTATGAAAAAACGGAAGTGTTCAGATTAATGCGGCCTGACTGTAGTTAAATCCTTAACTCGTTACACTGAAGGTTTGATTCCCCATATGGGTACAATGTGTGAAGCCCATTTCTGGTGTCCCCTGCCATGGTATTGCTGGAATATTTGCAAAAGAGGCGTAAAACTACACTAACTCACTCATTGTTATGAATGTAAAACTTTTGTGAATGTGTGTCGAAAAGGTGGTGACCAGACTATACCCCTTCAACTTGCACGCCCCAAGGAGAAGTTTTCTGAGCCAACAGGAGACCGCACCAAGTTCCTCCCGACCAGTCAGAGCAGCTTCAAGAAGCCCCCTACCAACAACAACGCCATCTCACTGGCGGTATCTCAAAGTGACCTTCACCCCGCCAAGAGTGTACAAATAGCAGCCATGAGAAACAACAACAGTGATACCGACTCACAGCATAGGGGATTTAGGAGTCAGGAGGTAAGTGTCTTAGCATCCACGAACCACTAACCCATCAAGGGGGCGGTGGGGTAGCCTGGTGGTTAAAGCATCCGCTCGACATGCTGAAGACCCGGGTTGGATTACCCACATGGGTGCAATGTGTGAAGCCCATTTCTGGTGACACCGCCCGTGATGCTGCTGGAATATTGCTAAAAGCGGTGTAAAACCATACTCACTCACTCACTAGCCCATCAAGAGGTCCTCCACCCCTTCACCATCACAGAGGTGCCTACCCTAAAAAGTAGGATGGCAAAGATCGGCTAATTCCGCTATGCAAATGAATTACTTCATCACCCCAATGCTTTTCACTGATTGGTGGATATTTTAGCCATTCTAATTTCATTGACTACTGTATGTCGATAGAATCTTCAAGATTAGCAACACGAAACATGACCCAGGTCTTCGTTGTGACGAGTAAATGCTTTCACCATTAGGCTACCCCACTGCTCCACATTAACATGAACACACACTGAACACACATGAACACACATGAACACACACACAAACACTTTCACACACAATTCAGATGAACACACAGAAAAACACAAAACACAAGCAAACACACAAATACACAGACACATGAATGCACACACATGCAGCCCTTTTCTTCGTAGAATTACATATTATACAATGTTTTTATGTGTGAAAGCACGTGAAGAGTGGACATGTCACCTGAAGCTAGTAGTCAGACATAATCCGTTGACATCTTCCATCAGCCTGCCTCCAGAAACACAGGACGTGGAGTGAGCTCAGAGGAGCTGACGTCGGCGATGTTACGCATGAAGGAGACTCTCAGTGCTACATATTCAGCTGGGGGTCAGCGTCCAGACACGGAGGACATCTCCCCCGTCTTCACCCCTGAGCTGGAGAGTGACGAGCAGGAGGGTCTCACGGAGGAAGACGAGGGTGAATACGACGAAGATGATGATGAGGAAGAGACTGGATTTGGTAAGGAGTATTGCCTGGACCCTACCACCGACAGACCTGGGGACAGTGAGCTGAACCAATACAAGCAGGGGGGTAAGGAAATCAAATGGTCCTTTTTGTGTGAATTCTTGAAATAACTCACCCTTTTGGTAACTTTTATTGTTATTTTTTATCCCCCCCGGCGTTAGCATGAAGCGGGGGATATAGTATTAGGCTCCGTCCGTCTGTGCATACGTATGTACGAATTCGAATATCTTAAGAACCGTTGACTAGATTCTTTTCATATTTGGTACCTAGGTTCATCACGATATAAGAAAGGTCCCAGTCAAGTTTGGTGACCTTGACCTTCATTTCAAGGTCACAAGGGGACTTTAATGTTGTCAGCAAGATATCTCAAGAAACGTTCACTGAATTTTCTTCATATTCAACACCAAGCTTTATCTAGGGAAGGCGCAGGGCCCAGTCGATTTTGGTGACCTTCACATAATTTTCAAGGTCACGGCGACACTTTGAAGATTTCAGCATATTAAACTGCATGTTAAGATTGTCAGCAAGATATCTCAAGAACGGTTTACTGGATTTTCTTCATAGACTTTCAAGTCTTCACTTGAATGTTTTTCAATAAGCAATTTCTTTATTACTATTTTTGCATATTTCATACACATGACATTCACGTCAAGGTCAAAGTGAGTCTTGAAAAAATGTGTGTGTTTGAACAACTAAAGAGCAAACTATCAAGAGAAGTTGACTGGACATGTTTTTGTTGACATTTAACTTCATCTTAAACTACGACCTTCATTTTCATTACTTTTTAAGTTTGATTTGATAATTTACGGTGGGGGATTATGCCACCGTAGTGACAATGCTTGTTATGATTTTAAAAATGAACAATTTCGAAGAGATGATTTTGTTTCATGTGAAATGGTTTATTGCTTTGAAGCTGAAATAATACCAATATTTCTCAGTGCAAATTTTGTTAAATTTAGAACAAGTTGTTATTTGTGTGTCACCTCAAATGATTGTACTGTCATTATTGGATTTTAGGGACAGAATTCTGATAATGTATCACTTATGAGCACAACTTTGTTCCGTTATGTTGGTTTATGGAACTCCTACTCTGGGAATGAAATCTTCTCCAGGTTCTGCCGGCACCCCGCTGTCATCCCTGCAGTCGGCTGTCCCCACGGATCAGAAGGCCGGAGTGAGCAAGAACCTGTTTGGTGGATCAAAGACCTTCGTCCCTGGTCAGCCCCCGTCAGGCAAGCTGTCAACGAGCACTCCAGCCATGGTGACTAAACAGCCCACCAACACAACGCCAGCTCCGGCTTCAGGCTTCGGGTTCAGCAGCGGGTTGGGAGCGTCAGGACTTGCCGGCAAATCTTTGTTTGGGTCTGGATCTTCTGGAGTGAAGCCACCAGAGCCGTCTGCTGAAGGTATCATTGTGTTTTATATAGCTGCTCGCCTGATACAGTGAACTCTCTCTAAACCGATGTCCCTCTAATCCAGACATTCCCTGTAAACCAACATGTATTTGGTCCTGAATTTGTCCCTATATAATATCATATAAGAAACTCTGTCTAATCCTCATCATATGAGCGAAATATTCTCAAGCACGACGTTAAACCCAATTTCACCTCACCGTCTAATCCGACATCCCTCTATTCCGAATTACGACATTCAAATCAGGTCCCCAAACATGTTTTTAGTGCAAATTGACTCTCTCTAAACCACCATTGTAGAGATTGCATCAGCCAAAACATGGTGTGTATTTAGCAATCAACACCCTTGTACGAGAGGTGGCCTGCCAAGGCGTAATAGGATTAACTGTTAATTACTTGCTATTAATCCTACTTGCTATATTTTGTATTCACTGCTTATCTGATATGATAATATTCCCTGCTGATCTTTGTATTCACGGTGTATTTGATAATATGTGGTTGACATGAGAATATACGATAATATACACTGTTCACGTGATAATATACAGTGCATTGATGTTATTATATCTTGCTTACATTACACAATACATTGCTTACATCATGATATACTACACTTACATTAGACCGTACACTGTAAGATGATATGCACCCCAGAAGACTAATGAAGATCCGGGTTTGAACTGGTCTTCAGTAACCCATGCTTGTCGCCTAACGGGATTGGGTGGTCAGGTTCGCTGACTTGGTTGACACATGTCATCGGTTCCCATTTGCGTAGATCGATGCTCATGCTGTTGATCACTGGATTGTGTGGTCCAGACTTGGATTATTTACAGACCGCCACCATATAGCTGGAATATTGCTGAGTGCAGCGTTAAACAACAAACCATCCATCCATACACCCCTGAAGATAATATACACTGCTTACATTCTGCTGCTGCTGCTGCTGCTGATGATGATGGTTCACAATGCACAATAATGAATGAAACAGTCAAGGTAATTGTGATGCTTGTTCATGTCAACAGATGAGTCTACAACAGGCAAGATCCAGGCCAAGGGTTTCACCTTCTCGACAACCCCCTCCTCCACCACCACCCCTGCATCCACCTCAACCTCTGCTGCAACAACAGCAACAGCATCGACTGCCCAGAGTGGGTTTTCCTTTTCTCTGTCAGGGGGAAGCTCCACAGCCACCAGTGGCGCCGCTACAGGGGATTCTCTTTTGGTGCCAGTAAGTCTGCATAACATTTTGCATGGTTATACAATGTTTGGTTGATAACTGTCAGACTGATAAATGTATGCTGATACATTTGTAATGTGGGATATATTTGTTCCCAGAGAGTTGTATCTTTTCCATGTATAATGCAGTATTGTTTTGTTCCCAGACAGTGATATTGTTTCCTTCTATTATGTGGGATATATTTGTTCATAAACAATAATATCGTTTCCATTTATAATGTACAATATATTTGTTCACAAGCAATGGTATCTTTTCCATTTTTAATGTAGGATATTTTTGTTCCCAGTTTCGTTTCCTTTTATTATGTGGGATATATTTGGAAGGATCACAATATATGGATGAACTTCTAAATGCTCTCCAAGTTATGTGGGATATATTTGTTCACAGACAGTGGTATTGTTTCCTATTGTAATGTAGAATATATTTGTTCACAGACAGTGGTATTGTTTCCTATTGTAGTGTAGAATATATTTGTTCACAGACAGCGGCATCTTTTCCAAGCCATTGACTGAGACAGCAAAGCCCCAGCCGACTGCATTCTCAGCATTTGGTGGCGGTACATTTGGTGGTAAGACTGACACCACCACCACCACCACTCCCAGTGTCACTTCGTCTGTCTCGGCAGCAGCAGTGACAGCAGCTCTCAGCAGCAGCCTTCTAGCTGCCCTGACTGACACTTCCACAACCTCCACATCGGCAGCATCAGTAACAGCATCTGCTGCGCTAGGGAGCAGCCTACTGGCGGCTCTGACTGACGCTTCATCTCCCGCACCCCAAGAAGCTGCTGCTGCTCTTAGTAGTTTCAGCTTCAAGCCTGGTGACTCTCCCTCACAGCCCACTGGACAAGGCAATTCCTCCCTGGCAGTCAGCGGCACAACTGCATCGGCAACGACAGCGGCAGATACGCCCGCTACTGTTACTGCACCTGAAGCAGCTAAAGCAGCATCAAACCTATTTGGCTTGACTACTGGTGGGTTTGGTCAGCCGGCCAAGTTTGGGGGTAGTCCACCAAGTGGCGCCACCACAACTGTCTCACAACGACTTCACAGTTTGGAGCAAGTGCGGGAGTGTTTGGATCTTCTGGACCGGTGTCTTTCGGTTCCCTGTCCAAGACTACCGAGGTCAGCGGCACTGATGGCACCACAACAACATCAGCTCCATCAGCCACCGTGGCCAAGTCTTTGTTTGGCACTACACCCACGACTTCAGTAAGCACAACTGGCTTCGGGCAAACAGCAACAGCGTCAACTGAAGCAGCAGCAACTCCGGCCCAGGCAACAACAACAACAACAGCGGCTACCGGTTTTGCATTTTTGCATTTGGTAGCTCCTCCTCCTCCTCGTCTATATTTGGTGGGAGTTCCACAGCCAGTACTTCATCAGCATTTGGAACAGCCACTACAGGGGTGTTTGCATCATCTACAGCAGCAACTACAACAACTCCATCTGCCTTTGGGACTTCAACAGCTTCGTCAGGGTTTGGGTTTGGACAAAATACTGCAGGGTTTGCCAAGCCATCTTTTGGCCAGTCGCCTGGCTTTTCCCAGCCATCAAGGTAACTAATATTTGATGTTTGTTAATGTCATCCAATAATAATGTGGATAAGGCCCTTTTCTTAGTTTCAACCCGTGAATATCCGAGTTAGAATTGGTCTTCGGTAACCCATGCTTGTTGTGAGAGGCGACTAACAGGATCGGGTGGTCATGCTCGCTGACTTGGTTGACACATGTCATCGGTTCCCAATTGTGTAGATTAATGCTCATGATGTTGATCACTGGATTGTCAACTCCAGACTCGATTATTTACAGACTGCAGCCATATAGCTATGCGTTTACATATTGGAATAATGGCGTTAAACAGCAACAATCAGTCAATCAATTTTTCTTAGTTTCAGATTTTAAGAGGTTCATTTTGGTTTCAGTGGTAGAAAGCAATGGTTAAAATATCAACATTGTAAGAAAAATGTAAAACATAATCAAAGCTGTTTCACATCAGCAAACTTTAGATAAGACTCACCACTGAAACAAGATTGTCAGGTGCTGTTTACCGAGTTGTCTCTCTGAAATCAATCATGTCTGTTTCAGTTTTGGCGGGGGTTCTGGAGGTTTTGGTGCTGGAGGTTCTGTGTTTGGTCAAACAGCAACCACCACAAGGTGAGTTTACCAGGCCATGTTTGAAGGCAGAAGGGTTCTCTTGTCTCTGGAGGGCAGTGGGGTAGCCTTTTGGTTAAAGCCTTTGCTTGTCACACCAAAGACCCGGGTTTGATTCCCCTACATGGGCACAATGTGTGAAGCCCATTTCTGGTGTTACCTCCGTGATATTGGTGGAATATTGCTAAAAGCAGCGTAAAACCAAACTCACTCACTCACTCACGGCGTTATACAGTATTAAATCTGTATCAGTGTTTTTACATATGATGAGGTTACATTATGACCATGATTATTATACAGCTCCTCTGACATATGATACTGTGATATTTTCACTGTACAACTCTTGACATATGCTGTGATAGTACTCCTGATTAACCAGGGGAGGTGGGGTAGCCTAGTGGATGAAGTGTTGTTCGTCACGCTGAAGACCCAGGTTCGATTCTCCACACAAGTACAATGTGCGAAGCCCATTTCTGGTGTCCCCAATCATGATATTGCTGGAATATTACTAAAAGAGATGTAAAACTATACACACTCTATCTTACCAGGGTAATAACCACACTGACATATGAGTGAGTGCGTTTAGTTTTACGTAATACGCCACACTCAGCAATATTCCAGCAATATAGTTGCTGAAGACCTATTCTGCCCCGGATCACTGACATATGAGACTGATAGTCTTACTGTATAACTTACTGACTCACAGGAACTTTTTTCTATTCCAGTTCTACTGTATTTGGCCAGTCTACAACCACCACCACTGCCAGCTCTGAAGGGAGTTTGTTTGGTGGGGGTGGGGGAGGAGGAGGAGGAGGCCTGTTTGGGGGTCTTGGTGGGAAACCCAGTGCTGATAAAGCAAATAAAAATGTGTTTGGGGGTGGGACATTCGGCACAAGCGACAACACCCAAAACTCTGGTCTCTTCGGCAGTGGTGGATCAACGTCATTTGGCGGCAAATCTGATGGTGGGTTTGGCTCCGCAGGTAGGATTCAGTGGTGGAAGTGGAGTGGCAGCAACAGGGTTCGGTGTTGGGCAGAATTCACAGGGTAAGTCCACGGGCCCTTGTCTCTTTGCGAGGATGAAAGATTTAAAAAAAAATATTTTGATATGACACCCCGACTCGAAATGCTTCACAGTACAATACATCATGACAAGGCCAGACATTTCGGTGTACCCCACCCGTCTGCTTTGCCGATTGCTACACTACCATCGCATGCAATCGATTAAACCTTAATGTAAACGTATTCAGGGATGATTGGCCTATCGATCACCACTCATGACACCTACCAGTTCTTTATTGTTATTTCTGCAAGTCAGTTGAAAGCTGATTTTGACCCTCAACTAAACGATCTGGTCACAAATGGATGTGGGTAAGTCAGCTGTAGATACAATGTAGCAGTGGTCGGAGAGTTCTCAGGTTATGTCAGCTGTAGATGTTCTCTTCAGAACTTAAGGCAAACCTTCCTGTTTACAGCACCTTCTGGGTTTGGAGGTCAGCCTTCATTTGGTGGCAGTCCGGTTCTGGGTGGTTCTTCGTTTGGTGGAGCGCCTTCATTTGGTAGTCCAGGAGGAGGCTTTGGGAGTTCTGCAGCATTCTCCAGCCCAGTTGGCACCACTGCATCGTTTGCCTCAGCTGGGGGACAGGGTGGCTTTGCCAGGTGAGGATTACATCTACTACAATAGTCATGGTTTGCTGAAGCAGCTTGATACAAATTGTCTTACAGCGTGAAACAAGTTGTCTGTGGGCTCAGACCCATTATGGTCAGGGTTAGAATTGAGCTTCAGCAACCCATGCTTGTCATAAGGTGATTAACATGATCAGGTGGTCAGACTTACTGACATGGTTGACACATGTCATTGTATCGCAATTGCATTGATCTATGCTCATAATGTTGATCACTGGGTTGTCTGGTCCAGACAGGATTATTTACAGAACTTTGTCATATAACTGGAAACTTGTTGACTGTAGGCTCACTGTAGGCTGATCCACAAAATGTTCATAGTGCTACGACATACACAAGCCTATGATAAACTACAGAGTTACGACACTTTGTAATGTTATGAATGCTTTGTGGATCATAACCCAGGTTTTCTGGGTTCACAGTAGGATACAAGACTTCTGAGATTCAACATTTGTTTCAGTTTTGCCAGTGGGAACAGTCCCACCTTTGGCAATATAGCTCAGTCCAGTGCGCCATCGTTTGGGAACCTAGCAACAAGTGGAGGAGGGGGCTTTGGAGCAGCCACGGGAGGATTTGGGAATCCAGGAGGCTTTGGGAGTCCGGCAGGTGGATTTGGGAGTCCGGCAGGATCTGGATTTGGAGCCACACAGCAAGCAGGTGGATTTGGAGCCACACAGCAAGCTGGTGGATTTGGAGCCACACAGCAAGCAGGTGGATTTGGAGCCACACAGCAAGCAGGTGGATTTGGAGCCACACAGCAAGCAGGTGGATTTGGAGCCACACAGCAAGCAGGTGGATTTGGGAGCCCAGCAGGAGGTGGATTTGGAGCCACCCAGCAAGCAGGTGGATTTGGAAGTCCTCAACCTGGGACAGGTGGAAACTTTGGGTAAGTCACTATTACATGTGAGAGGTACTATGAGTGTCTCAGATGAAGAAATTCATGTCAGTCTGTCAAATGACCAGGGTATGTGGTTACAACACTGGTCTGAAGCCAGAGTCTAGTAACATTTGTTTCAGTCTAGTAAGTTCAGTAAATGATAGTCCATATAATACAGTAAACCACTGTTGATCGAAGGTGATGACATCTCATTAAATAACTCGAGTTATCCAAGGTTTGGCAAAACCAAAATAGGATACATTAAGCTGCAATATGCAGGAAGACACAGGAACCAAGCCTTTTCTTCGAGACGACCGTGTGTTCAACACAACTGTATGTTGAACACAACCCTATGTTCAACACAACCCTATGTTCAACACAACCGTATGTTCAACACAACCGTATGTTCAACACAACCCTATGTTCAACACAACCCTATATTCAACACAACCGTATGTTCAACACAACCCTATGTTCAACACAACCGTATGTTCAACACAACCGTATGTTGAACACAACCCTATGTTGAACACAACCGTATGTTTCAACACAACCGTATGTTGAACACAACCCTATATTCAACACAACCCTATGTTCAACACAACCGTATGTTGAACACAACCGTATGTTCAACACAACTGTATGTTCAACACAACACTATGTTCAACACAACTGTATGTTCGATGAAAGTTTGACACAACAGGGTTTGATTGTGTATGGGAGTTGTGTCGAACACAAGAGTCATGACTCTAGTTTGTTTCCAGGTCCAGTCCCCAGTTTACCAGCTACAGAGGCTAAACAGGGATGTACAGATGTCTCTTGAAGGACAACACATCTGCAAGCAACATAACAGGATGTACTGTGGCACCAACTTCTGTTTCAAGTGTGAAATGTATTTGAACTGAAATAAAAAGATTATTATGTTAAAGCAGTTGTTTTACATGTATGGTGTGGTCCTGCCCCTCAAAGGAATTGCAGTGTTGCAGATGTCACAAGTCCCATAGCTCGTCACTCCGAACACCCGGGTTCGATTCCCCACATGGGTACAATGTGTGAATCCCATTTCTGGTGTCCCTGCTGTGATATTGCTAAAAGCGTCGTAAAACCCAACTCACTCACTCACTCACAGGTCCCATGCTTGACACTTATATCAGGGTTCCAGATAATTTTTCAACATCAAGAGTATGTACTCCTTATGTTTTCAATATAGGAGTACCAGAAAAAAACTTAAAGAGTACATTTAGAGTACTGAATGGAATTTAATGGTATATCAGTAATCTTGTGTTTCTTTTCATAAGCACCACAACATTGCTACTCTTGTGTAAACAGGTCAATAAACAATAAAACAATACTTTTTCAGATAAATACGTCTGTAAATGATTGTAAGACCGTACACCATTGCTGTGGTGCGTATCTGCTACGTTTTCTAAATTATTTCCTATTGTATCGTGCATATTTTTTATCCGTACATACGCGGATACGGCCCTTATCTGGAACCCTGCTTATATGTTAACCTAGACTGTCATTATACCTATACTCTAACCCTCTGTTTCCAATACGCTAGCATAGACTCTGGCAACACCCCGCCACTTTCAGACTATCATCAGACTTTGTATCTCCATCTTTAGAAACTGACACTTCATATAAACACTGTTTATAATTTTCAGTTCAATTCTGTATAACATGAAGGCCACTGGCTCATATGCAAGAGAGTTAACATAATTTTAGAAGATACTGAGTCAAGGTAAGAATTCTTTTCGTAACAAAAATGCACAATGGATGTATAAAGCTGGTTGATATTGTATTAGACGGTCCTTGGAAGACAGGAATAAACACAATATTACTGCTTTAAATGGAGACAAAGACTACCGTGCCTGACCGTGGTAAGTACTTCTTTCTTAGATTGTTGTATATGGGGCAAATAGACATGAATACATCAATGGCATAAAAAAGGGAATAACTTTGGGATTTGATAAAAATCCTCCTGTGTTAATTTTTAGACCAAATCTGACTCGATCAGTGATATTAGGGAAGTTCCTGTACCATAGGTTTAGTAAGTAAAGTCTGGTTCAATCAATGACTTAAACTGACTATATTATTATGCTTGAGCTTTTTAAAATGTTTTAATGCCATTTCTGATGAATCATTGTAAGCAAACTTGTTTAGAGAAAACATTAACATCCCAAAGCCTTTAACAGAATAGAATCCATGGCATTACCTCTTTAACAGATCACAACAAAAAGACAATATTTACAAACAGGTTTTATTTTAACAGCAAATACATGTATAAAATGATAAATACATGTAAATAAACAAAACAAAACAAATATGTAAATAAATCTTTTACAGTCTTATTCTGACTAGGAGTGGTTATGTCTATGTATATGTACATCTTGCACCTCGACCAAGGCCAGGTTATGGAAATTGCACTTGCCTACTAACTACTTGTATTCTAAACAACAATTGATTAAACCCCTCGTGGGAATGTAAATAAATATTCCTTAAGAAGTATACATACTTATAAAAAATTTAAAGTATCTATAAAATCTATGAAAAGTCCCTGAAGAAATTGAAAGTAAAAAATTCGTAAAATACCTGATATGACCCTAAAGTTACGGGTAAAATATAGCAGCAGCATTCCTCCAATGTACAGTGGATAAAAAGTTAGTTAAGGGGATGCTTTTGTAAAGACTGAGCATATTATTCCACTAAACTATCTCATTCATGTTCAATACCTGTTTTGTCTGGCACATAAAAATCTTTATGAGCTGAACAAATAGTTCCACAGAGACTAAGTGAAAACTGTTCAGGCATTAGTGTTTTAAAAACCTCTTTAACCCGATGAATACGATTTTCAGATACCAGACACTGTGTACTGGTGTATGGTCTCAGCTGGTGCTAACACTACCTTTCAACAAATTCCTCCACATTTAACACAATATACAATTAAAATCAGCCTCTGTTCAATTTATGGCTGAATTAATCTCATTAATATCATGCAGAATGTATGAATGAAAAACAAAACCTGTTCATGCACACTGGGTCAATCACAAATAAAAAAGTATATCACACAGCTGTGATTGATAATTCACGAAGAAAATCCTCCAGTGTCCACTAAAGTTTGCTGTCACACTTGACCACGGGGTCGTCTGGCGACCAAACTGGAGGAATTATGCACACTGGCTTGCCCCGTACTGGCCTCCAGACCAACATCTGCGCACTGTTGGCGTTTGGGGGCACCAGAGCACAGCGGGGTATGGGCACATTCTTGTCCAGGATCTGTGGCTGTTTGGCAATGGGGTTGCTTATGAGCCGCGCCCTCTTGCCCAGATCGCAGTGAGGTTTGACATCGATCTCCAGGTGCATGCCCCATCTGATGGTGGAGAGGATGTACGACTTGCTGGCCGTCTGGTTCCAGGCAACCAGCCACACATAGAAGCTCTGATCACGCATGATGTGGGTGAGGTTTGGCTCCACCTGGTGGCGGTTGGCAGGGTTACGCCACGTAACGTGAGGGTGGAAGTTGTCGTTCATGGTGATAGTGGCAGTCTGGAAAGACTTGCATGGCCCTTTGATTATGGCGGTCTCGTTGCGGGAGCCGTACCATGGGTAGTGTCGACCATCACAGTCGCTGATCATCAGCTGCTTGCCGCTTGTCAGCTCGGGAAACTCCCAGCTTGTGCTGTACGTGAGAGAAACATCAGCATGTCAAACACGTCATCAATACAACTTGAAACTAATATATATTCATACACTCCGGCATAAGCTACCACAACCATATATACTTGACATTGTCGAAAATTCAAAATGCCACAACCACAACTAAATGTAGACAAAAATGAAACCTTGGCGACGACCTCTTCCGTTCCCTTCAAAAGGTATAAGTCTCGAAATAATACCATTGGTAAACCTCTTGAAGTGATATGAGCATAAATGTACCCGCAACTTGAACCTTTGCGAAAGTTCAGTCTAACATATTTGGACCAGCTTTGTGCCGTGTCCGTCTGGGTAGGTAGCACCCTCAGGTTTAGAAGAAATCAGCTGGATACCCAGTTATGTTTTTCAGTTTTTATTGACATATATAGCACAACCCTGTGTGCCCATGACTGATATTGATCACATTCTAAGGCGTGCTGATTCCTTCTTACAGTCTTGGGCACTTAACAACGAAAACATTTGAGTCACATGTTCTACTTCCATTTAAAATAAGCAACAACAAACTAAACACTATTTACACTATTTTATTATATGATTTATTTAAAAAAAATATTTTTCGGCCCTTTATTTCGGCCTTTTTGACTTTCGTTTTCGGCCCATTTGACTTTTGGTCTCGGCCCATTTGACTTTTTTCGGCCCTTTTGTCCTTCGGTCCATTTGACTACAACCCACTAAATGTTACTCTTTCTCGGAGCGGTGACCTAATTCCCCAGTCTGGGACTTCACGCAGGGGTGTTTACAGGGGTTGAAATACTTACTGTCCCTCCTCGCCGTACTGGTTGTGGAAGAGCATGTCTGTACAGGCCTGGATCCAGCCAATCTTCCACGTCTCAGCGTGGGACAGCGGTGCCATCTCAATCTTTGCACTTGCCCTGAAACACCCGATGCCAGAATTATACAACCACTATACACTCCCTAGAGTGAAGAAAGATTCACACATCGGCCACTTAGACACGCAAGCAACTAATTCACGAGTCTAGTCATACCCAGAATTTCTTTCAGTTAACTATAAAGGTTATTTTCTTAGTGTAGGTATGCTGGGCCTAGATTTTCGAAGCTCTCTTAGCGCTAAGATAGTCGTAAGTGCCATACATTAACATTAACTTACGACTATCTTAGCGCTAAGAGAGCTTCGGAAATCTAGGCCCTGGTGTCTTGAGGCTCCGTTGTTGTTTCTTTTTATTTATTAGTTCGTTTTCTGCCTACCGTGTACAGTGCAGTTAGTTTCCACCGCACTTTGCCCATAACAAATTATCCCTTTACCTACACGTGAACAAGTTCAATAACACATTTAAAACATCATCGCGTCGACACAGTAAGGGTGTTCCCGCCATGTATCATATACCTGATGTTACCTAGCCTTCAAATTGAAACTGAGCCTCAGTGAGATGGTCGATGCAGCACCTGGGGACATCTAGACCTAACACCATGCAGTATACAGAACTGCCGGGTGAGGGACTATGATACACACTACCAGCACATGTTCCTTGTGGAATGTGCAGGTTACATTTTCAAATCGCAGTGGCAACAGGACAGTTTTCTGTGCATAAAACATTTAAGCACGCCTATACCCCTCAAGTATTAATCACTGACAAGTAAGCTTCTATTTCATATCAGTTATGCATATAAGTAAACAACTGCGTTCGGGAGAGGCAGAACTTCAGAAGGCGACTGTTGGGATTGGGTACCAGCAGAATAGGTAGGCTATTCATAATGTTAGGTAGGCCTATGTTAATCATGCATGCCATGCGTTTTATATTTAAACGTAATTGAAAAAGACATGGTCCATTATAATTTCAGGGAGGGCATGTTCTGAGGGTACATCCGCAACCTGCAGCTATATCCCAGTGATAACTTGAACAATTGATCTAATTTAAGATTATATTATTACCCTGCAGTACATAAATCGAAGACATGAAATACATTCATTTACTCCATAGAATACGCGTGCAGAATATGTCTCATTGGTCGATTTTGTTTTCGGCAAATACAAACCTGAAATTTGGTGTTCTGTACTTCAGAACAGCCGGAGAATTCTCGTCGATCTGGGTTGCTTCATTATCGATTCTAGTATCAATATTCACGATTTTGATCTTACTAGGAACACCTTTGGGTGCTGAAACGGATATATTGGACAGTTTCTTGCTTGAACTCCCAGCTATACCCATGTCTCCTTCGGCGAAATCCATGGGAAAAAAACCCACGCTGGTTTTTAATCGCCACCTGGGCTGTTTAAAAAATACCCAAAGCCTGATTTTCCTTGACTGGTGCTTCTGTCCACTTGTTTATGTTTCTCGAGATCCATTATGACGCTTTTTAGTATTTTCAGCCATTTCAAATTTGGAGCGTCTACTACTGTTGTTATGTTGACAAGGAGATAACCCCGAAACCAAAGTAAGTTTATTATACAGTTCATATTCTTAGTATCGTATTATCTTGATGAAAAAATAGAGTGAATATATTAACAACAGGTCTAACAATATTTTAATTATAAACTATCAATTCATTTATTGATAAATCACTCTTCTTTTGAGAAAATAATAAGGTAAAGTAACTGTTTAATGTATGGTTAGAGAGTAATGGCTGTGATGTCACAACTATCACTTATGTAGTAATTGTAACATATATGACTGGCTTCCTAACCAAAACAAGTCTTCAACTATGGAACAAATATTTACAAGTAATAATATTTTATGTCGTAAATTCAGCAATCATGGGATATAAACCACACATATTGGACGTATTAACCTGTTTAAAATCCGCTATCAGTCATTAGTAGAAGGATAGTAGTATATTTAGTACGCCATCAATTGCTCTATTGCAGCGCGTGTTTTCATTCTTTAAGTATTGAATAGAACGATAGTGTCGCTGTCAGGAGTTCAACAAATTATTTCAGGAAGTCAGCTGTCTGCTTTGGAGAAGGAACAGAATCTCACTTCCTGATAATCAAAACCTCCGTGTAACCACACAAACTACCACAATGAGTGCACGCAAGCGACAAGCCAGATCAGCAGAAACTGATAGAAGGAATAGATCGCGCAATTCAACAAAATCACCTTGGGAAATGATTCTGAAGTACGATAGGCAGTGTACAAAAGCATTCGGCCTTTGTGCGACACAGAACTCGGCCTTAGGTCAACTTCGACCCTTGATGAAAGTTTTAGAGATCAGCTGTCACGGCGTGCCATGGTTGATTGGGACAGTAATTTGGTTTGTCTGTGTCCACAAACCGGAAGATGTTGAACTTTCAGTTAACCTGTTTCTAGGTAGGAAAACATGAAGCTGTAGAAGGGAAAAACATTTCTGAATATCGTTTCATTGCTTACTAATATGTTTTCTCCAACGAAATCGGTGGACACGTCATAAATATGGTAATCTGTACGGATGCCAGACGATCCGTACCCACGGTGATTCGTACCCAACGAAAATCCTGACCCACACTACAGATTCCTATCTGTTCTAGAGCATTTGTACTTTATTTGTCTGACCCGTACTTAAATTTGGAAATCATGTACCCATCCTTGTTGAAGCAAGATGCACAATTCCGAACTGTATAGACCACAAAATCGTAAAATTACATGTTTGTAATCAATTATTCAGCACCACTTACATATGCTATGTTTCAAAACATTCATTCAGTGTACATTTTAAATATCCATTAGTTGCTGAATGAACACTCCATTATGATTTTATTCCCAAGTAGCCTAAATTGTTTAATTTAGTCAATATCTTTGATTTGTGATTTTAGACCCCAAGTAGCTTACTCTAGAAATATTAACACTATTAACTACATTCTTGGAAGTTGGTCATTGTAAGGGGAAGTTTACCAAGTCAGTTGTTAAACTACTCATATATAGCCAATAAATGTTTCAAATCATATTTGTTTTCATTGGGTATGGATTTGCTTTTTCAGGTTTAAGTCATCCAGTTGATTAACTAACTACGAGTGGGTATAGGTTATCCAATATCTGTGTACAAATTCTGCTGATCTCTGTGGGTCTGTGTTATCCAAAGGTGCTTCTGGGAAATATCACAATACATAAGCAGCTAAAAAAAGTTTGTGTAGGGAATCAAACCGAGGCCTTCCTCTTGACGAGTGCATGCTTAAAGCACTAGGCTACCCCACCAACCATCTTATTGCTGACACCATGTGACAACAAAGATGAAAAATTCAATGTTGATATATGTGCCCTTTTGTTGCTACATGTTTACTCCTGTCGTCATTATTCCTGTTACCATTGTCATTGTTACCTAAAGAACTTTCAAACATGCAGTGGGGTAGCCTATCGTGTTGGGAATTGGTTGAAATATGACAATTGATGATTGCTTCATTACCAACGAACAATCATCGAAAAAAATTGGTTAGCGTCATTTTTCAGATTTTCCTATCCAGGTCGTTATTGCAGATATGTATAACATGATGCAACTTGCTACTTTAAAGTGATGACTAATATATCACGAACATAAACTTCCCGGAGTCTTAAAAAAATATATTCAGTCATGGCTTTTCAGTTAGTGAAGTGAGTTTTCTAAGAATTAAACACGTTTTCAGGCCCTGACAACTTCTACTATATGTTCCATTGTCAAGTATTTCAAAGACTTAAACAGTAGTTCCAAAATCGTTTATGTTCGATCACGAGAAAATGTGATCGATTGCTTGGTCGTTTGGTCAATGCGATTATTTCAATTAGTAGCCTAGTGGTTGAAGCATTGCTTGTCACGCCAAAAACCCTGGTTTGATTCCCCACATGGGTACAATGTGTGAAGTCTATTTTTGGTGTCCCTTGCCATGATATTGCTGGAATATTGCTAAAAGCGGCGTAAACCCATACTCACTCACTCATCCATGTCCTGTTTCAGCACTCATCTTTGACCTGGTGATTGTGGCATTGTTGAAGATGCTGGTTCAACGTCCACGTCCCTCCAACAATCAGATGGACATGTTCGCCACCGTTTCCATCGACAACTACTCCTTCCCCTCTGGTCACACGACTAGAGCGGCCATGCTTGCGTGTTTCTACATCGAGCGTGTGTTGATCAACCAGCTCCCAATGACCCTGATCGTGACGTGGTCTGCGTGTGTAAGTCTATCGCGTGTGATGCTAGGACGTCATTATGTCTTAGATGTACTCAGTGGATGTCTGATAGGTGTTCTGGAGTATACAGCCTACTCCCAGTTCTGGATTCCGCAGGACAAGTGCTTGCTGTGGCTGGAACCCTATTTCGGTCATGTTCATTTGTGAATAGAACTTTATATTTACATGGTATAGCATGACCCGTGAAGATCCAGGTTAGAACTGATCTTCAGCAGCCAATACTATGATAAGAAGACCAACGGGATCGAGTGGTTAGGCTCACTGCCTTGGTTGACATGTGTCATTGTATCCTAATTTAGGATCGATGCTCATGATGTTAATCACTGGATTGTCTTGCGAGACTCAATAATTTACAAGCTGGAATTTTGTCGAGTTTAGTTTTTAACATCCAAACAAAACTTGTACAACATTTACATTATACAACATGTCCATCATACAACACATGTGTGTTGATTATATTTTTTCCGTCGCACAGATAACCCATACCATACCAGATGCCAGTAAGTTTTCTGCATGGCTGTTGAATGGGGGTGATACAGTGTACCGCAGTATAAGTAGAACTGCAGTATTTTGCCTTCAGTTCGATATACTGTAATTCAGTCAAAAAAATTGGTATTTTCGGTTTTCATACTGTCATTTTATCAGCCTTTAAAAAGGTTAATGGAAACCTTTATAACCCTTTTCTACAATGTCTAGAAATCAAATCATTTTGTCAAAATCGATCTAGGTTTGGCTTTTGTTGTCAATTTTCTGCATTATGATCATACTCATATACCAAACCGATACGGACTGAACCAAAGTCCTTGTACCGCAATATGTACTGTTTCACCCCAACTGTTAAACTTATCAGAAAATGGCTTATGTCTACATGGTTATACTGAACAGGGCTGTCCTTACCAGTGGTAAAACCTAGTGCCACAAATGATAGATATTAGGGCTGGGTATTGCAGAGAATTTTCATATTGCGATATATTGCGATGCGAAAGCATGTATTGCGATATGTATTGCAATATACTAGTATTGCATGAAGTTTTTATAAACAAAAAACTACTTATAATCGAGTTAATGCTTGATTTATAGAGCAAAAACACAACAAAACCACTATGCTTGATTAAGCTTTAATAACAACTTTTAATCATGATAAAATAAATATGTGAATAATATTTGGCACAAATGAAAGAAGGACATATCCAAAGATTTCCGGAGTGTTACGAAGTTTTCCGAATGCAAGTCAAAATACCGGTTTTCGATCAGCGTGTCGCAATACATATTGTTTTCATGTCTGAACCGGTAAATACCGGTAAACCGGTTATATTTCGCAGCCCTAGTGGTCTTATCATGAAGATTTATACAAACTGTTTATGGTTGTGAAGTTTGATTTCAATCTCTGTTTATACAAACATTATCTGTATTGGATCTGTATGAAATGTATTTTAATCTTTTATGTATGATATACTAAGCATGAAATTATAAAATCAGAAGGATTTTCACAGAATTCTGATTTTCTGAGGACCTAATTTTGGAGTGTTGTTGACAAATGGTTGAATCTGGTTTTATGAATGTGAGTGTTCTCTTCAGAAGTCATCATAATCAGTGATAATGTATCCCGACGACCCAGTGCTCGCTATTTATGCAGGCAAACATATGGGAACTGATGTACATAAATATTTATCTTACCTCACACATAAATGTCGAATTCTGATTGGCTGAGTGCTCTTCAATTATATTCAATGTACCCTGCTTACAAGCAAGTAACATTTCAATGTACCCCGCTGCGGGGTCAATCGCAACTCATATGGTACTTCATGTTAGTAATTCTTTATCTCAAATTACATTGAATCACATATGATGTACGGAAATTACTGATGTTTTGCGAATGCAAATCGATGGAAGGGAGATAACTCTAAATCTGTTTTTCCTGTCAGCAAAATCTAGCGATGGCTACAAAACGATTTGTACCAGTGCTTCAAACAATTCAAAATTAACATTAAGGTGTTCGGTAAGATAATTACGTTGTTCACTGGTCCCTCGGGGCCTATGGGTTGATGTACCCTCAATGTTTGTTTATGTTCCCCTTGCCCTTCGGGCTCAGGGAACAGAAAACAAACATCGAGGGTACATCAACCCATGCCCCCCTCGTGACCAGTGAACAACTTGTAATAACCCAGGGTATTACCTCGACCCACAAACATGGGTGTCCCGGGTCCCCCAGTTATCAGTCTTAGGGTCCTTGTGGGCCAGATGAGGGTCCTGTGAAGGAACAGAGTAGAGAACTGTACGTTTGGGCAAGATCTATTGAGCCTGGAGTGAATCATTGATCAGTGGACTGGTGGATGAAATGATGCACATAACTGCTCTGAAACAGTGAAAGGAACAATGGCATTGTCTACATTTGTACATACAGGACACACATTTCCGGGTTACGTAAAACCCTGTATATAACCACACATGGTTTTTCAAACACTTAAGAAACATTGGTTGCTTTCTCTCTAAGGGGGGCAGTGGGGTAGCCTAGTGGTTAAAGCGTTGGCTCGTCACGCCGAAGACCCGGGTTCGAATCCCCACATGGGTACAATGTGTGAAGCCCATTTCTGGTGTCCCCCGCAGTGATGTTGCTGGAATATTGCTAAAAGTGGTGTAAAACCAAACTCAGTTAGTCAGTCAGTTCTCTCTAAGGCCAAAATATATGTGTGTTTACGGTAACATGAAATGTTAGGTTGGTTTATCTTTTTTTTTCTTACATTTTTTTTTAAATGCACTCACATATTTTTCATAAAATCACATATTTAAGTGATATCAGGCACCAGTTTTGAAAGAAAAGAGGGGAAACCAGAGTAAAATTTAAAAAACTGAAGCAACAACACTTACTAAATTCGACATTTATGAAAAACAAGAGTAAGTGAGCACAGGTCACATATGGTCGCTCCCAACATTGGGGAATACATACTGTTAGCAAAATGTTTTGCTGTCTTTTAAAAAAACCCGAAAAAAATAGTTTAGGGTCGTGAAGTTTGTGATGGGGTCGGTCGGGAAACCGTAAATGCACATATTTTTGTTGTTGGCCTAATCACATGAATAACAGTACAGTTACAAAAGACAGCTTTATCTTAAGAACAAGTCATCATACGAGTATAGAGCTATCAGTGTGATGTAACACACCTTGTTATTGAGTGAGTAAACGCTGCCGTCTGGATAGCATGATGTCTGACAACATAATCCGATAATACAAACATGTATAATGAACAAAATTTCGAGTTACTTATTCTAGGTTTATTGGTTGGTACTTCTGGTAACACTCTGAGTTCCCAAAGGGCAAAGTTTAGCAGTGAGTGTGTTGTGGCAGATTTAAGAAGCATGGTTACTTTGGGTCTATTCAGATAGTCTGGAAGGGGCGTGGGGTAGCCTAGTGGTTAAAGCGTTCGCTCGTCACGCCGAAGACCCGGGTTCGATTCCCCACATGGGTACAATGTGTGAAGCCCATTTCTGGTGTCCTCCGCCGTAATATTGCTGGAATATTGCTAAAAGCGTCGTTAAAACTAAACTCACTCACTCACTATTCATGGAGAAGTATGAAGTGTATGTGAATGCTAGTTTGTGTCTATTCATGGAGAAGTATGAAGTTCATATGAATGTCTATCTTTTCTGCCATATAGCTGGAATATTGCTGAGTGTGGCGTAAAACTCAACTGTATCTTTTCATTGGGAAGTAAGAAGTGAATATGAATGTGTCTATCTATTCATGTAGAAGTAAGTAGTGCATATGAATGTGTCTATCTATTCATGGAGAAGTAAGAAGTACATATGAATGCGAGTGTCTATCTATTCATGAAGAAGTAAGAAGTGAATGAGTCTTTTCACCGAGAGGTTATAAATGCATGTGAAGATGATGAAAGCTGACCATATGTTGTCATGACCCAGTATATAAAGGCACCAGCCTTGTCTTCAGTTCCATATTTCCAAGATTACTGTGAAAATGCACAATAATGCAATGTAGACACATTGTTACTATTAGTATCAGGTCAGATGTTGTTTCAGCTTCAGTGTTTAGTTTGTGGTGTAGCCTTGGGATAGTGTAGTTTGTGTGGTGTAGTCCACAAAGTGATCTTAACGCTAAGGTGACCGTAACTCCCATACCATAACATAGTCTTACGACAGACTTAACACCAAAGTTGTTTTGTACAAGGACACCCTGATATTTACCATTCATAGTGATTGTCATGTTTAGATGCCTGATTGGTCTTTAATTTGATTTAAATCTTCCAACTTTTGAAGACATATTTAGACAGAGAAAGTACTGTTTTATGCTGAAACAGCCCGTAATATAATCTGTGATGACTGTGCACAAGGGTGGTGGTCCGATTAATTGAAATAATTGAAGATTGGTTGCAGTGACTAAACGACCAAGCAATCAATCATTTTTTCTCATAATCGAACACAAACAATTCTGGAACACTTGTTTTCATAAACAATATTTTTCACAAGGTTGGTTTTGTCTGTTACATTTCATAAGCACCACAAGTTCGTTTCAAGTCATGATTGAATTTATCTTAAAGACTCCAAGAAATTTATGTTCCTGACATACTAGTCATCCTTTAATGTGAAATTTTGTCAAAACCCCCAAAGAACTACATGTTTTTTCCTTATTTTTATGTGCATTAACAAATTTTATTAATGACGCTAACCAATTTTTTTCGATAAGTGATTGGTTGTAATAAACCAATCATCAATTATGAGATTTTAACCATCTCCCAACACTAGTGCACAAGGGTGAGTGTTCTTGTGTCATGCTGTGTCTAATCAATGCCTGTGTTTGTCCAATCTGACAAAGAGGCGGTGGGGTAGCCTAGTGGTTAAAGCGTTGGCTCGTCACCCAGAAGACCGCATTTGATTCCCTACATCTGTGATGCCCATTTCTTGTGTCCCCTGCCGTGATGTTGCTGGAATATTGCTAAAAGCGGCTTAAAACTAAACTCACTCACTCATCCAATCTGAACCGAGGACTGTCAAGGTCTCTGTGATTAGTTGTAGGTACAGAGTAAGAATTGTCACTAAAGCAACTTATGATGAGGTGGAAAAAGTGAGGAGGGTTATGATTGATATATGTCAGTATTTGAATGATATGCCAGATTGAAATTGCATGTGGACAGACCGATTGTGGTATTTGTTTATCAGAATGTTATGCAAGACTGAAGGCTGGTATGATTATATATCTGTTAGAAATTCATTGACTTAAGAAAGGCGGGTATAAATAGAAGGATATATATGTCTGTTAGAAATGCATTGACTTCTGGAAGGCAGGTATAAATAGAAGGATATATATGTCTGTTAGAAATGCATTGACTTAAGAAAGGCAGGTATAAATAGAAGGATATATATGTCTGTTAGAAATGCATTGACTTAAGAAAGGCAGGTATAAATAGAAGGATATATATGTCTGTTAGAAATGCATTGACTTCTGGAAGGCAGGTATAAATAGAAGGATATATATGTCTGTTAGAAATGCATTGACTTAAGAAAGGTGGGTATAAATAGAAGGATATATATGTCTGTTAGAAATGCATTGACTTAAGAAAGGCGGGTATAAATAGAAGGATATATATGTCTGTTAGAAATGCATTGACTTAAGAAGGCAGGTATAAATAGAAGGATATATATGTCTGTTAGAAATGCATTGACTTAAGAAAGGCAGGTATAAATAGAAGGATATATATGTCTGTTAGAAATGCATTGACTTAAGAAAGACGGGTATAAATAGAAGGATATATATGTCTGTTAGAAATGCATTGACTTAAGAAAGGCAGGTATAAATAGAAGGATATATATGTCTGTTAGAAATGCATTGACTTAAGAAAGGCGGGTATAAATAGAAGGATATATATGTCTGTTAGAAATGCATTGACTTAAGAAAGGTGGGTATAAATAGAAGGATATATATGTCTGTTAGAAATGCATTGACTTAAGAAAGGCAGGGTATAAATAGAAGGATATATGTCTGTTAGAAATGCATTGACTTAAGAAAGGCGGGAATAAATAGAAGGATATATATGTCTGTTAGAAATGCATTGACTTAAGAAGCGGGTATAAATAGAAGGATATATATGTCTGTTAGAAATGCATTGACTTAAGAAAGAAAGACGGGTATAAATAGAAGGATATATATGTCTGTTAGAAATGCATTGACTTCTGGAAGGCAGGTATAAATAGAAGGATATATCTGTTAGAAATGCATTGACTTCTGGAAGGCAGGTATAAATAGAAGGATATATATGTCTGTTAGAAATGCATTGACTTAAGAAAAGCGGGTATAAATAGAAGGATATATATGTCTGTTAGAAATGCATTGACTTCTGGAAGGCAGGTATAAATAGAAGGATATATCTGTTAGAAATGCATTGACTTAAGAAAGGCGGGTATAAATAGAAGGATATATATGTCTGTTAGAAATGCATTGACTTAAGAAAGGCGGGTATAAATAGAAGGATATATATGTCTGTTAGAAATGCATTGACTTCTGGAAGGCAGGTATAAATAGAAGGATATATCTGTTAGAAATGCATTGACTTAAGAAAGGCGGGTATAATTAGAAGGATATATGTCTGTTAGAAATGCTTTGACTCTGCAAGATGAGTGTAAGCAAAAGGATACATCTTTCCAAAAAATTATTGACATCGGGAAGGCAGGTGGAAATAAAAGGATGTATATTTTAGAAATGCTTTGACTTCTGAAAGACAGGTATAAATAAAAGGAAATATCTGCTAGAAATTCATTGACTTTAGAAAGGCAGGTAAAAAAAAAAGGATATATCAGAAATTCATTGACACTGGGAAGGCAGGTGGAAATTAAAGCATAGGAAACTCAGTTTCTACTGCACGGATGATTGATTTAATGATGAGAAATTGAGTGACTAAGTTTTTTACTACAGACTGAAACATATTTATTTTCTTCTGCATAATATTCACTCACCTATGGAAGCATATTAATGAAGGATTGTTGTTAAGATTGTGGCACAAATACGTTCATTTCAATACCCACCTTTTTGTGGTTCTTTCAAATTTTGGGAGGGGAAGTGGATTCCTTTAATTCAAATGAATCCTTTGCTGAGGTCATCTGGGGAACAAATATGTCTGTGTGATTTCTGAGATGAAAGATAATGTTATGTTATGTGGCTAAACTTCTTTTTTGTTCAAATATCTGAATAGTGAGAAGCAAAATCTGTGAAGTTATTGATCAGGTTGCCATTGTACAAGCAACCTACATGCTACAACAATCGTAAGTCTCTGTCAGGTATGGGAGTTGTGATTAACTTAGCGCTAAGATCGCTTTTACAACAGCACCCAGATCTTCTGACAGATCTTCTGACCGATCTTCTGGCAGATGGCCATCTGTTGACCAAATCAGGGTCAGCATTAATAATAGATGACATTTGACAGTATCAGGTTATTCATCTGGAAATAAGTGGAACAAGTTGTGTAATAGTGTATTAAAATGATGCAGGTGGTGTTTCCTTCCTGGAGTTAGAGGTATGGGTGAGTCATTACAGTATCAGAAGTCATACCTGCAATAAAGATGCTCACAGTGTTTAAGTTGTCAGAATGTTGTAAGTGTGTGTTCAGTTTCGGTAGTGATAGATGTAGCCAGATTTCTTGATTAAACAGGGACAGCAAATACCTACTGCATATTAGTTGTAGATTGTTGGTGGTCGTAGTGTTAACTTTTGTACCTATGTCTTTCACAAAAAGCAATAAAAACGATGGCCCTTTTCTCTTGCTTGTTTATTCTCTGTTGTTTGGTGAGGTGTAAAGATGAATAATGGGAGGACCCTGTGCAATATAGAGGGGAGAATAGTGGGAGGAGCCTGTGTAATATAGAGGGGAGAATAGTGGGAGGACCCTGTGCAATATAGAGGGGAGAATAGTGGGAGGAGCCTGTGCAATATAGAGGGGAGAATAGTGGGAGGAGCCTGTGTAATATAGAGGGGAGAATAGTGGGAGGACCCTGTGCAATATAGAGGGGAGAATAGTGGGAGGACCCTGTGCAATATAGAGGGGAGAATAGTGGGAGGAGCCTGTGCAATATTGAGGGGAGAATAGTGGGAGGACCCTGTGTGCAATATAGAGGTGAGAATAATGGGAGGACCCTGTGCAATATTGAGGGGAGAATAGTGGGAGGAGCCTGTGGGTATTGAGGGGAGAATAGTGGGAGGACCCTGTGCAATATAGAGGGGAGAATAGTGGGAGGAGCCTGTGCAATATAGAGGGGAGAATAGTGGGAGGAGCCTGTGTAATATAGAGGGGAGAATAGTGGGAGGAGCCTGTGCAATATAGAGGGGAGAATAATGGGAGGACCCTGTGCAATATAGAGGGGAGAATAGTGGGAGGACCCTGTGCAATATAGAGGGGAGAATAGTGGGAGGAGCCTGTGCAATATTGAGGGGAGAATAGTGGGAGAGGAGCCTGAGAATGTGGGAGGGCCTGTATAGAGGGGAGAATAATGGGGAGGAGCCTGTGCAATATAGAGGGAGGAGAATAATGGGAGGAGCCTGTGCAATATAGAGGGAGAATAGTGGGAGGACCCTGTGCATTATAGAGGGGAGAATAGTGGGAGGAGCCACATATGCAATATAGAGGGAGAATAGTGGGAGGAGCCTGTGCAATATAGAGGGGAGAATAGTGGGAGGAGCCTGTGCAATATAGAGGGGAGAATAGTGTGAGGAGCCTGTGCAATATTGAGGGGAGAATAGTGGGAGGAGCCTGTGCAATATTGAGGGGAGAATAGTGTGAGGAGCCTGTGCAATATTGAGGGGAGAATAGTGGGAGGAGCCTGTGCAATATTGAGGGGAGAATAGTGGGAGGAGCCTGTGCAATATTGAGGGGAGAATAGTTGGAGGAGCCTGTGCAAGAGCCTGCATATACAGAGGAATAAAAGTCGGAGGAGCCTGTAGAACATAGAGGGGAGAATAGTGGGAAGAGCCTGCAAATAAAGAAGGAGAATTGTGGGAGGGGCCTGTGTAATATAGAGGGTGAATAGTGGGAGGAGCCTGCATGATATTGAAAGGAAAATAATGGGAGGAGCCAGTGTTATATATAGAGGGGTGAATAGCTGGAGGAGCCTGCATGATATAGAAAGGAAAATAATGGGAGGAGCCAGTGTTATATATAGAGGGGTGAATAGTGGGAGGAGCCTGCATGATATTGAAAGGAAAATAATGGGAGGAGCCAGTGTTATATATAGATTGCGGTCGCAACACCAAGAAAGGCATAAACAATGATCACACGTCCGCCAGAAACGCACCGACCTGTTGCGCAAAACACAAAATGACATCCGCCGCGGTTCCGCCCCTCGACCCGCGCCATCATGTCGTATCATTATCCGCCGCAGTGTTCCACCGACTCAGCCGTTTTGCAAGCACAAACAAGAAACGACACGTCCACCGACTCCTAAAATGCCAAACAAGAAATGACACAATGCTACGTTGTTCCACCGATCCCGGTTGACGGCACAAACAGCCCATCGACATACGTCCGTTGTGAAACGCACCGGACTCCGGAACAGCGCACAAACAGAAATGACACATACGTCCGCCGAAACGCATCGACCTGCCGCTTTACACAAACAGAAGCCGACACATACGTCCGTCAGAAACGCACTGACCTGCACAAACAGTAGCCGACACATACGTCCGCCAGAAACGCACTGACCATTGTTACGGCATAAACAGAAATGATTACATACAAGTCCGTTGTGAAACGAATTTGACCTCGAAGCAAGGCATAAACAGAAATGATTACATCTCGTTGTGAAACGCACCGGACCCCAAGAAAGCATGGCATAATTAGAAGGATATATGTCTGTTAGAAATGCTTCTTGACTTGCAAGATGAGTAAGCAAAGGATACATCTTTCCAAAATTATTGACACGGAAAATATGGAATAAAAGGATGTATTTTAGAAATGCTTTGACTCTGGAAAGACAGGCATAAATAAAGGAAATATTCATAGAAATTCATTTACGAAAGGCAGGTAAAATAAAGGATATATCAGAAATTATTGACACTGGGAAGGTGGAAATTAAAGTATAGAAATCCTGCTTTACTGTAACGGATGATTGATTAATGATGAGAATGAGGATTGTGTTTTTTACTACAGACTGAAACATATTTATTTTTCTTCTGCATATTATCTACTCTCACCTATATGGGTAGCCATTATTACACGAAGGATTGTTGTTAAGATTGTGGCACAAATATCGCCCATTTCAATACCCACCTTTGTGGTTCTTCAAATTTTGGGAGGGAAGGATTCCTTTAATCCAAATGAATCCTTTGCTGAGGTCATCTGGGGGAACAACATGTCTGTGTGATTTCTGAGATGAAAGATACTGTTATGTTATAGGTTAAACTTTTTTGTTCAAATATCTGAATAGGGGTGAGAAGCAAAATTCCAGGAAGTTATTGATCAGGGTTGCTATTGAAAAGCAACCTACATGCTACAACACCGAAGTCTCTGTCAGGTATGGGAGTTGTGATTAACTTAGCGCTTAAGATCGCTTTTACAACAGCACTCCAGATCTTTCTGGACAGATCTTGACCGGGATTTCTTGGCAGATGCACATCTGTTGACCAAATCAGGGTCAGCATTAATAATAGATGACATTTGACAGTATCAGGTTATCTCATCTGGAAATAAGGAACGCGAAACGTTGTGCAATAGTAATAAAAACATGCAGGTGGTGCTTCCTCCCGGAGCCAGGGAGGGCAAGAGTCATTACAGTATCAGAAGCCCACACCCGCAACAAAGCATGCTCACAGCAGTTTGCTGTCAGAATGTTGTGCGTGTTCAGCTCGCAGCGACAGATGCAGCCAGATTTCCTTGATTAAACAGGGACAGCAACACCTACCGCATTGAAGAAGTTTGTAGATTGTTGGTGGTCAGAGGTTAACTTTGTACCTATGTCTTTTTCACAAAAGAATAAAAACCATGGCCCTTTTCTTGCTTGTTTATTCTCTGTTGTTTGGTGAGGTAAAGATGAATAATGGAGACCCTGTGCAATATAGAGGGGAGAATAGTGGGAGGAGCCTGTGTAATATAGGAGAGGGGAGAATAGTGGAGACCCCAGTAATATAGAGGGAGAATATGGGAGGAGCCTGTGTCATATAGAGGGGAGAATAGTGGAGGAGCCTGTGTAATATAGGAGGAGAATAGTGGAGGACCCCTGTGCAATATAGAGGGGAGAATAGTGGAGAACCCCAGCAACATAGAGGAGAACAGTGGAGGAGCCCAGCAATATCGATGCATAACAGTGATAACTCAGCAACAAGGTATGCTATTAAATGTATTAACCTGCCATCGATGGCTAAACAGCGTGGCTATCCCAGCAACACAGATGCATAACAAAGTGATGGTTCGCATCACAGATGAAGAACATGGCTATTCGCGCAACACAGTATGCATAAATAAAGTGATGGTTCACAAATACAGAGTGTATTAACAAATGCATGACCCTGTGCAATATAGAGGGAGAATGCGGGAGTGACCCCAGCAACATAGAGGAGAATAGTGGGAGGAGCCCGTGCACATTGAGGAAGAATGCGGAGGAGCCTGCAAAAACAGAGTGAGAACAGTGATGAGCCCGCAGCAACATAACGAGGAAGAACAACGATATTCGGCAACACAGAGTGAGAACAGTGATGAACCGTGCACACAGAGGAGAACAGTGATGAGCCCAGCAACACAGAGTATAAACAGTATAAGCCCAGCAACACAGAGGAGCAACAGTGATGGTTCGTGCAACATAGAGGAGAACAGTGAGAGCCCAGCAATACTGAGGAGAATAGTGAGGAGCCTGTGCAATACTGAGGGAGAATAGCGTGAGGAGCCCAGCACATTGAGGGGAGAATAGTGTGATGAGCCCGTGCAACACTGAGGGGAGAATATGGGAGGAGCCCAGCACATTGAGGGGAGAATAGCTGAGGAGCCTGTGCAAGAGCCCGCATATACACAGAGTGAACAAAAGCCTGAGGAGCTCTGTAGAACATAGAGGAGAATAGTGGAAGAGCCTGCAAATAAAGAAGGAGAATTGTGGGAGGGGCCTGTATATAGAGGGTGAATAGTGGAGGAACCTACGATGATATTGAAAGGAAAAATAATGGGAGGAGCCAGCAATGTTATATATAGAGGGTGAACCCGACGATACAGAAAGCGAAAAATAGTGGAGGAACTGCAATGATACAGAAAGGAAAAATAGCGGAGGAATCCTACGACAAGAATAGAAAGGAAAAATAGTGGGAGGAGCCTGCATGATATAGAAAGGAAATAGTGGGAGGAACCTGCATGATATAGAAAGGAAAATAATGGGAGGAGCCAGTGTTATAATAGAGAAGAGAATAGTGGGAGGAACCCGCATGATATTGAAAGAAAAATAATGGAGGAGCCAGTGTGATATATAGAGGGGAATGAGTGGGAGGAGCCCGTATATATAGAAAGGAAAATAATGGGAGGAGCCAGTGTTTTATATAGTGAAAAGGAAAAATAAATGGGAGGAACCTGGCATGATATAGAAAGGAAAATAGTGGAAAATGATATAGAAAGGAAAATAATGGGGAGGAGCCAGTGTTATATATAGAGGGGAGAATAGTGGGAGGAGCCTGCATGATATAGAAAGGAAAATAATGGGAGGAGCCAGTGAAAAGGAATATGGAGGAACCTGGTGAAGGAATAAGTGGGAGGAGCCTGCATGATATAGAAAGGAAAATAATGGGAGG